CTTCCTCCCAACTCGGCGGACCAGGTTGGCAAAAGTGGAAAAGTTCCGGGGATCCAGGCAGGCTCTAAACCCACCACGAAAACCTGAAAAGTTCCGGGGATGGCAAGGCGGCCCCTTTTTACAGTTAGAAAAAGGCTCGGAGTCGATCGGGGGAGGCGGCCGCTTTCTGGGTGGGCTCCCCACTTCCACCCAGCTCGGCGGACCAGGTTGGCAAAAGTGGAAAAGTTCCGGGGATCTGGGCAGGCTCTAAATCCACCCCGAAAACCTGAAAAGTTCCGGGGATGGCAAGGCGGCCCCTTTTTACTGGTAGAGCAGGCTCTGCACCGATCGGAGGCGGCGGCCGTTTTCTGCGTGGGCTCCCCATGTCCTCCCAACTCGGCGGACCAGGTTGGCAAAAGTGGAAAGGCTCCGGGGATCTAGGCAGGCCCTAAACCCACCACGAAAACCTGAAAAGTTCCGGGGATGGCAAGACGGCCCCGCTTTACAGGTAAAACAGGCTCTGCGCCGATCGGAGGCGGCGGCCGTTTTCTGGGTGGGCTCCCCACTTCCTCCCAACTCGGCGGACCAGGTTGGCAAAAGTGGAAAAGTTCCGGGGACCTAGGCAGGCTCCAAAGCCACCGCGAAAACCTGAAAGGCTCCGGGGATGTCAGGGCGGCCCCTTTTTACAGGCAAAACAGGCCCGGGGCCGATCGGAGGCGGCGGCCGTTTTCCGGTTGGGCTCCCCGCTTCCTCTAAACCCGGCGGACCAGGTTGGCAAAATTGGAAGCGTTCGCAGTTCTTGCGACGGCTTTCCTAACAGTAAAACAGAGGGGCGCGGTATCGGCGGACCAGGTTGGCAAAGCACACGGACCGAAGCTCTGAGGCATTAGACATGTGTGATGGGCGTCGCGGCGGATAGTGTCATCGCGTTGACGCATCCGCTGCCGTATCACTAAATTGATCGGCAGCCGGAGCCACTTCCGGAACTTTTCCAATTATACGCGCGGTTTTCGTTTTCTCTGTATCTATTTGTTACAGAGGTTCGCCACACTCTTTGAAACTGAGTCGGGGCCGATGGCTGAGTCAGAAACCAAAGGTTTCTGAACATGGCCCGCCACAAGTCATAGGACAGAAGCAGAGTAATGGACGAACGGAGTTCGTTTGATTTGCGCAGGTGTTTCGCGCCATCTATCTGAAGCGAAACGCTCTCGGGACACACAGGATGTTGTTCAGTGTTTTGCCCTGTCGTCCAACATTATGAAACATCGCGAAGATGACGGCGCCCGCCTCTTTCCTCTGCTTTACGTTTCTACTTCGAGGACCGTCAGCAGCAGTACCATCACCATGCTTTAGCTTTTGCATATTTATACATACTCTGCGTCTTCTGGTAAGTGTTGATCTTCAAGTGCTTTGCACTTTGCACACAAGTGATCTTCTGGCTGTTGATCCCCCGGAGACAATTCAGAACTCGATCTGGTACTTAGACGAGATTGTAATTCTAGCTCTCGCATACGAATAAGTTTAGCGCTTTGGATCCTTCTAGGGTAGTTCACTCACGTTTTGCTGGTGGAGCATCCTAGTAAACAGAGAATATGAAGCCTGGTATGAGGTAGGTGATTCCGTAGTTGCGGCGCCAACATTATGTCCCGTGCTCGTCTCGTCCCTGGAGGTGTTCTCATCGTCACATGCCATCTGCTTTTTCTCCCTGACCGCGCCAGCTGCTACCAGAACCGCTGGGACATCTTTGCCCATGTTATTCCAGACTACATCGCATGGCTCCGGGACCGTCGGGAGAGGAGCGAGGTTTTTCCGGAGGCGCCCGCGCACTCGACGATCTTTGGAGAAAGGCAAGACCCCCAGCACCGGCGGAAAAAATCCACTGCGGTGCCGTCCAAAGCCAGCCGAAATTTCAATTTTCGGTACCAGCGAAGCAATGAGCAAGTGCTGCTGCAGCACACAAAGGATTACGATCCCGTCCGGCTGGTCGACTCCGATGTCCACAGCTGCCCCGTGCCGTGGCTGTTTGAGGCTCTGCAGCCCGCGGAACTGCAAATTTGCCTTCCGAATGCCAAGGAGCCGCACGCTTCGGGAAACACCATTTTGGCGAGCGACAACGTCTACCGTGAGAGCTGGTTGGTCCGCAACATGTTGGACACGCTGCAGGAGCTTGAGACCAAGAAAGTGACGCTCACGCACACGCGGTTCATGGTCGACGAGGCCGGGGAGATGTTGATGGAACAGGATCCGGCCACTTTTCTGGAGGGCACGACGGAGGCAGGAGAGGACGAGCAGGAGGACGGGCTCGCAAGGGACAGGCAGCTTTTGAGAACCGTCCGCGTGCCTTTGGCGCTGGGCTCCGACATCCTCCTGCACTGCGCCAAGCGGTCCTGGCAATTGTGGGACCGCTATGCACTGCAAAAATGTCTGGGTCCGGAAGGTTGGAACTTGTCATGTCAAACCTGAATCATGCAAAAATCTGTGTTGCATGATTGCCAAATGCTGTCCACTTTTGATCAAGTTGAGAGGCAGTTTCTCGTGCAGGATAGGCATCATGATAGTGATGATCTCCCGGAATCTGTCATGCTAGGTCCTCCATTACAGACCTCATGGGTCATGGAAAACCTGCATGGCGAGTCTAGCAAAGTTCCAGAGAGACCGAGACATATTTGCATTTGATAGCCGCGCGCTGAACGGCGATGAGGAGGAGCGGAGGCGCATTGCCGCCCAAATTGACTTGCGCGGGGAAGAGAACGCCAGCGAGATACTGGATCCGGAGGGGGACGATATGGTTTGTTCGAACGAGTTTTTCGAGTTTTCCAGTCTTCATCATCAGATCCAGGTGTACCCGCGGGCGAGGCAATTTCTGGAGAAGATCGCACAGCTGGTGTTCGAGCTTACCTGCTGGCTCGGGCAGTACGTGTGTCTGAAAATGCACTGGAACGTGCAGCTAACGCACTTGGACGACCTGGTCGACGAACACCACGACCTGATGGACGAGATATCCTGTGCAAAAGTATCGTACTCGTATTGTAGTCATGCATTACAAATCTTGTTCTCAAGGAAACTCAGCATTACAAGTTTCATTTTTCATGCTGAAGAAATTTGTAATGCATTTATACGACTGCGATACTTTTGCATTTCATACGAGAAGCGAAAGAGCAACATGACCTATTTCAGCTCCCTGTCCTTTGACGAAGTTTTGAACGAGGTTGGCGAGACCAACATAGAAATCATTCTCCGCAACGAAGCGATCCTGGACCGGTTGGACGGAGCCACGGTGCTCACGGAGGAGCACGCGGTCCGCAACGAGAAGAAGCAGGTGCTGACGCACCTGCACCACGTGTGCACCGCACTGTATGACGAGCTGGCGGCCTTCTTTCGCCACCATGGCCCCCGCGCGCCGGAAACGGCCTCCATCCGGGCGTTTGCGCGCCTCTTCGAGCACGGGGAGCAGAACCGGCACGTCCAGAAGGCACTGGTGCAGGTCCCCCACCGGCTACGGGAGGTGGTATCCTGTGCAGAAGTATCGTACTTACTCGTATTGCAATCATGCATCACGACAAAGCTTTCTCTTAAGGTAAATCAGCATATACGAATTTTATCCCTCATGCTGAGGAAATTTGTAATGCATTGATACGAGTACGATACTACTTTTGCAATTCATAGGTGGAGCGGAGAAGCGAGGACCCGCTAGAAGCCGCGGAGCAGGAAGGCGAAAACGAGGCGCTGGATGAGTACGAGCGCCAGTCGGGGTTGCCCAACCCGTGGGAGGAGTTCTGGGCCTCGCACGCCGTCAGCCCGCCGAGCTGCGCGGGGTTCCTGCTCCCCTCGGTGCTAGAGCACGACCGGTTCGAAAGCGAGCGGTTTCCGCACCGCAAGGAGCTGCTGTGGAACATTCTGGAAGCCGTACGATACGCCGTGTTGCCCAGCAGAAAGCACTTTCAGTTCCTCACCGAGGCCGACGCGGCCACGATCGTCGAGGACTTTCTCGGTCTGCCGAAGAATGGCACAGCAGGCGCGGAGGTGGAAGAAGAAAATCAAAATGCGACAGGAATGATAAGCGGTCCTGAGCAGGAGCCACCTGTAGCTCGGGGTGCTCCTCCTGCCGCTCCTCCCTCCGACGTGTATCGAGAGCTGATTGACTGGTCAACAACTACTCCGTCTACTGTTGAAAACGAGGCACCAGCGCAAGAACCGCACACGACGAGGAAACAGGGCGCGGGCGCAGCATCAACCTTGCAGCGAGGCGGATTACAACTTCTACAGAAGCAGCAAAACTTGTTCGACATTGTCAGGGCCGCGGAGGACGCTGGTGCGACCCGCGCGGCGGACCGGTTCGTGATAAATCTGGGGGCTGGAGTATCCTAAGTAACAACGTCCCCACCCCAGAGTTGTCATGCAGATTTGCCATGACAGGAACATTTGTGATGCGCAACCCCATGACAGGCATTTTCAATCGTGTTTGGGAACTTGTAATGTTGTAAACAGGATGAGAAGGTCGATTTGTGATGCGGCTTTCCTTGCTAACTTGCACTACCTTACGGACTGAAACTTGTCATGCGTAGTAGCACAGTCTGTTTATGTCATGCGTGACTCCTAAAACTCCTAGGTTTGTGTTGCAAAATCCGCATCTTGACTCTGGTGTGGAGATGTTTTACTCATGATATGGAGTGATGGAAGAGGACGACCGATCCGACTGGGACGTGGATCCAGCACTATCGCCAGAAAAAACTGTTTCACTGGAAACTTGTAATGCAGAAATTGCATCTCACAGTCACAAGTGTTTGTCTTGCTACACATGCAAGACAGGGGATTTTTAGCTGTGTTTTCCCTCAGGAACCTTGCATGGCAAATTTTCTCTGTCATGTAGAACAAACTTGTGATGCAAAACCTGCAAAATCCTTACAGTGAAACACTTTTTTCGTACGATAAGCACACACCATGGTGGAATTCGCTGGCGCCGGGGGCGTTTTGTTCGAAGGCGACCCCGATCGCGTGTCGGTGTTGCGCGATCAGATCTTCAAAAGCCGGACCTTTGTGTCATCTGAAGCAACAGGAGGTACTAAAGAAGCTACAACTTCTTCATCTAGCGGAACCACAGATGTTCTTGTACACCAGCAAGCAGGACCGGCACGAGATGCGAAGACCGCAAAGACGTCATCTTCGTCGCAAGAACGTAAGCTCCTTCATCTCGTGACGGACTACGTGAGTCCGGAGACGGTGGACAGCTTTCTGAACGAGCACCCGCTCTTCCGCAGGACCGCGTTGAGGACGACCACCGCGGCCACGACGCAGAAGAACCACGACGCGTTTTCTGTGAATATCAAAGGAACTACGCCGGCGCAGCTCCATAGTGCCGCACCCATCACGCTGTTGAAGATTGATCTCGACAACCGCGATTGTGAGTATCTGTCAAAGATTCTGCACAAGCTGCACACGGAGATGCGCACGAGAACTCTGCTGATCGCCATGGAAATCATAGCCTATTTTCTGCCTCCGGATATCGGGTTTGGTTCCTGGCTCCCCACGGTGTACACGGATGTGGGCTCGCAGTATTCCTCCTTGCTCAAGAACATGATCCGGGGCTGCTCTCTCGGGGAGATTCTGCGCATCGCGACGCCCTACGGGTTATGAATTGAAAAAGTATCGTACTCGTATAAATGCATTACAAATTTCCTCAGCATGAGAAATAAAATTTGTAATGGAGATTGACCTCAAAAAAAAGATTGGTAAATGCATGTCTGCAATACGAGTACAACGATACTTTTGCACAGGATACGGGTACGTGCTGTTCCGCCTGCACGCGGACGACCACTTTCCCAATGCGTACCTGATTCACTCCAGTTTTGCGCACTTGCTGCAACACGAACACAGGCTGCGCGTGGAGCGCCTCTACGGTGCCGCGGTGTTTGATGTTCGCGAAGCGGAATCCGATATCAAATGCAAAAATGTCTGGGTCTGGAACAAAGGAACTTCCCATGCTAAATCTGAATCATGTAGAAATCTGTGTTGCATGATTACCAAAAGCTGTCAACTTTTGACCTGATCGAGAGGCAGTTTCTCATGCAGGATAGGCATGATAGAATTCTCACAGAATCTGTCATGCTATGTCCTACATACCAGACCTTATGGGTCATGGAAAACCTGCATGACAAGTCTGGCACTCTGCCAGACCCAGACATTTGTACAGTTGATATCCGACTACACGGGAGCCCCGCATCAAAGTCCGAACCTGCAGCAGCTTCAAATGGACGGTAAATACCTTTTTGAGTGGTGGCGGGAGAAGGGGTTCGTGCCGAAGCAGCTGTTCCATGAGAACACGCTGCAGGGCATATCGTGAGTAAAAATCCCCCCTCCCCATACCGAAAAGGAAGTTTGTGATGCTGGATTTGCGTACACAAATCAGATTTGTCTTGCAGTAGAGAACCGCAGGCATACGCCAACCCGGGGCAGCGAGGTTTTGACGTAGGCCCCCAGCATGGCAAAAGTCTACGCTGTAGGACCAACAGCATCACAAGCCGCCGGCGTAATGCGGCGGAGCCTGCGGACTTGCCTTCTTGCAAGACAGAAGCGATTTGCGGTCACAAATCAGCATTGCAAATTTTCTGCGGCTTGCCTTTTCGATATGGGGAGGGAGGATTTTTCCTTACAATAGGGCACGTTCTACAGCCTCTGGGCGATGCACCGAGACCGCGACCACCCTGCGGACTCGGCGGACCTCACGGTTTTGCAGCGGTACTTGCAGTATCCTGTGCAAAAGTATCGTACTCGTATTGCAATCATGCATTACAAATTTTTTTCTCAACGTAAATCCGCATTACAAATTTTGTTTCTCATGCTGAGACAATTTGTCATGCATTTGTACGAGTACGATACTTTTGCAGTTCATATGCAGGCACACTTCGACCTAGTGTGGCTGAGCAGCGGTGGGGGTGCCGGCGACGGAACCGCAGCTGGTGATGCCACCAGTACAACCAGTGAAACGTCTACCGGAGTAGATGTTGGAGACGGCACCGTTTCTGCCTCAATCACCTGCGACGGTAGTCGTGCGGCGACCAGTGCTATAGCAGAAAAAAGCACTCACGTAGTCCGCGCAGCTACGCGGGCCGGCGCGCTGTTTTTCGACAAATCGTACCAAGTACTGCAGCCCGTCCCCCCTGAGGAAAAGCGGCAAGAGGGCGAAGATGCTGGGATGTTGTCCGCGAATGCAGCGGGTGAAGATTTGACGGGGACCACAGCAGACGTTGAGGAGAGGGGAGCGGCGATGCTGCGGAAAAACGCTACCTCAGTGAGCCGTGGCGCGCTAGTCCACGGGGAAAAAGGGAGTAGTCTGCGTGTCGCGGATAGTAGTACCAACTACGCTTTGCCGCCGCGTGAAACGAAGAGATTATGCAGAAGTGCTGGGCCACTCCCGGAAGGTGCAGGTGGCTCGAGAAGTGCCGAAGATAAAGAGCCAGATTACTTATTGTCTTTAAGCACTGCTGCAGCTTCCTCGATTTCCGAAATGGTCCCAGCGTCGCGCACTGGTTCTTTCTTCCGCCTCACGCTAGTCCCGGGCATCGTTTGGCCCATGACCGCTACGGAGTACAATGCGGCGCTAGCCAGGGGAGAAACTTCTAGCTTATTTCGCACTTCTGCTGGACCATCTACTTCCGCGGCACAAGGATATGCTGTGGATAATAAGAATTCTGAGGTCCGTGGTCGTGGAACGGCGAATTACGGTGAAGAAAGCAGTGGTCGCCACCGGTCGATCAATACTGCGAAGAATCGAAGGACCCTGCTTGCCAGCTTCGGCACGCACGCGCCCTTCGCCCAGGAGGCACATTTGGCGGTGCGACGGGCATTAGTGGAAGAGCAGGTCTTTGTCGAGGGCCGCGACGAGGAGCAGTTCTGGGGTGGGTTTTACCAGTGCCGCCATGCCTATGACAATTCACAACTCCCCTCCCCCTCATTTGCATTGCATGAACAGCAATAGTGGAGCCTATGCAGGGGAAATTTGTGTGCCTAGTCTAGTACTGTCTGGGCCTCCAGAATTTGTCGTGCAAACAGTGCCACAAGGGCAAGGCAGGGACTGGAGTTAGGATTTTGCATGACTAGATCGTCTGCGTCCGAAGCTGCTTGCGGCAACGGTGCAAAGGTTTTTGATGTGGTGCAGTCGGCGAGTATGCATGACAAATGAGAGGGAGGGGGAGTAGTTGTGCACTGTCATAACGCGCCGGAGGTCTGTCGCTGCGTGAACCCCAACCCCCGGTTTTGCGGCAACGAACTGGACGACTTGGGGGCCTTGTTTGTCGAGGTGGACGTATCAAAAGGAAAAATCCCCCCTCCCCATATCAAAACGAAGTTTCTGATGCAGGATTTGCGTACACAAATAAGATCTGTCTTGCTGGAGAGGAATGCAGCCCCGTACTAAGCCTAAGTAGAGAGGTTCTGGCCTAGGCGTCTAGCATGAGAAACGTCCGCACTGTAGGCCCATCAGCATCACAAACCGCCTGCACAATGCTACGGAGCTTGTGGAGTTGCCTTCTTGCAAGACAGACGTGATTTGAGGTCTCAAATCAGCAACACAAATTTCCGGAAACATACCTTTTCGATATGGGGAGGGGGTATTTTTCCTCTTAATAGGACGAAAGCGTAAACGATCCGCACTACGGCGGAAACCACGGTTATGGGAGTGTCAGGATTGAAATCGTCAAAATTCAAATAGGTTGTCATGCAGAAAATGCAACGCAAAGATTGCCTCTATTGCAGAGGACGCAAGGGAGGCAGATTGTAGTGCTGGTAAGGGTCGGGACTTGGGCTGCTGATTAGCATCACAGAGCGGAGCCCCTTTGCCCTGAACAGCATGACAAACTGGCTTCCGGCATGGACAAAATTTGTCATGCACCGACTAGAAAATGCGGGTCCAATTTGTATGGATATTATGCATTACAAGTTATTTCAACTTCGTCGATTTCAATCCTGACACTTCCATAACGGATTGTCACAGTTGGACGTGGTGGAAACACACGTAAGCAGAATCATCGAAAACTGGTGGGAAGACGAAGTCATGTCTCGCGCAAGGGATACTTCTATGATTAAGGACGCCAACAGCACCAGCACGACCTTTATTGAGCTGCTCGTGGTTACCTCCTGCAGCACGCCGTTCTTTTTGTGTGCGTTATTACAACAGGAGTTGAACAAGGTCTGGAACAAATACCTGCTGCAACATTTCCAGCAACAGACGGCGGTTAAAAACAAGCAGAGCCAGCAGCACGGCACCAGTGGAGGTAGAACTAACACAGTCTTGCTAATCCAGTCGAATTGGTTTGGAATTTCGCCAAACTTTCTCGCCCCAAACGACGTATACCCAGGAGCTGCATCTGAGTCAGCTACTATAATACCAGAAAGAGAAGCCACTGTATCCCCGTGCTTCGTGGAAGGCCGGTGCACGAAGGCGGTTTTTCTCAACTCCGCCACGGACGCGTCTGCCGCAGCCGGCGAATCTGCGGCCTGGCGTATCCAGAGTAAAAACGTCACCTCGATTGCAGATGAGTTGTAATGCAAATCTGCATTCATCCTCAAAGCGCTTCTCGTGCGGAGACCCATGACAAGCACTCTCTAGTTGTGTTTTGAGATTTGTGATGCCCGAATCAGCATGATGTGCAAGATCTGTGATGTCGCTGCACTAGGTAAACACGACTACACTGCGCGCCCAAATTTGTCATGCGCAACAACCAGGGCTTGTTGATTTGTCTAGCAGATTTCCCATCTTGACTATCGGATGGACACGTTTTTACTCGGGATATGGCGACGCTTTTGGAGCTTAGGCCGAACCTTGGTGCACAGCGGAGCCGCGGGTACGGCCATCGTCTCCACTTCGAACCTGATTTTGTCGCGGATTTTGCAGGAGACCGAGCAACTGAAAGACGCGGCTACCTCATCTCCGGCCCTTGTCCCGGTGCTGCATATCCAGGCAAAAAACTGTGTAAGTGTAAGTTTCTTTGAGGAATAGCATCACAAGTTTGCTCTGCATAACACAGAAAACTTGTCATGCGTGGCTAGTACGTGAAAACACGCACGAAAATTGCCTCTGATGCATGTCCAGCACGACAAGTGTAACAGTTTGGCATTTTCTGCAACACAAATTTACACTTACACAGTTTTTTTCTTGGATACTGCAGCCACTGATGCTACACTTGGACGACACAAGGTTTGCAGAGATGGAAGAGGATGAAGGCGGAAATAGTATCAAAAACGCAGCGTCTGCGTCAACTAGTACATCGCCAAGCCGATCCAGCATCGCAGTACGGAATGCCGAGGGCGATCTTCTTTTCCGACCAGCGGAGGAAGCACTGCGTGGGCAGGAGACTAGTGAACAATCGTCGGCTCCAGCACGACCCGATGGTGAAATTATATCCTCACAAGAACGACTACGACTCCCTCCAGGGGAGAACGCTCCGGGAGAGCCTGGTGACCGCGACGAGGCTTCCAGTAAAATGAATAGCACGCCGGAAAGTAGCACAACCAGCGGCCCTCGTGACCGCGTCACCGTACTGACACGGGACGCCAACGGAGAGCAGTATGCCGTTTCCATTGCTGCGGACATACCAAACAACCTCAAGAAATCTTCCGCTTCCGCTGACCTGGAGGACGTCGGCATTTGGGCGCGGGGGAACAATGCCCTCCGGTTGGGGCTCCAGATCGTGCTCCTGCTGCGCAGCACACCTTCGTGCGGCAAACAGGCACACCTGGTGACGGGCAAGGGCATGAGTTTCGCAGAAATCAAGCGGCGCTTTACAGCCATCGTGTACGTGCCGCACGAGTTCGAAACCTACGCCTTTCACGAGCTGTACTCCTATGAACTGCAAAAGCATCGTAGTAGTATAAATTGCAATACAAATTAGCTCAGCATGACAAATGGATTTTGTCATGCTGTTTTACCTTGGGATGGAGATTTGTAATGCATAAAGGCAATTAGTACGAGTGCGATACTTTTGCACAGGATAACTCCCTGTCGCTGGCCATGTTCGTGCCGAGCCGGAGGTTATCAATTGCAAAAATGTCTGGGTCGGGGAGATTGCGAGATTTGTCATGCTAGTCTGGCATGACTCTTAAATCTGTCACGCGCGTTACCCAAGAGCTCCATTTTTCGGTCATGCAGAGCTGCAGTTTGTCATGCAGAATAAGCAACACCTATAAGCTCAGAAACTTGTCATGCTGAGCCAGCACTTGTGCAATCCTCATGATACGCCACCCAGCATTACAACTTTCCAGACCCAGACACTTTTGCAATCCATAGAGGTACCTGGCGGACCTGGTCTTCAATGACGACGGGAACCTCGGATCCACGGGGTCCGCGGGTGCCCTGGACTTCTCCACCCGGGTCAAAAAACTCCAGTGGCTGCAGACCAGCTCCATGTACGACGCTGAGAAATCGCCGGGCATCATCGTGTTCCGGACCATCCTGGAATTGTGCAAGCTGGTGTCAGACCGGCAGTTGCTCACGGAAAAGCGGGCGGTCATGCGGAACGCAAACGCGGAAAAGCGGGCGGCCACCATGCAAACGTGGCGGGGGCTGCTCCGGCAGCAGTACTCCAACCGATATCGCGAACTGCATGGCGCTCCTGCCGAGGCGGAATGAATATGAAAGTGGAAAAATTAAGTGAAGGCGCTCTGTGTACTTTTTTAGAGATAAAAAGGGAACATGTCTTTATTTAATTTCAAGTGCGAGCGAATATTGCCTCTCGAGAATATAGGAAAAAGGTTTTATCTGGTTCATTCAAATTCACGTGATTGATACTGTTCTTTTTTATACGTTTTCACTACAGTAGTTGCAGCTCGAGCAGCACATTCTTAGCTGTTGCAACGCGGGCGAAGTCATGCAGCACTTGGCTCATTGTCATTTTAGTCATCTGGGTGTATCACTTAATTACAGCAGCAGATTTTTGGCTGCATCGGATCAGAGGAGAATTTCCTTTCTTCATCAAAGTAGGAGTAGCGGCAGTTCTTATTGCGCATCACATGAGTGATATGGTTATTGCGCCCCGTGCGGTTAACGAAACGCAAACGCTTGTCCAAGCCGCAAAGAAAATTCGGTACACCGAGGTCGGATCTTTTTCAATCCGACCGGAAAAGTATGGGTGTGTGCGACGAGCGAGATTTTTGACCGTAGCTGTGCTCGTGTGTTCTCGTCCTGGTAGTGAGTAACCTAAAACTCACTTTCTGCTGCTGGTAAAGTCTTTGATCACAGTGTTGAAGGAGCACTTGTTGGCCTCGAAAATGATCTTTCGTGCGCAGTCGATCCTGTTTTCACTCTGGAAACCGTGACCGCAACGGTACTTTCACGAACCAAGGTTTTTCGTGCCCTGGTTTTGGCTGCAAGAAGTAGATGATACGATGCTGGCAAAGCATGAGCATGACTCAGTTGCAGCTACGGAGGATCATGTTTTGATATATGAAGATCAGCTCTGTTTTATTTCGCATGTTGATCGTCATCGTCCATCGCGGCCCCGCTTAAGTAGCCCGGGATCTGTGCCGCAGCTCATGGATCGCAGAAGAAACGTGTGCGAAGAAAAGTGCGTCAAAACTTCAACGCAGTTGCTCATGAAAAACAACCGTAGGAACAAGGGAATACGGTTTTTAGATTGGTAGAGAAGAAAAATAAAACTACAAAGACAAGCTGTCTAGCAATAACAAAAAGCGACTACAAGAAGTACCCGGCGACATCGACGACTGAAGGTTTATTTCTTATTGTATCCCCGACGACACCGTTGCGATCGCAACTGGCGACAATATTTTTGAAAAATCGCGAATATAAAAATATCCTTGACGACAAAAACAAATCGAAATCACAACGTGCTTACATCCTGGATCGTCATTACTCTGGAGGCCTCTAGTATTCCACGACCACGACCGAAACAATGGAGCGGATTGTTCAGACCTTCATGACTGGCTTGGGATTTCGGACCAGCCCCCAAACTGGCCAACCCGCGGTGGAAGAAGCAGTCCCCAAAGTGGACGCAGCGGACAACCAGAATTGTGCCGCAAAGCCGGCGGAAGATTATGTGCAGGTATTTTTTACTGTTGCTTCTCCTTTTCACTTTTGTTTCTGCATGTTATCTTCTTTGCGCCTACACAGAAAAACTTTTGCTTAAGCATGCTGTTTTAAAGAGGGTATAGTAAGTTTGTAGCCCATCCTCCTGCACGAAGCGCGAGCGGCAAGTGAGGTCGGGGAGAAGTGGACTTCATCTTTTTTTGCAAAAAAATCAGATTTCGTGTCAAGCGAATTCCACCGACCAAGACGAGCACAAGAAGATGAAGGAGGACGACCCCTGTTGCAGTAGCCTGCCGGTGCCGAATATGGATTGCAAATATGTGTGGTGCTGGAGGGTTGCAACTTGTAATGCTGTCTTTGGACTTCAACAAAATTTGTATTGCATGACCAGCAACAGCATTCCAGTTTGTGTTACGCGGAGAGGGCATTTCTCATGCGTAGTAGGCATTAGCTGTAGCAGGTCCGCCAAAAATCTGTGATGCTAGAGCATGCATATTCGTAGCGTAGGCATCATGGATCCTACAAAACATGCATGACGAGCCTGGCAATCTTCCAGACCCCGACATATTTGCATTTGATACCGAAATGCAAACGTGCGAAAGTCGACGAAGATCACGGAGCGGGGAAGAAAGTAGAGGATGTGCAGCAAGAACCCCAAGAACATAGCGGCCAGCAGCAGCAGGTATAGCATAGTAGAGTTGTTTTAAGTTTCAGTATTCCTGTCATCACTGTCGTGGAAGAACTTACTCTACCTGCTTGATTTTGAAATTGGAAATTCGTGTAAAAGAGAAATGCTGCACAAGACAGAAATAAATCGGACACGCAAGAATAAGAAAAGGTTTAAAATTACATCATGTCTCTATCGACTAAAAACTCCAGTTGTTGGTAGCAGCGGATCAACAGGACGACATGGAGGAGGACGAAGATATCCTCAGCAAAATCCTCCCCACCTCGCTCCCCATGGTTATTGAGATTGGACTTGATTTGCAATACAAGGCTAGGGCTTTCGGGGCTGACCACGCATGAGAGGCTCTTGCGCTCTACATTGTAGTCATGCCTAGCTAGTTGTGCGGAAGATGCATCCTAAATCCACCGTCTTAGTCTGATTACCGCATTTCAGATCCCGCCCACACACAAATAGAAAATGCCTCCAATGCGAAGCCGCAGGAGGACGAGAGACTTGCTGAGCAGGCAAGTTTGAATCAATGTTAAGACTGGGGTGCCGGGGTGGAGACGTTTTTCGTAAGGATAGACGAAGTTGTTGCGGAACCTAACGTGCCCAAGACTTTCCACAGGTATCAAGCGCAAACATGTCAGGGGCTAGAACTGTGCGACACCGGTTGATCACGCATGAGAGAACTCTAGTTCGTTGTTCTTTGCGGAGCAAGAATATTTATTCAGTGGGCAGCTCATTTGTTTTATTGCAACTCACACAGTGCTGATTTATTTTCTGTGGCTCCCTTCGCAGCATGACGAGTCCTTTCTCGACCCAGAGATATTTGCCTTCGATAACAAAAACGCGGTGACGATGTGGTATTGGAACCAGAGTAGACTTATTAGTACCTTCATGCTCGGCGAAACCATCGTCCTCGCACTGACCCACCCGCTCCCGTTCATGGAGGAACTGCTCAACTATCTGAAGAAAGATTTGCGCTTCTTTACCCCCGAAGGATTGCCGAAGGTCGTGATCGCGGGTATGGACTTCTCAAGCGTTACATTCTCAATTGTTACATGAATTAGTGATGCAAAAATAGCAAGAGAGAAAGGCGGAAGATTGCGCCTCTTGCAACACAGGTTTGGCAGCACAGATTTACCTGTTGTTTAGCCCTTCGGAAATTTGTCTTGCGAAGCAGCTTGATGGTGTAGATTCTGACGAGAGTTTTGCATGACAAATCATGTAACAGTTGAGAGTGTAACATTTGAGAACGCCATAGCGCGCCGTGAGTTAGCTGTCGCGTTTTTAGAGAACTCCACCGCCGCCATGAGAGCTTCTTGGAAGCAATCCGTGAAAGATCTGAAGTTGCCCGACCTCTATCAAATGCAAAAGTGTCTGGGTCTGGAGGAGTGCAGACTTGTCATGCATATTTTCCATGCCGATGCTCCATGAGGTCTGGAATGCAGGACCTAGCGTGACAGATTCTGCGGAGTCTCTATCATGCCTCTCCTGCATGTTAAACTCCCGCTCACGTTGGTCCTAAAGGGACATTTTTTGGTGATCGCGCAACACAGATTTTTGTGTGACCCACAGGACGCATCACAAGTTCCATCCTCCCAGACCCAGACATTTTTGCATTTGATAACCTCCGCGAGAAATCGTGGAAAACGTCCCGCAGCCTGGGCGCATTCGCGAAGTGGCTCCAAGTATCAAGCGCAGTTATGTCTGGGTCTGAAAGAATGAAGCTTCTCATGCGAAATTTGGATCTCAAAAAGATCTGTGTTTCATGAACGCCAATAATTGAGCACCCAATGCTCGCTAGGCAGAAACCGAATTTCTCATGCGGAATACATAGGCATGAGGAAGGTCTCAAAAAATCTGTGATGCTTCTGCGTGCATTGCAGACCATGAGTGTGGATATGGTTCCTTCTGGTCCGCGAGATGCATGACAAATTTTGCAATTTTCCAGACCCAGACATTTCGCAATTGATAGCAAGCATTCTGGCGGGAGTTCGCCCAACCGGTAGGCAGTTGCATACTGCTCAAAGCCAGAAAATCCGAGGGGGGGACACACAGGTAGAAGCGAGCCCATCGATCTTTTTTTTTGATTACGCGCCCCAGGCTTTTCATGTACTGGCACTACAAATTATTTCCAGCAAGCTCACACGCTCGCGCCTGTTCTTCTATTTCTACTCTCAGCGGGTGCTTCCTCGTGAAGTAACGCGCCCGCTCTGCAGTTTCGGTGTGGTCTCGGCCGCGCGCCGAAAATTTTCGGAGTCTGAAGAAAACATACTCTGGCAGTGATGTTCGTGATAGATTCAGATTCCCTTTGAAAATAACGCATGTCAGGTTCTTTTCCTGGGTCATGAAGGTGGTAGAGCAAGAGCCCGTCTACCGCATGGGCATTCCGCACCGGGTGGTCAGGTGCCGCGGATTCGTGGATGACAAGTTTGCGCGGGAATTGCAGCCACATCGTAACTATCAAATGCAAACATGTCTGGGTCTGGAAAGATCCAACTTTTAGTGCTGCCTTTGGATTCTACATAAAATCTGTACTGCATGAGCAGGAAAAGAGGTCCAGCTGTTGCTTCGCAAAGAGGGAATTTCTCATGCGGCAGGAGCATCAGAAAGCTCTCCCAGAATCTGTGATGCTAGGCGTGCATCACAGACATCATGCCTCATGGAAAATATGCATGACAAACCTTGTACTCATCCAGACCCAGGCATATTTGCATTTGATAGTAGCGCGAACTGCCGCCTGAGCGACGCGAAGGTGGAGAAACTGCTAGCGGAAATGACCACGATTTCTTCGCTATCCTGTGTAAAAACGTCCCCACCCCAGAGCTGTTATGCAAATCTGCACTCCAAAAAGGTTTCTCACGCGAAACCACATGAGAACCATTTTCTAATGGTATTTTGGAACTTGTGATGCTACAATCAGCATGATATGCTAGATCTGTGATGCTTCTGAAATACCTAAACAGGATTACACTACGAGGACAAACTTGTCATGCGAAACAACCAAAGCTGGCTCTTGCTCATTTGTCTAGCAGATTTGCCATCTTGATTCTGGTGCGCGGACGTTTTTACTCAGGATATTCGTCTAAGGGCTGCAGTGGCACCAGTGCCAATCCCTCCGGCTGCAGCAGCAAGTAGGTTGGTTCGACTCTTCAACAAGGACTAGCTAGGTCTGCTACTTACTTTGACTGCACAAGTTGCGCGCAAGAGCTAAGACGAGCTTCGAGCTTATTAACGAAACAGAGGAACAGCAACTCGCTCGGTGAACTATTTTTGATTTTTGTCGATAAGTGTATCATGTATCACAACATCTCACCTAGTTTCTTTCGACGCAAAATGCTAGATATAATACAACTCAGCATGAGCAACAGCCAATGAATACTTTTAGCACAACAACGACGCTTTGATGTATTTTCGCCGCTATCTTCCCAGCGGGAGTGGAGGTTTTGGAAGTTTAGCGGAGAAGGTTGTAATAGACACAGATTGATTGTTCTCCACGGGCATCTACAACGGACACCTACAACTACTGTCCGGCTTTTATCAACATGAATGTCATTCTACGCGACTTGATCGCGCTGCGCAAACGGGAGGCGTTTCCTGTTTGTTTGGATACAATATAATTACGGAAATCGTTTTTTATCTCAGTGTGCAGTTGCTCGAGTACAACACAACACAGGATTCAAACAACAAAGAATGTACTTGATAGACATTACGTAGGTGCCATGCCCATCGGAGCAGGAGGGAATACGAAACTCATTGTTCTTGTCTCGCGTCCATCGAACACTGTGCCTATGCGAATTGAAAGCCCACGAAGGGGGATGACTGCTGTGCTAGCCATTCAGGAAAAAAAAGATGTTCCGGAGTTAGATCAGCAGCCAAACATGCAAATTGAAATCCCTCTTGCCTAGTAAGGTACCGCTGAAAGGTTGTGATGATAATTGTGTGAGCATGGCAAGACTGTGTCTCCGTGAAGGTGAATAACGAAGGATCAGTTGTTATCCGAATCGATCTGACCGCTCAAGCTTTGGTTCCTGACGAAACAGAGGATCTTGTGAAAAGCAGATACACTGGGCTCATACCTTGTTACCAAGCGATGTCATGTGGGAGTGACCGAAAATAAGCTTTTTGATCCAATTTTTCTTCATCGGTCTGGTGCAGCATACTATACTTAAATGCTTTTTCTTTTTTGGTGCGTGTGCTTGTGATCGTATTGCGAAGGGCGCGTCGCAGTATGGCCACAACAAGGGCATAATAAAAAAGTGGTGGCTGCAATCAAGATGTTGAGAGTTTGAAGTAGACGATGTCCACTGTTCATAAAAGAGCAAAGTAAGACTCCAGCAGATCCACACGAACATGTTGAAAAGAAGATCAGCAAAACTAGCAAGAGCGGTGTCCTCCACCAGCTTCCTCGGCGCTTCATGCCAAGCCCTCTGACAACGTGCTTGCTTGACCACCAAGCTTTCTGCGATGTCTGGTGGCGTGCAGGACCGAACGCTCATGTTGTCTTTTCCCCCTCGTCGTGGTCCACTACCTCGTCGTGGTCCAGTAGTACGGCGGCCAAGCATGACCAGGAGGATTACGCACGATCCGAGGTTTCGCAAGATGAAGTGGCAGGCGCGAGAAGGGCAGGGAATAAATCCCGTTTCGCTAATTACCCTGGCAAAAAAATCAATGCGACCGCCCCACAAGGATCCGAGAATGAAGCGACGGTCGTTGACGCAAGGACCGTCTGTACCGCTTTGGAGAATGGTCCAGAAGATGTGGCCATTTTTGCAGCTGCAGGTCAACTACATCCCGACGGTTCGGCCACGTCGGCCGGCGCTGCAGGTCGTGCAGCAGCTTCGTGGAAACACTACCGTGCCACCAGCAGCGGCGACGGCGGGGAAGAAGATCTCTCCCGCCGCGACGCCACGGCAAACTGGGTTATCGGGAACACGCGACAGCGAGTGATCCCTGCTGGGAGACGAGGATCTGAACTAGTGGTCGATCATTTGCTGGAGTACATAACGCACTGCGGGGCCGTATCCTCAGTAAAAACATCCCCACCCCAGAGTTGTCATGCAAATGCGCACTGACAGGAACAGTTGTAGTGCGCGCCTCCATGAGAGGCATTTTCAGTCGTGTTTTGGAATTTGTACTGCTGCAAACGGGACGAGAGAATGGCTTTCTCATGCGGCTTCCCCTGCCAACCAGCACTACACTGCAGAGGAAAACTTGTCATGCACAGCTCCCAAAACTTGGAGATTTGTGTTGCTAGATTCCCAACTTGACTATGGGGTGGGTACGTTTTTGCTTAGGATAGGCCGAATTTTCTCGGGATGTCGCCGCGTACCTGGAGCGGAGCGCGTGGCATCTGGACGCCATCTATCAAAAGTAAAAATGTCTGGGTCTGGAAGAATGCAAGTTTGTCATGCTTGTCTGGCATGACTCTTAAATCTGTCATGCACATTAACAAAGAGCCCCACTTTTCTGTCATGCAGAAACGTAGTTTGTCATGCAGAATAGGCAACACCTAGAAGCTCAGAAACTTGTCATGCTGAGCCAGCAATTGTGGCCTCCTCATGATATGCCACACAGCATCACAAGTTTCCAGACCCAGACATTTTTACATTTGATACCATCCAATTGGGCCTGCTGGCGTCCTACTTCCGAGACGCGCTAGAGCTCTGGCCAGCCTACCGGGAGACCATCTTTCTTCGCCGGCAGAGCTTAGGTTTACGGTGGCCGCAAGTGCTTGTAGCGGTACTAGTGCGTGAAGATCATGGGGGTGATGGGCAAGCAGATCTTCGTGAAGAACTACCTTTGAGTGAATCTATACCAGAAACTCTTCCTTTTTCAGCCGGGCCCGGGCCCGGGGAGTTCAAAGTCGCGTCCTCCGACCAGGAGAAGAACCTCCAGGCCCGCCAAATCAGCATAATCGTCTCGGAGCGGAACTACAAGACCGAAATAAATCCGTATCGGACACACTTGTCCTCCTCTCAACATCTCGTTAGCTCCAGTTTGCAAGAGCTACTCGAGGCCTACAGAGAGGCCCTGGAGTACTTGACGAAAAAAAGTTTTTACCGCGGGTCACGACAGCACCACCCACCATCTGCAGCTCCTGCGGCTGCATATGATTATTGGAATTGGTCCCCGTTCGACGTCGCACAGCCACAGCGACGCGCCGCCGTTTTATTGAACACGCTGTGTACCGTTGCCGTCCTCTCGAGCTCAGAACAACTACCGGTGGCGCATGAAGCAGACGGCCACACTGGAACTACGCAAGAGCTGCCAGAGCAAGAAGAGCTTCTTCATCGGCTGAAGGAGCAGGAACTGCGCAATATTCGTGCGACATTGCGTTTGTTGACAGGGGTGCCTGTTGAAGTAAGTGGACCTCCTGGGCCGCAAGGTGACACACGACCCGGCAACCTCTGTCTTGTCGAGATGCCGCAGCATAATTCGGGCGGCGAGCCTCTTCTCAGCAAAGAGGTCAAAGCGCACCATTCGACAGTCGACGAGCCTCTTCTCAGCGAAGAGGTCAAAGCGCAGTGCCCGAGGAAATTTTTCGACCCACGCGAATGTGGTGCTACACTGCTTTTACCCGCGACCGCGTTCCCCGCAGGGAGCGTCGATGCTGGGCGTAGTGAACTCCTTGAGCTTCTTTTGTCGGACCACACTAGTGCGAGTTTCACGTTAGTCAGCGTTGCGCAGAAGTCGACCTCGGTTTTCGCATCGGAGGAACACCTCTCCCGCAGCCTGGTTGCGGGTGCTGTCGATGAAGCTTACGCAGCCGACTTTCTCGAGGCTGGAAGGCATTATCTCCAGAAGAAAGACATCGATCCAGACGAAAATTTTTCCCCGGGTCATTTCCTCTCGAAGCTCAGGTGCGTTGGGCTAGAAAAGCGGCTGCGCCAGCGAGAGGACGCATTTTTCATACGCAATTTGGCCGCGGTGGTTGCCGCCTGTGGCCGACTTAGTACGGAAGAGGTTGAAGAACAAGCTCCGGAAGAACAAGGCAATAGGGCGGTGATTTCCGGAACAACCGACGCTTTGATGCCCGTTGCCCTTGCTCCAGGATTTCTCAATCCCGACGCTTGGCGGACAAGTAGTTCAGTCGCCGCGACACCCGTGACAAAGGTTGACTATAGCGGTGAAGAACTACCTGGTAGTACCGCAGTAGATCATGCGGCACAAGAACTACAACAACCTGAAGTTGTACGAGACAGTAGCAGTTCAACGACCTCCTGGCTACCGCGGAACTGGCTGAGTGGGTCGTTCTTGGCTCGGCTTTCGTCGACACGAGCACGAGGAGATCAACCAAGCGAACCCGTGGTCGAAGCGGCTAGTTCCTCTCCCCGCGTGGTATTCTCCTACCTGGGCATCGTGGGGCCTTGCCGAGAATTGTTCGGTAACCAGTTGTTTGATTTCGTAGAAACCCTGCGTTTCGTGGCCGCTCAGGGCCCGACTGCGTTTCTCCAGCTGCCGCGGCTCAGCTACACAGAGCACCATCCCTTCGACCCGGCCGACTGCACGACTTGCACGCACGAAGACCCAGGGGAATACTGGAACCAGATGGGCAGGTACGGAAAAGAAATTTACAAGGCTACTTTTGCCACCACAAGCACAAGGTTTATTTGGTAACAAAACTACGTAGCTTGTTACGACTTTGAAGAAAGAACAAATGCATCTGGTCAACGGAGATGGAGAACGGAGGGGAACATGCAGCATCGAGGCCGAATAAGTACAGATTCCTGCTGTTTTTTATGTACGTACTTATTTTCTATGCTGGACCTGCAAGGCAAGGCTGTCAATGTGATGAAGACTGTTGACTACTTACACCTGAAGATACAGATGCTGGACAATGTCAACTTGAAACAACTCAAAGTTGTGATTCAGAATACAAAAGACAACGTTGTGAAGATGGTGAAGATTTTCTCCTGATAGCACGGCCTGCGACGTGAAAAATGGTGGAAGCGTACCACTTTCCGCGCTTTTCGACCTCCAGTTTCTAGACAGGTTCTTGCGGGAACGCTGGGGCATGGGCGGTTTGGTGGCGGGAGGAAATGCAATAAAGGGTGACAGCTCTACTGGTGCGGCTGCGGACGACGGGTTGATGCGGCTCCTCGAGGAGGCTGGTCACAACTCCGACCAGCAGTTGCAACAATTTGATGCTGTGATTCTCACAGATGATCTGCCGCTGGAGAACGACACGGCTGCAGAATTCGTTTGCGAAAACTTTGTTGTCTCCTCTTCAGACGTCGCCAGACAAGTTGCACCCACGTTACAGCACGATGACCAAGAAAACTCCGAATCGTACTCCTACGCATTTTTCGGGTCGAAGGAGAAAAGCCGGATCGGCCAGCTCTCCTGCGCCAAGGACTTTTCCAAACCGGGGAAGGTGAACGAAACGGCGGTTTCCATGGCAGTCCAGCAAGCGGTCCGGCGGGCGGAGCTGCGCGCGAATCGAGAGGACGAGGTTACTTTTTCGGATACATTTATTTCGTCAGCCGAAGAAAGAACGGGTCAATTACGGGACTTCGAGGATGCTCCTACAGCTTCTGAGGGCACCGGCGAGGATAAAAATAGAATTGCAACAGCTTCTTGGGTCCCCCTGCGCGCTACTAGCGCCGCCCTTTCAGATGAACGCGGTGGCGACGTCGACGAGACGGAAAAAATTGTGGTGGACGCACAGGGAGTGGGAGCTGCTGCTGTGCGCGAAGGTCATCATGATATAATTCATCCGCCAAGTAGTACCTCTATCGGTGGTCTTTTCAAATCCGCTGTGCACATTGGTTTGTACTTTTATTTCCTGGAGGAATACGAAAGTGTCCGCCTGCACTTTGCGCGGTACGGCGGGCTTCGTGCGGAGCTCCTCGGTCCGAGTATTTGGTCTGCCTTGCGGTTCAGCAAAAAGGTGCGTTTTCTCGGGGAGGAAGTGCGGGCAAAACTCGCAGCTCGGGGAGTTCACCTCGACGCGGCGGTACACTGGCGCCGCGGAGACCGCGAACTCGGCTCACAACCGCGGAAACTTGACCAGTATCGCGAAGCTACGCCCATTCGCTTCGCTGAGCTGGTGGGAACGAAACTCGCATATGAGGGACCACTCCTAGTTCAGAACACCACCACGACCCGGCCTCGCCAGCTGGAAAAAGTCATCGATCAGCGCCCGGCAAAATCTTCAGAAGCTGCGACTGGCGCTAGAAGTAATACTGCAAAGACAAAGACCCACCACGACAATGGAGAACACAAGGCCCCAGTATTTGATCCGGATTCTGTTGCACAGCCTCGCCAGGCGCTCTACGTGATGTCAAACGAAGACCCTTTCAGCCGTGACATGTTGCATTTCGCGCAGCGCATGCACGCGAAGTACGGCCGCCCTACCGTTCGCGCCTACCTGGACAGCGCGGGCCAACTCGCCATTGCGGCGTTCCCTCCCGTAAATTCACCGCCACCAGGACGACTGGCGCGGGCAGTAAGCGCGCCAGAACGAGGAGTCACTGAAAGCGGCCACGACGAGGTAGGATCAGCCGCACGTCGTGCGGATGAAGACGAAGATAGCGGATATTTATCATCCGCTTCTAAAGAAGAACGCAGTGAAGGTCCGATGACAGTTATCCGAATTGGAGCTGGTTATTTGGAGCAGCCACTGCATCCGGTCGAGCTTGTATCGTGAGATAAAACTGTCTCAGTCTCAGCTAAGTAGTAATGCGCAACTTCCACCTTGACACCTTGACGACCTTGAGACGGTTTTTTGTCATGCGTGACATGTCTTTCACATGTCATGTGTTTTCTTTTGCTGTCTGAACGCATATAGAGATTTCTTGTTTCTTGCTTTGGCAAAGCAAAAAACAAAAAATCTCCATTGCACAGTTTGCCAATTTGTCTTGCTGAAACTGCAAGGGGTTGAGACTGAGACAGTTTTTTCGTACGATAGTTCCTTGCGCTGGAGATGTACCTTGCGGCGACTTATGGAATGCAAATGTATCTAAATCTAGGTCTGCGTCTGGCCGAGTGCAGAAGTTTCTCATGCAGCAGATTCTGAATGCGATCAGCCATTCTGAATGCACCTTTTGGACTGGAGTGCAGGTCATAGCATCACAGATTTGAGAAGGGCTTATAGAAAAATGCATACTGCTACCCCGCATGAGAATTACCGTTGCAGTATATTGACCCAAACGGAGCACCTCTTCCTAGCCGCTCAAGACAAATTTTTCTGTGAGTTTACAGCAGGACGCATCACAAGTTGGATTTTTCCAGTCCCAGGCACATTTGCAGTTCCATACAACTGCGCCAACGTTCATCGGCTACGGGGATGGTATCGTCGCCGGTTTTTGCTCGGCGCCGAGTCTGATCGTACACCAAATGCGGACTCACGCTTACCCGGGGAAGGCTTCACTGTGGGCGTTTGAAATGGCGCCAACGCGATGACGTGCTTCCTTTATGATTTAGATGAAATATGTTCCGGCAACTACGACGAGCTCATTCTAAAAAAAGAAGAAGATCGTCGTGTCTCGAGGCCCTGCAGTTTTTCACGACAGATTTTAAAGTTGCACGGGCAGGGGAGTCAACGTCGGGTCTCTGCTGTCGGCTGTGAATCCGTGAGGAAACACCTCGAAATGCCTCCTGTGTTGTGGAGAAATGTAGAGCACTGAATGCTGGAACAAACGTGACTCGCTTCTCTAATCTAAACAACAAATACAAGGTTGTAAACTACTGGCTTTGGAAGATACAAATAACGACAAAGGCAGTTTTTTGATAACAATTCAAGGACGACAGTTTGGTTACTCTGGGTCGGAACAAAGCATAGTGGATTCTGCTTGCAATGTTAGAGACCTGACACCGAACTGAGACGATGTTTTTGTTCCGAAGGAAACATCCTACACAAAGTGCAATGCGGTTTCGTTTCGTCCGACAAAGAAGTTTGCCTGCAAAACAAAGTTGTTGTTCTCTGTGTGGCTACATCTCAAAAGAGCGAGCTGTTTTTTGTTTCGGAAAAGGAAAGGGACTATTGCTAGGCGCGCAAAGAAAAAATGGATTGCTGAAGACAAACCGCCCTAGCAAGGAGATTAGTGTGCTTGCAGGACATCAAATGCGTTTTTGCAAGAATAGAGGAATACCCCAACGCGCACACTCGGTTCTTTTTTTGTTTTTTGAGCCGGCGCGCAGAACTCTTTTTTTCCCGACCAATGGGTGCAGCGAGAAGGGATCTGACAAACTGATGTGGGTGGTTTTTTTGCTGTGTGTGGTGCACGAACTAAGTATGTATGAAGATTGTGCATGATTCAGGGAATGATGAGAAAAAGATCCAGTACAAGGTACGACAGGCTTGTCACCAGATTGCTAGGCAGACGCGAACTGTCTTCGGAAGGCAAAAATGGAGGGCTACACTTCAAAACAGAAGCAGACAAAGGGAAATAGGAATTGTGTCACGAACATCTTCATGATCAGACCGACGAAATTTCACGCAATTTCTGTTTGCTTCATCAATCAATCTTTAGCAGGCGAAATTGTGCTGAGGGAAAACAGCTTAAGCAGGTAGTTGTAAACAAAGATTTATACTACCAGTGTTTAAATCAATAATCTTCATCGAATAAATATTTATTATTGTGCTGCCGGGGTGGATATATTTATATATTGTAAAGAAAGAAAGAGCTATTGCTATAAAAAGTCCTTAGGGCTATTGTTGCGCTTACCCATTTAGATTTTGGGTGATTTGATACAAGAATCGATACGTTAGTACTTTGGTAGTCCCCTCTACTTCTGGAAAGCGATAAGACGACCTTCATTTTTTCTGTAAGATCTTGGTACGTCAGTACCAGTAGAGTAGTGACAATTTATTTTATCCTTACGTTAGCTACTTGGAGCATTCAAGCCACACCAAAAGCGCCTGGTTTGCGCTGTGGCTTTGTTTTAAAGTTTCGACAGCTGTGTCAAATCAATTTCGAATTTCAAATCCTGTAAAAATACCCGAGTCATTAAGTTATTTGTGGTTATAATTCGGACAACTAACAATAAAATTTTTCCTAAAAACGACCTTTGCTAAACGACGTTTGACTTCTCTGAAGCTGCACCTGGAAAGTGCGCTTCTTACTATAATTCTCTTGTACAATAATAATTACAGTTAAGTTTATAAGCTGGGAGAGGGGAGAGCCCGGGAGAGGCTGGGAGAGGCTGGGAGAGCTTCCGCAAATTAGAAGGAACAGCGCGACTCGTTTTGTAAATTTGCTTCAGGCTCGATGGTATGATGTCTATTTTACTGCAGTTCTTTTTATATATATGTAAGCGGTTTGGACGGCGCCCCTGTGGCGTATTTCTATTTGTGACTACTCGGCGCAGTTTTTGGGATGGCGGATGCCGCCGACAGGTGGCATCTAGGGGGCGAAAAATTCCTGCATGCGTGTCCTCCACGCGGGCGGCCCCTGGGGCGCTGCTGTCGTTATCCATCAGGGAAAGTTGAAGCGGGCACTTCGATTTTCCTTCGATGAGGGAAAGCTGAAGTGGCCAATTCAAATTTCCTTCGATGAGGGAAGGTTGAAGTGGTCACTTCAATTTTCCTTCGATGATGGAAAGTTGAAGTGGCCACTTCGAATTTCCTTCGATGAGGGAAAGTTGACGGGGCCATTTCAAATTTCCTTCGATGAGGGAAGGTTGAAGCGGTAACGTCGATTTTCCTTCGATGAGGGAAAGGCGAAGTGGCCACTTCAAATTTCCTTCGAAGAGGGAAAGTTGAAGCGGCCATCCCAAATTTCCTTGCTTCGATGAGGGAAAGTTGAAATGGCAACTGCGAGCTTCCTTTGATGAGGGAGCGTTGAAGTGGGCACTTCGATTTTCCTTCGATGAGGGAAAGTTGAAATGGCCATTTCAAATTTCCTTCGATGGGGGGAAGTTGAGGTGGCCACTTCAAATGTCCTTCGATGAGCGGGCGCGCGGTGCTCGTTTGCCTTCGAATCGATGCAACGCCATTGGCTGCGTATGGGGTGAGTGAATGCGCGCGCGCAGCGCGCGCGCGAAATTTTTTTTGGTTCTATGGCTCTCCCTATTAAAGTATAATAATCAACACCATACGCGGGGGATTAGATAATCCAGCGAGTTTTTTTTTTGTGACGTGTTGGCGTTGCTGATTTTCCTCTCCCAGGCTCTCCCAACCCAGGAAAAAGGGGGCTATAAACTGTGCTGTAATTATCTTTATTTTTCTGGCCCGAAACACCTACACCCCACTTCCTGTCGCACGACATGGCTGCTCGCGCAAACGCCAACGCGAAGAAGCGACAAAAGCCGTACGAGTCCCCCAACGAGGATGACGCTGGGTATACTTCGGCCACAGGGTCCGGCACCACTACTTCCACCACGGCGAATACGAGGCTCCGTGCGCACTCATCGGTCGATACGTTCACCAGTTTGCCGTTCCAGTACGCTGCTCTGCCGAGGAATCGGCGCCACAGCCTGCTACACGACACCGACTGCTTCGATATCGAACAGAAAAAAAGTGCTACAGTGACGAGCTCGCTTAGATTCCATAGAATTCTGTCTTGCCTAATACGAAAACTCTTCTGACGCAAAGCTACAGGATTGGTGTTTTACTTGCCTGCAATGAGGATTTATACGATTAAGTTTTATACTTATACGATTTCTTCAGATAGCTCGAAAAAGATCTGACTTGTCCACCGAAGGAACTCATGCATTTTATTTCAGTGTAGTGTGATGTCACTGTAGCGCTTTTCCCCTGGGATATTCGAACGGCAAGCGCCACTTATCCCCACTCTGAAGGGCAATTCGGCGACCAGCGAGCACGTTTTGTGCGGAATTGAGGCGAATTTACCGCACATCACGGGGCCGGTTTATTTACCGCCACGGAAGCTGCTGTGTGTGGATTTTCAGCCACTCTCTGCGGTACCTTCTTAAGCTTCTATTTGATTTTTGATATGTTCAATAGAATTATGGAAACGCCCGAAGGGCTAGATTTCTGCTGGGTGTTTTTGCAGCGTTTGGGAGGAGTGAGCGCCGGTTGCTTGCTCTTTGCTGCGCTGTTTGATATGCATCGCTCTCGTTGAAGTAGAAGTTGTCGCGCAAATGTCTATATTTCGTACTCCAATGAATACAACAACAGGCAAACTCGGGGTCGTTCGGAACGGTCTTTCGGTACGTATCACACTGGAAATACCACTCCCAATCCTGAGTCATTATTCCTGTTATGGTTTTCCTGCTTTTGGTTCTCGAGAATTTGTGTATAGCATGGTGCCGAAGTACGACGTTGGCGCTGCAAGCGTTTGGGCCTTCTTTTTCAGACGCAAGGCTGTGTCCGCCTCCGCGTTTTTTGTGGAGGCAGCTTGCCTTCATGAAAATTTGTTCCCAGATTTTTTTTTTGCACCTACTCCGCCACACAAGCATTTGTGCATGAAGATTGGGACGACTATTTTCACTGCGATCAGCCAAGACCGAGAATCCGCAAACCCAAGAGACGGGGGAGTGTATCGGGAAAATTGTGGATGCAAGCGAACCCCGATCCGTGAACGAAATCGCGATTTCGGTGGTCCTCGGCAAGCTATCAAAGCCCCCAAGAGGGTATTTATTTGACTTCATGGGTAGGACCGGGCATGAGACCCACACTCGGTCATTGATTTTTCGTCAGTCTGGCTGCGTGTTTCCTTCCATTCGCGAATCCTCTACCATTTTGCGAACACCCAAAATTAAAACGCAGGTTGATGGCACCGTTGGAGGTCTATGCGGAGACAAACGACCTTAAAAAAATTCACTTGCACTATTCTCGTAAAATGTGCATTTACGAATTCAGAACCAAGATCGACCTTAGCATCGGCTTGCCATTGTTTGTTTTGCTGTAGCAGCTCGGTACAGTAGGAATAGGATAGGCTCGAGTGGACATGTTGCGTAAGTGTAAATGAATTACTACTGACTGGCGGTGACTCTAAAACTACTACTTGCAGTGTATCGCGAACACCAAATAACTTTGTTCTAAGATGGTGAGCAAGCCTGATGTCGACTTGTTTTTTTCCTATGCATATTGGGAAGCACGTGATGTCCGGCGACGCTTTCTCCGATATATCTGGTGACGAGACAAATTTCGTGGAGCATTCTTACGTCGAGATTTTGCACGGGTTACACTTCCTCCACCAGAGCGACATAAGCTCGAACGATTGTATTGGGCGTATCACTTTTGTACTGCTTTGTTGGTTTAGATACGTTTTCGCGGATAACTAACTGCCGCAACGTAGTAGGGAACGCCCTCAACCTTACCATCAAAATTCTTGCACAGGTAAACCGGATAACTTGTACTTGGAATTCGACTCGTATGGAGTTCTGCGCGTCTACCTCGGAGATTTCGGGCTACGGGAGAAAAGTTTTGCCATCTCGTCAAAAAATGGACACCACCAGAACACGCAAAAAAAAAAGACGGGCTTTTAGGTGTCTTGATGTATTTGAGAGCCTGCAAATTTGGCTGGCGGCCTTTGCGTTTCACATAATAGGAACTTCGGCCGGAAGCCATTGGGAAGGGGCGAACAGCGCCGCCGGGCGCTCGTCCTCCCGTGTTTCCCAGGTAAGCGGCCAGGAAGTTGGCCCGGTCCCAGGCCCGACGCAGCCCGGCGGGCGCATCAGGTCCAGGCCTGTTGTGGCCCGCCCCACCTGGAGGGAGGCCTCTGGCCTAGGAGCTCACACACGCCAAGAGCAAGAGCCCTAGAAGCCACTCGCAAAAGCGACCCCCTTCACCCCCTACTTAGACTCCGGCGACTTGAAGCACCCCCAAAAACCGACCCCCCTGGTCACCCCCCTTCGAGGCCGGGCAGAACGAAATCTGGGGGGGCTTTCATTCTTGTTCTTTCCAGCGCTTTTTCTTCCGGAAACCGCAGGCGCCATCGACATTGGCGAGGAGCAGAAATCTAGAAGCCGTGCCATGGGCTGCGTGCCCACAGTAGGAATGCCTAGGCCTTGCGCGACCGGCTCAAGTGGAGCAAGACTAAAGAGCGCCCCGACATTCGAAGTAGCCGCAAACTATTGCTGCCAAGGCGGGCCCAAACGCTTCGCGCTGTTTGTGTGCAGCCGTTAGCGGCCTCAAAAATAAACCAAAAAGTTTAGACCTCCAAAAACCAACCTTTTTTTTGCTTGCTCTGGTGGGGTCCATTTTCTATCTGATGGGAGTGCAAAATTTTTCTCCCCTAATCGGAAACGCGTGCAAAGCGACGCAGAGGGCCACAGAGAAGGAATTTCCGCCGTTTCCAGGGGGGTACTGTGATTTTCTCGCCGTCGCAAATTTGCTTGGCGTCGTAGTTTTTTTCATATTGGGTGTACGGATTGTGTGAGCGAAAGTCTGCTTTTCTCTCATGTGTTTCCAGTACTACTTGAACAATAAGCCGGTCTCGCACGGATATTAGTCAGACCATCAGGATCAGCACCATGATAACCACAAGCCCAGTCTTCAGATTCAAAGCAAATAAAATTGTGAACAGATATACGCTGCAGGAGTTGCAAAAGGAGATGCGATTCCCAGGCACGAGCGTCGCCATTGATCAGATGTTGCAGGCGGAGGAAGAAGGGGATAAGGATAAGGAAGACTATGACATCTGCAAATGTGACAACGTCTGCCGTGGCAAGGCTGAGGAGCCGGCCTTGATGACTTTTCTTACGTAGTACTTAAACGGATCTCATCCAGGAAGCACCAAGTCGAGATTGGCAACGCGAGACAGCTTCTACGTGCCAGAAAATTGAAACTGCGCGCCCGACAGTTGGTCCGCGCAACCTGTATTTGATGTCGGAAATTGTGATGGCCACAAACTAACAAAAGGCATATCAATTTGCATCTTGTCCATTTTTAATGCAGCACGACGTCCCTTGCCGTGCGGTTGTCCCGCTTGAGCTGGCCATATGTTGAAACTGCTGACAAAGGACGACTACGCCAAGAGTTTATGGAACGCGTTGAAGGCCGGCGGGGTGAGTTTATTTTTATGTTTTTCTCCTCTATCCGGTTTTCGTTTTTTTTTCCTCACGAACACTGCTTTTGTTTCACTTTCATCAATAACAATGTGATGTCATGTATAGAAAATAAGTAAATAAAGTGTGAATGTACACTTTTGAATAAAACTATGAATGCTCAGCCAGCAACACTTATCGACCTCCGTAAACACGATGTGGGCGTGTGTGGATTGGTCGCCTTAGAACTGCTTCTTCTCGCAGCGGGAAAAGATCATCTCCTCGCGAAGGAAGCAGACCGTACCTGGCCGCAGGTCCTGCCCGCCGCTGCGTGGGGGTCGATGCGCTTCCTGGAGGCTGAGCGGGAATCCAACGCCCTGCAAGCGTTGATCGTGTCCCCGAACATGCCGCGGGATAATTTAGCCGTCATATGCAATGCAAATATGTCTGCAGCTGGAACCTCCTCGCGACACTGATGGATCAATCACGAGGAGGCCTCAATTGACGGCCAAGCATGACGAGGTTTCGAATAGCTCGGTTGCATCTACTGGAGTATGATGACTAAGAACATTTCTGCATGGCAGCAAAGCGTGGCCTACGGGTAAGTAACTTGCGAGCTATCCTTGTCCAGCATGACAAATCTTGCAGTTTTCGTTCCACACCCAGGCATATTTGCACTGTATAGGTTAAGGGATGGTCCGGAGAACGAGTGAATAAACTACGGGAGAAAGCGTTGGAAATTAACCAGTTCCTCTATCGCAAGGAAAAATCCCCCCTTCCCATATTGAAAACGCATACGCCTCAAAATTGATTTTCGATGCAGATTTGTGACCGCAAATCGCGCGTGTCTTGCAGGAAGCTAAACGCAGGATGTCCGCCACGTTATGCAGGTGGCGATTTGTAATGCTGTAAGGTGGACGACAGGGCACGCAGCCGGCTACTACCATTCTAGGCGGCTACACTAAAAGGCGCCTAGCTAGGCTCGCGATTTGCGTGCAGTCCTCTACTGCAATACTCGAACTGCTGGTTTTGTGTACGCAAATCCAGCATCACAGACTTCCTTTTCGATGTGGGGAGGGGGGATTTTTCCTTTTGATATCCTCCAGGCACCGGGGTCGAGGATGCGGAAGGTGGTCCTGGCGTCCTTAAATGGTGCGCCCGGAAAACGGCCCACGGCGGCCGAAGCGCTGAGCACTTTGGGGGCGCATGCTCCTTCGGCGTTCCAGATTAGGTATAGAAGTAGAGTAGTCCATTTTTTTAGGTTGGGCGCATTTTTCGTTCTTGGTGAGTTTTCACAGTTTCGAAACCTCGGGTGGCAATGTTTTGCGCAAGTGCATGGGCAGCAGAAGTCAGCATTGGCTCGTGGCAGATAGCTGCACAAGCGCGCGGCGCCCCTCTGGAGCTTTACTATTACATCATCATCAATATTAACCACTACTGCAGTGCGATGCCGTGTACGGGTTTGGTCGTGAAGGATCAAAAGGCGGCCATCGCGGAGGCGCTCGAATACTATCACGACGCCGAACGATATCCAAGGACAAAAGTGCTACAGTTACACGCTTGTAGTGAAGTCAGCAGAAAAAATTGCCTCGCATCACGAAAGAGAAAACTTGCCATGCAGAGATCACAAGGGAAACCACACACGAAACGAGACGCGCAAGCATTTTGCGCATGACAGAGGTCGTCTGTCTTACATGTCTTGTAGCAAAGTGTGTAACTGTAGCACTTTTTTCGTTGCATAAACGAACGGCGGCAGGCACCGCGGCGTCGTACACCCGAGACTGCTATCAAATGCAAATATGCCTGGTTCTGGAAGACAGAACTTGTAATGCTGCACTTGGATTCCAAAGAGAAAGAAATCTGTACTATTGCATGAGCAGCAGAGGGAATGTACTTTTTGCTACGCGGAGAGGGAATTTTTCATGCGTAATAGGCATCGAGAAGCCCGCAAAAACAGTTATGATGCTAGGACCTGCATCACAGAATCAATTCACGGGTGATGCAAAGTGTGCATGGATGACAAACCGCAAGTCTTCCAGATCAAGACATATTTGCACTCCATAACTGCATCGAAGCGCGGGAGCGCCTCCTCTTGGACATCGGAATTGTCTACTCCACCGCAATACGAAATGCAACTATGTCTGGGTCTGGAAGAATGCAGCTTGTGGTGCTGCAGCTGCCTGTGGATTCCAAAAAAGTCTGTACTGCATGAGCAGCAAAGGGCAGATAATTTTTGCTACGCGGAGAGGGCATAGCATTTGTCATGCAGAATAAACATCGCGCTTGCGAATCCCTCAAAAATCTGTGATGTTAGGGCATGCACCACAGACATCATACATGGCTCATGCAAAACGTGCGTGACAAGTCTCAGAACCTTCCAGAATCAGACATATTTGCATTTGATATGCTAAAAGGGACGCTCTCCTGCTGGACCAAAAAAGGGAACGGGAGGGCCGGTTGCCAGTCGACGTGAAGGAGGACCGCAAACCAGACATCAGCCACCGTCCGGATGGCCATCTACAGGCGATGCTCAGAGTACTTTTTGGCTTTGCGCCGCTCTTTGGCTTCTTGGCGTTTTTTTATCTCTGCGAATGTACGTCCAGTGCCAGTCAGAAAAAGATGAGAAAAGACCACAACTTTACAATACAATTTCAAGGACTAGGACAATAAACACAAAGATGATGATAATGATGACGTTGATGAAATTACTTCGCGGCGACTTTGTTGTGTATTAATTTGGTTTGACGCGGCACGCATTCATTGCACCATGCATTGCAAATATGTTTTGATCTGGAAAGTTGTGATGCTAGTGTGTGAATGGTGGGCGCGCGACTGCAGTACACTGCCATGCTTGAGAAGTATCTGAGCTCCTTTGTGTTTCGTTCTCCGCATGACAAACTGCGTGGTTGCATGACAGACAAGATGCTCACGTATTAAATTTTCAAGACTCATGCGAGACAAGCATTACAGAACTGCGCTCTTCCAGACCCAGACATAGTTGCAGTGAATATGCACTGGCGCCGCGCAATGCAGCTGCGCACAGATTACAACTCGCATTGCACATAAGTAAAACAGGTTGTGAAATCGCGAGCCGCCAATAAGAAATGGCTCGTCGAACAAGACGAAAAGAAGCCAGTCGGCACCGGTGTGAAACGGTAAGAAAGTGCAGTGCGCGACCCCCCTCGAACAGTTATTCTAGTCCGGGAAGCTCGTCGTACCGCGACCGCCATGAACAATATTTTTTGCACAGTGTACGCTGCCCCTTTATGGCATATCAATGCAAGATATATTATACCTTCACGGGAGCTGCTGTGTAATGTGTAAAGCTACGTTCACAACAAGCCCCTGACGATCGGATCGAGTCACATCGAATTGCTTGCCTGCTCCATCACTTTCGCCTCTCCTCACGATTCCTTGCTACCTTGCCCGTTCCTGTCCCCGGCCCGCCCTCTTTGTTTATATAGTTGAAAACGATACTCTCGAGCACGACATTCTGCTAGCAGTCTCGTGTTTTTTTATACGTACATATTTATAGAGTGATGTTTTAATCGACGCTTTTTAGGTCATAGAGTGTTTTACTAGACGATGCTATAGTTGTAGATACGGATCAGAGCACAAGTCTTTGTCTTTGCTCAGCGCTTTTTGATTTTTTACTCAGGAATATAGATAGTACGTTAGACGGTCACTCGCTTGCCTGAAGAAGCGAGCACACGACTGATTTTCTACTCACTCTTACTATCTTCTCCTGTTGCTGCTCCCTTTTTGCTTTCCCTGGGCCCTGCTGGCACCAAGCAGTTTTTTTTTGGGTTGGGAATCAGTTTCTAGGGTGTCCTTCTTTTTTTTTTTTCTTCATCATTCCTATTTTATGGCATTGCTTTTCCACTTTGAATTTGCATACCATGCATCTTTTCGCGCCAGCTTCGGACCTGAAACGGGCTTTTCCCGTGCCGCGTCCTGCGTTTCTTCCCCCGCTTCTCCGCCCCTGTTCCGACCCGGAGCCGAAAGGGTTTAGAGGGTTCAAAGGGTTTTAAGGTTCCTGTTTTGATTTTATTTAGATACCTATATTGAAACACTATTCACCAGCTATTTACAAGCAGGAACATCATAGATATTATGTTAAGCAGTTCGGCGCTCGCCTGAAGCAGCGAGCACCCTATTGATTTCATACTTACAGTATAATATATGGAAGATAGGTAGAGGCACTTTGGTAGAAGACATTGCTGTGGCGGGCCTCACGAAGGGTTCTTTGGTCCCTGCCATCGGTGATCACGTTCGCGTGCCACTGCGAGCCGCCCCCACCTGTGCGTATTGCTTTACACTTCGTCAGAACTACGTTGGGATCATCAACACTGCCAGAAATTTTACATTACTAATAAACATATCATGTTGATGGACTTGTGCCGCCTATCTCGGGGGTCGCTCACTCGCACTGCATACGAAGATTTTGCAAGGGCGGGCCAACGAGACGGTGTTCGCTGCCGGGAGCATCATGATCGAAAAGTCCAAGTGGGAATCCATCGCACTCGAACATGGCATCACGAAGGAGGAGGCAAACAAGGCGTTGGACGACGCATCCCAGAGGGGGTTTTTGAAGATCTACCGCAATGCCAAAAAGCCGAAAGGCGGTAGAGGACAGGAAAAGTAGAGCGAGGAGACAACTACGGTCATCAACATCACGAACGAGATGTGGGAAGAGTATAATATTGCGGATGTAATTCTGTTTCTGATTTCTTCTCCATACGTGTCCTTTGCATTTTTGTGCATGCGCTGTCATCCGGATTTTGTCTTCCGTTCAAAAACCATGAGAACCAGAAAAAAACAACTGCAGGTTCGTCCACAAGATGCCGGATCAGAAGGTTTCCTCAAATACGGATGCATCCTCATCGAGCGAGGCGACTGGTGCATTGATGAGTTCGGACAGCTACCCCACACCGTTCCTTCCGGAGAGTAACTAGCTGGCCGATGCTGCGCTTATAGTTTAGCAGCAACTGTGCGCAAGTTTCTCCGCCAACTGATTTTTACGCCCACTCTTCTATCACTGTGTTTCTACTATGAGTAATTGCCTATTAATCTCAACAGTTACACACTCGAACGCTTTCACCAATTGGCCGTCTTACAACTACTTACACGGAAAAATATTTATGTCGCTCTACCCACTGAGCAAGGGAAGTTGGATGCTTCCGCGTTAACACGTTGTTACAAGAACTAGTATCGCAGAGTGGTTGCCCTCGAAAAAAAATCACCCACAGTTTTGACAAATCGCAAATAAGGAATGTCCCTTTTGGTGTGCCCCCTCCCATGTTGAGCTAGATGGAAAAGAACGGCATGTCGATCTGCATGTCCCATGTTGAGCGCCGATATGCACAAATGTCCGTTTATGCACAAATGTTCCGTGGATGTTCCCCAGAAAGATCACGCAAATCGTCTATGGTCGCGATGCCCGCCTTGTTTCCCAATTCTTTCGGGACGCATGCCCAAACACAGGCTCGGTTTACTGTAGTCCATGTTCCATTCACATCGTTTGCAGTGCCATGATGATGATGCGTTTTTTCGATGGTTTTCTTCTCTCCTTTTATTTTCCACAACGTTCGAGGCCTGGTATTGACCATTAGCGTGTCTCCCATTGAAATCGTGACCGGAACATCATCGTGTCTGCCATCGAAAGCAGCGCTCCAACTCTACGAAAAGACGAGTCGGTTCTCGGTTTGTGCCGATGTTGGTGTTGCCCATTCGGTATGCCAAGGAAGTTTTAACAGGAACTAAAAAAGATGACTTGGTCGGTAGCAACATGCAAGAAAGCTTTAGCTGCAACGAAGAGTCCTTCAGCAAGTCGTGGTATGGATGATGGTGTATACTTAGCTGCCTGGAAATGCGGCCTCACTTGGGGGTACATTGTTACATTGAGACAGGTCAGAATGAACTGTGAACACAGCGCGTCGTTGAGGGCATTGCCACTGTCTGCGGGTTTAGGGCGGTTGCTCCAATGTCAAGCTGCATTATTATTCCACCTAATTATGGCTGTTGCAAGGACCCAAGAGGACCCGCCCGGGGACCTTGCGATACGCAAAAATTCAATCAGGTTAAGGCTTTTCTCGCAAAGCCGATTCTTTGGCCCACCAAGAAAGAGGGGCGCATCCCGCGCCTAAATATTTATTGCTTCCGCAAGTGCCCAAGGGGACCTCCCTGGGTACCTTGTGGTAGCAGAAATATAGTCAAGTCTGCGGAGGTTTTGCTCGCAAACAAGCCAATTTTTTCAGCTCCCGAGAAAACGCCCAGAAAATGCGGCACATCCCCCAGCTAATTATTGCTATCGCAAGGCCTCGTGATAGCAGAAATTTAGCAGGTCGTTGAAGGTTTTGCTCGCAGGGCCGATCTTTTGGGTCGTCCAGAACATGCGGCGCTTCCCGCACCTGATTATTGCTGCCGCAAGCTCCTCTGGGGACCTTGCGGCAGCAAAAATTAGACCTTTTTGGTTTTGCTCGCAGGACCGATCTTTTGGGCCGCCCAGAACATCGGCGCTTCCCGCACCTAATTATTGCTGCCGCAAGCTCCTCTGGGGACCTTGCGGCAGCAAAAATTAGACCGGGAGAAGGTTTTGCTCGCAGGGCCGATCTTTTGGGCCGCCCAGAACATGCGGCGCTTCCCGCACCTAATTATTGCTGCCGCAAGCTCCTCTGGGGACCTTGCGGCAGCAAAAATTAGACCGGGAGAAGGTTTTGCTCGCAGGGCCGATCTTTTGGGCCGCCCAGAACATCGGCGCTTCCCGCACCTAATTATTGCTGCCGCAAGCTCCTCTGGGGACCTTGCGGCAGCAAAAATTAGACCGGGAGAAGGTTTTGCTCGCAGGGCCGATCTTTTGGGCCGCCCAGAACATGCGGCGCTTCCCGCACCTAATTATTGCTGCCGCAAGCTCCTCTGGGGACCTTGCGGCAGCAAAAATTAGACCGGGAGAAGGTTTTGCTCGCAGGGCCGATCTTTTGGGCCGCCCAGAACATCGGCGCTTCCCGCACCTAATTATTGCTGCCGCAAGCTCCTCTGGGGACCTTGCGGCAGCAAAAATTAGACCGGGAGAAGGTTTTGCTCGCAGGGCCGATCTTTTGGGCCGCCCAGAACATCGGCGCTTCCCGCACCTAATTATTGCTGCCGCAAGCTCCTCTGGGGACCTTGCGGCAGCAAAAATTAGACCGGGAGAAGGTTTTGCTCGCAGGGCCGATCTTTTGGGCCGCCCAGAACATCGGCGCTTCCCGCACCTAATTATTGCTGCCGCAAGCTCCTCTGGGGACCTTGCGGCAGCAAAAATTAGACCGGGAGAAGGTTTTGCTCGCAGAGTCGCTTTTTTGGGCGGCCCAGAAAATGCGGTGCATCGCGCACCTAATTATTGCTATCGCAATGTCTCCAGGGGATCTTCCTGGGGATCTTGCGGCAGCAATAATCAGATCAGGAGAAGGTTTTGCTCTGAGGAGCGATTTTTTGTGCCGCCCAGAACATGCGGATTTTGCCTTGCGAGTTCCCGTGGCCGAACCAGCCGACTAGGTTCCAACTTTTATTTCAGGATGTCGTAGAGGAAGATCCAATGATCCATGTCCATCCACATCAAGAACCCCGGACGATCCGCAATCTTCACGAAGCGTCATGCTCCATTAGAGTTCGTAGCCCCGATCATGAGAAAGGAACTTTTGATCAGCAGAGCTTCGTCATCTATCGATGAGTTTTGATGTTTCGCGATCATTGGTGTTGCTTGCCATTTTTTGTGAGAAGGAGGAAGAATGCGCACGTCCAGGAGGAACACCAACACGAATGCACGGGCAACTAATAAAACGAATAGTGCATGATTTGCCCGGCTTGTTGCGTCCAAGACTTTTTGATTTGGAGCTTTCTCGCCGCGACTTTCTTGCCTTTGATTGACGCAGCGAGAAATGCAAAACTCATCAAACGGATCAAGTTCCAGATTGGATTTGTGCACTTCTTCTATAAGTTCTGGTGGTGCCTAGTATTGTAGAACTGGCAATCGCAGTTTTCTTTGGAATAAACCAGACACCATAGTAGATTAGAACAAGTGTAGAAGAAAACGTTCCTATGTGCTTGTCATTGACGTCAATATATGCAAATAGTGAGGGGCTTTCATCTTTCAACCACCGCAAATTCTTGTCGTTTTTTCATCATCTGAGTCTGTTTCTAGTACTGTGTCCACCTTTTCAAACAAGATCGCCCAGAAGAAGGAACAACTCATCTTCGTCCTCGTCCAAGAGTTGTAAATTTAACAGTTCATAATTGGAAACTATGTCAGCGAAAAAGGGCGCATTCGCGACTTTCACCACGGAGAGAAAGGGCGGATGGAAGTTCTACCGCGCGGCAGACCTGCTCACGAGCCTGCCACACCGCGCACACGCGTACGTAGAGCGGGTGGTTTTGGAGTACCTGAGCGCGCAGCCGGACGTGATCGACTTGATTGCCCCCTTGTCCTCTGCCTTGATCGAAGGTGCGGCCGCGGAGGAGGTCCCTCCGCCGCTAAAGAAAGTGATGAAGAAATCCGCTGCTGCCCCAGTGCCAAAGGCCGACACTGAAGACCACGACGACATGGAGGCGCGCAACATCTCTACGGATGACTCCGCACTGATGTCCGGTGCGGCATCCTCTTCCAAAAAAGCGGACGAGCAGCCTGTGCTACCGGTGCCGCCCGAAGAGGACGAAGAGAACAATGCGATCAAGACTGCGGCGTCTCAGCTCGCGAAAGTCACAGTTGGGTTGAGAATTGATACGGTAGAGGGAAAGACTCTCGAGAAGTGGCTCGAAGTCGACGAGGAGTACATGCCGGTGGACATGGCGATGCAGTGGAGCTGTGAATTAGTGGAGAGTGTGGCCTTGTTGCATAAGCAGCACGGTATTTCGCACGGGGACTTGAAACCGGAGAACATCCTGGTCGAGAGCAGATCCAGGCATTTAAAACTGGTCGACTGGGGATGCGCAACTATCAAATGCAAAAATGTCTGGGTCTGGAGGGTTGGAACTTGTGATGCTGACTTTGGACTCTAAAAAAGTCTGTATTGCATGACCAGCAAGAGGAGTCTAGTTTGTGCTACGCGGGGAGGGCATTTGTCATGCGGAGTCGGCATCAGGAAGCCCTCTAAAGATCTGTGATGCTAGGTCGTGCATTACAGACATCCTCGGCCATGCAAAACATGCATGACAAACCCGGCAACATTCCAGACGCAGACACATTTGCAAGGGATAGCAACTTGGGGCAAGCAAAACACGAAAGCTTCGAAGTGTGCCGCCGGCACGTTGTACTACGGAAGCCCGGAAATGTATCGCAAGAAAAAAGTCTTACAGTTAAACATTTTGTTGCAAGACCGGCAACACAGATAACCTTTCTCATGCAGGAAATGCTTGGGAGCCTCGTTTCCTTCCTGTTTTCCCTCATGATCTTCGCATTACAAGGTTTCCCTGCCACACAGCGAAAGTTTGTGATGCAGAAACTCCAACAAGTGTGTACCTGTAACACTTTTTTCTTGTGATAAAACGTGGGAGACGCTTCTCTCTCCCGGAGGTCCGACCTTCGACACCATCAAGAACGACGTGTTTGCGGTCGGCATGATTCTCGCGCAGATTTGGCACGCCGTCGACTGTAAGCGGGAAGGCGCCCTGGGCTACAAGTGGGACCGCTACGTCGAGAACATTGACACCCAACACGTGACGCAGCACCACTTGACTGCCTTCCGCACGTCGATTGACAAAGCCGTGGGGACCGGGTTTCCGCACCTCCAGCGGATTATCAAGTGCAAAAATGACTGGGTCTGGAAGAGTGCATCTTTGTCATGCTTGTCTGCCATGAGCCTCAAATCTCTCATGCACGTTACCCAAGAGCTCCACTTTTCTGTGATGCAGAAACGCAGTTTGTCATGCAGATTAGGCAACACCTAGAAGCTGAGGAACTTGTCATGCTGAGCCAGCATTTGTGGCCTCATCATGAGACGCCACCCAGCATCACAAGTTTCCAGACCCAGACATTTTTACACTTGATACGGATGCCCAAGTTCTGGCGAGACTGGATTTCCGAGTGTGTCGGCCAGCCGCAGCATTCGCGCCCGCGCTTGGCGTATCAACTGTAAAAATGTCTGGGTCTGGAAGAGTCATGCTGTTTCTGCATGACACAGAAGGTCTGTCATGGAAGCTCTAGCATCACAGGTTTCGAGAAGCTTCCGCAATGCCGAACCCGCATGACAAATCCCCCATTTTGGTGACAGAAAGTGCGCAGCTTTTGCTACCTATGCATGAGAGATTTTTGTGTGTTCTGAAATGCGCATCACAAGTTGCATTCTTCCAGACCCAGACATTTTTACACTTCATATGGCGGACATTGTGGACCAGATCAGGACGAACAAAAAGTTGGGCAAGGTGATATCAAATGTAAGAATGTCTGGGTCTGGATGAAACTTGTGATGCTGGGTGGCGTCTCATGATGGGGCCACAAGTGCTGACTCAGCATGACAAGTTTCTGAGCTTCTAGGTGTTGCCTATTCTGCATGACAAACTGCGTTTCTGCATCACAGAAAAATGGAGCTCTTGGGTAACGTGCATGACAGATTTAAGAGTCACGCCAGACGAGCATGACAAACATGCATTCTTCCAGACCCAGACATTTTTTCGTTTGAAAGGTGACCAAGAGATACCAGACCGTGGAGGCGCACCACTACCTGCGTTCCACTGATGTGGCGGCCACCCATATCAAATGCAAATATTTCTGGGTCTGGAAGAGCCAAACTTGTGATGCTGCATTTGGATGCTAAAAAAATCTGTATTGCATGAGCAGCAAGAGGAGTCAAATTTGGCTACGCGGACAGGGCATTTGTCATGCAGGATGCGCATCGATAGGCGCTCAAAAGATCTGTAATGCTATGGCATACATCACAGACATCATGGATCATGGAAAATGTGCATGACAAACTTCTCCTCTTCCAGACCCAGACATTTTTACATTTGATAACCCAGGGCGGACCAAATCTTCAGCCCCTCGACAAGAGCCTCACTGCGCCTCCGTTGGAAGAACTCTTTGGCCTGTGGCCTCTCATGTCCGCGTCCGGCAAGAAAATTGCGGTGTCGATTCCGAACCGCCAGCAGAAGCTCGTGATCAAACAGTACGCCAAGAAACCCACGAAGCACCAGAAGGAGTTGGCGAAAAAGGCTCAGCGGGTCATCCGTCGCGCAGCCGGTCTTTCTGACTGAGAAGAGAGCCGTGTTTTTGAAAGAAAAGATCCATTTTTGATGACTCTTTCATTCTTTACCAATGGAAAAAATGAACCGAGCGATCCTGACTGGAACTAAAATAGTATACTCATTCAATATCTTTATCTTCAACGCGTAACACTGTCTAACCACTACACTTGACGACCCCCTCTCTTTGTCACGCGATGGCACAGGAGAAAATTTTCCGAGACGGTGCAGGCTCGCTGTTTAGTTTGGAAGCTAAGTACGAAGATGTATCAATCTTCGCGTTCTTCAGGTTCACAAATATAAAAACTGGCGCGAGGAATTTCCCATTACTTTCGTGCCTGTCAGCATGATTCAATCATACGTATCAACACAGCAACAGATTGAGTCCGCATAAGTCTGTCGGTGCGAAGCGCAAGGTGATTTTTCATGTTGTTGTGACATTGCCAGAAAGATCCAATTTTTCGATGAAATTGTTGATGTTGTCAAGTGATGTTGCTGGTCTAGCGATCGTCTTCTTTCCCATTCAAAGCCCGGATCACGTACTAGAGTGTGACAGGTGTATACGTAGTTTTCAAGACCATAGATCTGGACAAGATAAGTAGAGATCTCGGTGGAGGTCACGGACAAGTGTATACATAGTACTACTCGCCGCAGCGTTCGCTTCCTGTCACGATCTCACGATCTGTCACGAGCTCCCTCACAGGAAGAAAGATCCGGATCAAGATGCTCTGGGTCCCATTGCGTTGCTGCTGCACGCGCTGTTTAGTCTCCTGTGTGTTTTGATTATTATTTGTGATGAACACAATGAATACTCAGATGAAAAATGATCATCTGGCTCATCATACACGACAAAATATTTTCAAAATTCCTTCTCGTTCTTGACATCACATAATTATTGAAAGACCTCCGACTCGACATCACATGCAGACCACCTGACTTATTGGTGCGGAATTTCAAATGTGAGGAAAGGATTATCGACCTTGGAGGGGTATTCTCGTGACCCTGATCGTCACCACCACCGGGGCGATAACCTCGCGTTGCCGTCGCGTTTTCGCAGCACCAACTTCGGAAGGGAAGCCAGCAGCGCCGGCGTGCTACGAAGGCACAGCCGGAGTTGGTCCAAGTTTTACGCAGAAAGCACGCGCGATTACTTGCGGCTGCACCTGCAGCCGACGACGGAGTTTCTTTTTCACCGCTCGCAGTTACTACCAGAATCGTGTGGACTTCAAGGCGGAGGACCTCTCGCACCAGAAGCTTATCGAAGCTCGTGTGCTCGTGCAGGCAGATTAACGGTAAGTATCTATACGTATAGCTGGTTGGTTCCTGACGTTCACACTAGTATTTTTACAAGTCACAGTCAGCCCTTGATCGTTGGATTTGGATGTCTTGCATAGCAGAGATGGTTTTTTCGTGCTCAGCATACTGTACATCTGCATAGCTGTTTGGATCAACACAAAATTTTAGGGTCGGCTCTGCGTGCCGGATTCTTCAGGGTAGCAATCGTCGCTTCAAGGAAGAAGAAAGTCGCTCTCGTGTGCGAAGGAACTTCAAATTGGCAACGCTACTCCGGCAACATCAACATCTCCAAACCACTGGAAAGTCGCATTCCGTCGGTTGAATTCTTCTGTCGCAGTTCCGTTTACGACTGCCTCTTCGCAGCCTCGTCGCAAACGCAGGGAAGATGCCCCGACGCGCAATGGATAGAAAGGAGAGCCCGGTAGTACCGCCACGACGCCGCGAGGAAAGTAGAGAGCGGCGTAGCACTTCTAGCTCACGTAGCTATTCTTGTTCGTTGGGTTCGCAAGACGCGGACATGCGGGATGTGATCGACGAGCATGAAGAGCAGGCACAACCAGCCGGTCCACGTGATGAGCAGGGGAGAACAGCAAATGGAGGATCGCAGTGGGACTCGTTTCAAAATGATTTTCATCGCATGCAAAGGCGACAGGAGAAGAACCAGAAGCAGCAAGTTATGGACGATCTGAGCACGTTGATCGACGTATCAAAAGGAAAAATCCCCCGTCCCCATATCAAAAACGAAATTTGTGTTTCTGTATTTGAGTACACAAATCGTTGTGTATTGCTAGAAGGCCAAGTGGCGCAGTTGCTCCCTCGTTTGGAGCCAATTTGTTATGCTATTTCCCCTTTCCAGTTGCTTCCTGTCATGCTGAAGACGCAAGGCGTTCCTGCGCCAGCCAGCACTACAATCCGCACCTGTTCCCTTCTAGCGTCACAAAGCTGATTTGTGACCGCAACTCTGCATCACAGATTTCCGTTTTGATATGGGGAGGGGGCATTTTTCATTGTAATACGACGCCATTTGCGACGCGCTGTCGCCTCAACAGGGCAAGAGTACGCCCTTCTTCCGACCCGCGGTTGTGCAGGCGTGGTGCCTCAAAGATCTGCGCGAGTCCGGGCCGACGAGAACGAAGTGTTGTTCCAGCAATGCGAAGAGATCCGCGGGCTCGCTAGAGGCGGAGAAACTTTTGCTCGCGGTATCAGGGGCTCTGGAGAAGTTTCGGGACCACGAGACAGTGACCGATGATGTCGCGGAAGCCGCCGTAGCCGCAATCTTCCGCGAAATCTGGCCGTGGGAAGACGAGGAGCAAGTCGAGAGCAAGAAGAAGAAGCAGAAGCTTTCTTCTGCAAAGCGCTCCAGAAAGCTTCGGGACAAGCTGTACCAACAATGCAGGTTCGAGTACGACAACCAGCGGATTCATCACTTACGAGCCGGGCGTCGTGGGTGGGCTACAGGTAACAAGGCCAGTAGCGGAAACAAGTGGAAGGCGAGCAAATCGGGCCAACATCTTCGCGGAGCCAAATACGAAGTTCGCAAGGATAACGACAAAAGGAAGGACCGACCGGACGCGAAAAACAAGCAACAGGGACAGCAGCTTCCGGCGCGACTGCGTCCCCCACAGGAGACAAACGGGTTTGAGAAATATGTAAGTAGCCATAAACACGCTCTTTTCGGAATCGCATTCGGACTGTGTGAGAACTATATATGCAAACTGCAAATCTTCCGATTTTCGCACTTTGGCTTTCTTCACTCTAGAGCAGGAAAATAAACCTGAAACTGCTTCTCAAGAAAATTTTTTCATCTGCGTTTTCTGCCGAAGAAATTACTGACACCAAACCTACCACAGCAAAATCAACAGAGTAAGGACATGGCCTTCTATCTACGGTGGAAGGTGCAAGAAGAATTGGAAAGGGCGCCGCCTTTCGAGGACGATGGTCTCGACTGCAGTGCGTGGGTCCTGATAGACCTGGTATACGACCTCTTCAACGAGGTCGGCGAAGAACGAAATCCTTCGAGGATCCAGCACCTCTGTGACAACAGCGTGGACATAACACGTATAGTTTTATGACTATGAGTCATGTGAAGTTTTTTTTCTCATCTCTCTTACCGCACAATGGGTGTTGATGCAGTCCTCAAGGTACAACTTCATGGGTAAGTCGACCTGCAAATGCATTCAGGAACGTGTAGAATATACAAAAGATATGTGACTTCACAAAGATATGAAGATTTGAACAATTGTAGTCCAAACTACTCAAAGAAGTGATGCATTATTCATTTTCAGATGGCGCGGGGCAGCGGTTTGAAATGTGTGAAAGGGATGGCTTGAATTTCGTACGCGTCGTCGACTATGAAAAAGACGAGTCAACCGTCGCCCCGGAAATTGATGTGATATTGCTTTGTAGTGTCAATCATATGCAACCCAAGCATCGATGATAAAAGTATCAATATCTGTGAGAGTGAAGGCAGCGGTGGTCGTGTGAGGCCCGCTTGTAGCACCAAGTAATCAATGAACTAGATGAAAGTTGCTGGAATTACAATTGGTGAACCTGCGCCGGGGCGGCTTTTTCTCACAACACCGTCACGGCAGAAGAAACGAAGCAGAAGCTGTGGAAGCAAAAGCATTTTCGAGAGCTCGAACGCAGGAAATGGGAAAAAAACAACCCGGATGACCAAGAGTGGATGCGGACTCACGTGTTGCCGGGAGAGCCGGACATGGTGAAGTGGCGGCAGTTCAAGGAGCACTACGAGCTGAAAAGGTGGAAGAGTCTCGCCGAAGAAGGTACGTGCACCAGCGCACTGCACCCTGGGGCACTGTCGCGAGACGAGCGCGAGCGACTGGCAGACCGGGCGGCCAGAGGTGAGAAGCTGAGTAAGCCAGAAAGAGACCGTCTACTTGCGCCTGGTGTCGTGCAGCCGCGGCCGTTTGCGCATCCGTTATTTGACAGCAACAAATCCGAGCAGGAGGATGTTTTACATGACCGGGAAAATAACGAGAAGATGGCGCATGAACAATCCGAGCGACGCCAGCGAGGAAAGCAGACCGGAGAAGTGGGTTCTTCCATGTCAGCGCACGCACGACCGACCGCGCAACCATCCTCGTCTTCTCGTTCACCGCCAGCTCACGCGCACGAAGCGTTGTCATCCTCAAGTTCTTTCTGCACGAAGGATAGCACTTTCCGGCGTAGCGACAACCGGAGCTCAGAAGGCAGCACGTTCTCGCCTGCTGCTTCCTCCGCCGGTAACACGAGTCGAGGGAGCGGGAACTCCAATTATAGCAGTAGAAGCATTGTGCCGCGTGTACTACCAGAAAATTACGACCCGAGATATGATGTCAACGCTCTGGATTGAAGCTGATTGTTCTGGGTCTACTGTCGAAGTTCAACTTCTCGTTCTCGACTGGTGTTTCAGTTTCCACTTCCTCCTGATGAAGACAGCACAAGCGACTTTTCCTTGCCGCATAAGAAAAGAAGTTATTGAAAGACCGAAAACATGAAGTTGATGTTGAAGATCATGAACCACGTCGGTATGGACGCGTGACCTACGTCTTCGTGACAACAGCTAAAGCGGTTGCCGTAGCAGCGGGAAACGCGAAACAGACTAGGTGTACGTAAAAAGGGCCGGACGAAACAAGTAAAATGCTACTGTTGCACTACAACGCTGCGCAGAAGCTCGTGTGTGAAGAGAATGAGCATCGATTTATGCACTACCAGCTGTTGTTGAAAATGACAGTGTATTCTTTCACTGTGGCAAGCAACCCTTCAAGAAAACCCATTCAAAACTAAATTATCGTTACGCAAACCGCTCGTATAGAAGGATGTGTCTAGTAACAAGAAGTAAGTACCCATTCGAAGAAGAAAGAAAAGTCGACGAACAATCGCTGCAACTGCTGCTTCAGGCGAGCAACAGCTACGCACCTGATCCTGCTGTCAGATGTTCGAAGGTCCTTCCCTTATGCGCGCACGTTTGTCAGTGCGAGTTCGTGGATCATGATGATCAGTGACTGTTCTACTATTCGGTTTGTTTTTGAGATGAAGAGAAGACGGTAAAGATAGAAGATCACAGCAGTTTCTCGTTTTCAGAAAGGATGCTGTTTTTTGTTCCGCTGATAGAAGGATCGTGAGGGATGTAGTTGCGTTTTGTTCCGCTTTCTTGCTGTTCCGCACCGCAGACAAGTTCCGAACCAGGCAAGCTGTTTTTGATGAAGAAGTGTCTCACACAAATCCCTCACATGGGGTATGATGTCACCATTGGAGCTTTTTGGAAAAGCGTCTGGTCGGCGGGAACCAGCGAATACGATCCACATTTTTGCGGTTTTTTGTCCGCAAGTGAAGTAGAACGCGAGCTAGTAGACAAGCGACATTGTATCAACTTTTCGTAATGACGCTACTATATCAAGATTAGGAAAAGGAAAAGCGAAAGTATCACGATGGAAGACAGCTACTAGTAACTACGTTAACTTTTCGTTCGTACATCTACATCGACGCTTCGAAGATAACATAATAAATTGAGTGCTCTCAGACTGTAAGTGTAAGTTGTGCCTCAAGAATTATTGCGACTGCTACTTGCAGAACCGTTTGCCATAATTTCGACTGGTACAACTATAGCGAAGAGACGACACAACTATAAGTATAACGACAAGACACCTTTTACCTTTATACAAGCGACACACATAATATATGATCTTTTCTAATTGACGTAGACCAGAAGCTCATTCAAGTAACGATGCCGGAGAGGAACGGGATAAAGAAGTGCTGCAAAAGTGCAGCAGCCAAGTCCTCGAAACAAGGCAGAAAAAGTTGTGCAATAAAAGCGACACAGGAGGAAGATTGCAAAGCCAATACCTCCTCCTCCAAACAAGGGAATTCGAAGTCCACCAACGCGCAGGCCAAAGCGTCTGTTGCGCAGGAAGAGAACAACGACCAAGAAGAGCTGCGGGGACCGAAAAAGCGTAAAACTGAACCTTCATCCGCGCGAAATGACACGCACTTTGTGAACAGACGGGGTAGAAGCGAACAGAAAAAAACGCAGCACCAGGAGGGTTTGGAGAATCAAAAGCCCCATTCAAATCCAAATTATCGCTGGATGAATTCCGCTCGTATAGAAGAATATGTCGGTAATAAGTAAGTACCCATTCATCGAAGAATAAAGAAAAGTCGACGAACGATTCCTGCAACTGCTGCTTGAGGCGAGCAACAGCTACGCACCTGCTCCTGCTGTCAGATGTTCGAAGTTCCTATCCTTATGCACGCACGTTTGTCAGCACGAGTTCGTGAATCACGATGATCATTTCTTTGTGATTGCTCTGCTCTTTGGTTTGTTTTTGAGCTGAAGGCGGTGAAGATAGAAGATCACATCAGTTTCTCATTTTCAGAAAGGATGTTGTTTTTTGTTCCGCTGATAGAAAGATCGTGAAGGATGTTGCGCTTTGTTCCGCTTTCTTGTTGTGCCGCACCGCAGACAATTTCTGGGTACGAACCAGGCGAGTTGTTTTTGATGAAGAAGTGTCTCACACAAATCGATCCCTCACGTGGGGCATGATGTCAACATTGGAGCTTTTTGGAGAAGCATCTTGTCGGCGGGAACCGGCGAACACGATCCACATTTTTGCGTTTTTTTTGTCAGCTAGACAAACGACATTACATCAACTCAACCTTTTCCTAGTATGACACAATCAAAATTAGGAAGAAAAAAAGTATCACGGTGAAAGACAGCTATTAATTATGTTAACTTTTTGTAAGAATCACAATCATTGCAACTGCTAGGTGCAGAATCGTTTACAATTTCGACTGATACAGCAATCACGACCTACAAGCGACACACGTATTGCTATTTCCTAACTGACGTAATAAAAGTTTCAAGCAAGAAGGATGCCGAAGAGGAACGAGATAAAGAAATGCTGCAAAAGTGCAGCAGCCAAGTCCTCGAGACAAGGCAGAAAAAGTTGTGCAAAAGCGACACCGGAGGAAGATTGCAAAGTCAATACCTCCGCCAACAATGCAGCTTCTTCTTCTAGCAGAAAGCAAAGAAATTCAACAACCACGGCCGTGCAGGCTGAACCTTCCGCACGAGGTAGAAGCAAGCACAGAAATAATGCGCAGCTGCACGAGGACCAGGGGGACCATTTGGAGGGTCAAAAATCGTCAGACCCGAAGGGCAATCGGAAGCAAGATAAGAAAGTATTTATTTATTTATTACTCGTCAGTACCAGCAAAAGACCCCGCGTTATTTTCTATTCTTTTTGTAAAGCAAAGGCTGAATGAGAATGTAAGAACCCAGCGCGATGTAAAAATCCGTTCTGCCAGCACTACATTTATACGCATATCGTAGTTTTTCCTTGTTCCATCAAATGACGTCTGAATTAAAATACTACTAGTCCACCGCCGCCACCAGCAAGGAGTCCGCCAGCTCCAGTAAGGCAAAAGCGGAACACGGGCAGGAGGCTCTATTTGCCGCGGAGCTTGCCGACACCGAAGTTTCTCCCGAGCCCAAGCGCAGAAACACGACTGGAGTGAGCGACAACAATGGAAACAAAAACACAACTTCCAAGCCAGTGATACAGTCTTCGTGCACCAGTGCCGCGGCCAGCGGAACGGGTGCAGCAGCCAAGTCCTCGAAACAAGGCAGAAAAAGTTCCGCAATATTAAAAGTGACACAGGAGGAAGATAAAAGCGAACAGAAAAATATCAACTGTAAAAATGTCTGGGTCTGCGAGATTGGAACTTGTGATGCTAACTTTGGACTCTAGAAAAACAAAAATCTGTATTGGATGACCAGCAAGAGGAGTCTAGTTTGTGCTACGCGGGGAGGGCGTTTGTCATGCGGAGTAGGCATCAGGAAGCCAGGTCAAAACCTGTGATGCGCGGTCGCGCATCACAGACATCCTGGGCCATGCAGAACATGCATGACAAATCTGAGAATCTTCCAGACCCAGACATTTTTGCAATTCAGAAAAAAAACACAGCGCCAGGAGGGTTTGGAGAATCAAAAACCCTCAAATCCGAGCGGCAAAGTAGAGAAGGGAAAGAAGGTAAGTGCAAATTCGTTACGAGCAGCACGATCTTCACGTAATATGACGCTCTTATTTCTTTTTGTAAATGTAAACCGAAAGATGAGCTTCAACTTTCCTCGGCTTTTGCCACAGTACACACTGCGCAGTTTTTACTTGATGTTCCAATGATTAATGTCAAAATTATACTACCAGGCCACCGACAACAAGTCAGCCACCGCCAGCAAGGCAAAACTCACGCACGAGGAGGACGCTGTTCCCGCGGAGGCGGCCGGCCTCGAAGTTTTTTCCAAGCGCAAGAGCACGGTGGGATTGGGGAACGATACCAATGGAAGCAAAGGCGCATCAGCTTCCAAATCCAAGCAGGCCAGGAAGTCCATCGGCGCCGGCGCGGCCAGTGGAAAAAAGAGGGAATCGAAGGCGTCAGTCTCCGCTGTTGACGCCGCCAACGAAAAGTACTACAACGCGCTCGATGCAGAGGACGTGCTCGCCTCCTCCGGCAAAGCGATGAAACGGAAAATGAACAACTACAACAGCTTATCAAAAGTAAAAATGTCTGGGTCTGGAAGATTGCCAGGTTTGTCATGCACATTTTGCATGACTCCTGATGTCTGTGATGCATGCCCTAGCATCACAGATTTTGTGAGGGCTTCCTGATGCCTATGCCGCATGACAAATGCTCTTTCCGTGTAGCAAAACTTGGACTCTCTTTGCTGCTCATGCAATACAGATTTTTTTAGAATCCAAAATCAGCATAACAAGTTGGATTCTTCCAGACCCAGACATTTTCCAGTTGATACAGCTCGAAAGCGAGCACGGCCGTGGTGCTGGAACAGAACGGCAATGAGCAGCTCTTCCCCATCTTCGCGGATGAAGAACAGCAGCAGGATACTGACTTGAGGCGAGCGAAATCAAAATCGAAATCCACCAGCAAAAAGGGCCGCGAGGCGGAGGCGTCTGTTGCTAGAATAGAGCCGGTGATACAGTCTTCGTCCACCAGCGCCGCGGCCAGCGGAAAGAAGAATTCGAAGAGGTCAGTTTCCACTTTCGAGGCCAACGAAAAGCACCCGCTTGAAGCCACCGTAGTTGTTGGAGGTGAACAAAACTCGGGCTCCTCGGGCAACGTGATAAAACGGCCACGGAGAATACCAAATGTAAAAATGTCTGGGTCTGGAAACTTGTGATGCTGGGTCGTGGCATATCATGAGGATGCCACAAGTGCTGGCTCAGCATGAGAAGCTTCTGAGCTTCTAGGTGTTGCCTATTGTATCCTGCATGACAAACTGCGTTTCTGCATGACGGAAAAGTGGCGCTCTTGGGTAAGAACGTGCATGACAGATTTGCGAGTCGTGCCAGACACGCATGACAAACATGGACACATCTTCCAGACCCAGACATTTTTCCATTTGATAGTCCACCAGTGCCGCGGCCAGCGGAATGAAGAATTCGAAGAAGTCAGTTTCCACTTTCGAGGCCAACGAAAAGCACCCGCTTGAACAAGCCACCGTGCTCGGTGGAGGTGAACAAAACCCGGGCTCCTCAGGCAACGTGATAAAACGACCACGGAGAATACCAAATGTAAAAATGTCTGGGTCTGGAAACTTGTGATGCTGGGTGGCATATCATGAGGAAGCCACAAGTGCTGGCTCAGCATGAGAAGTTTCTGAGCTTCTAGGTGTTGCCTATTGTATTCTGCATGACAAACTGCGTTTCTGCATGACGGAAAAGTGGCGCTCTTGGGTAACGTGCATGACAGATTTGCGAGTCGTGCCAGACACGCATGACAAACATGGACTCTTCCAGACCCAGACATTTTTACATTTGATAGTCCACCAGTGCCGCGGCCAGCGGAACGAAGAATTCGAAGAGGTCAGTTTCCACTTTCGAGGCCAACGAAAAGCACCCGTTTGAACAAGCCACCGTGCTCGTTGGTGAACAAAAGCGACCAAGGAGAATGACCACCTCGGGCACCGTGATGGTCTATCAAAAAGAAAAATCTCCCCTCCCCATATCGAAACGAAGTTTCTGATGCAGGATTTGCGTACACAAATCAGATCTGTCTTGCTGGAGAGAAATGCAGGCCCATACTAAGCCTAAGTAGAGAGGTTTTGGCCTAGGCGTCTAGCATGAGGAACGTCCGTACTGGAGGCCCGTCAGCATCACAAACCGCCTGCGCAATGCTGCGGAGCTTGTGGAGTTGCCTCCTTGCAAGACAGAGGCGATTTGTGGTCTCAAATCAGCAACACAAATTTTCGGAAGCATACCTTTGCGATGTGGGGAGGGGGGATTTTTCCTCTTAATATGGTCACGACCACGACCACGGGGAATGAAGAATCACCGGTCTCCTCTATCCTGAGTAAAAACGTCCCCACCCCAGAGTTGTAATGCAGATTTGCAAAGATAGGAAGACTTGTAATGCGCATCCCCATGAGAGCCATTTCCCATCGTGTTTTGGAATTTGTGATGCTGTGAACAGGATGAGCAGACGAATCTGTGATGCGGCTGCACTTGCTAACCTGCACTACACTGCGTAGTGCAGCTTGTCATGCGTGACTCACAAAACTCCTAGGTTTGTGTTGCAAAATCCTCATCCTGACTCTGGTGTGGGTACGTTTTTACTCAGGATATCCTCGGGCAACGTGATAAAACGACCACGAAGCATGACCGCCAACAACTCGAAGATGAGCAAGCTGGAGCACGTATCCTGAGTAAAAACGTACCCACACCATAGTTGTCATGCTCCAATCAGCACGAGATACTAGATCTGTAATGCTGCTAAACTAGCTCAAACAGCACTACACTACGCGGACAAACTTGTCATGCCAAACAACCAAAGCTGGCTGATTTGTCTAGCAGATTCCCCATCCTGACTCTGGTGTGGGTACGTTTTTTCTCAGGATAGCACGATCACCTTGAGCAGAGGTCTATCGGGGGAGACCAGATGGAACTAAAAAAGGGCGCTGACATGTTGATGCAATCGCGATCCAAAAAATCGAAATCTACTACCAACAAGGAAAAAGTCCTCGAGGCGTTTCTTGCTGCCGAAGAGGCCAAACCGGAACGGGAAGCAAAGTCTGGCGCAAGAGGCTCTAGCACGCCTCTTGCAGGAGGTATTGCGGGCGGAAAAGCGACAAAGCAATCGTCGAAAACAGAGGTGGCAGTGAAACAAACCGCTGCCGCTTCTAGAAAGAGTACTGGCGGCGGTATTAGTAGAACTAAGAGCTCTAGTTGTACCTCCGCGGCCCTGGGGAAGAAGAGAAACGACACCAAGACCACCTCCTCTGAAGACGCGATCGGGAAAAAAGCGGCGAAAAAAACCCTGCTGGAGCTGGATTTGGAGGAGAATCAAATGAAAAATGAAAAACCAACACCAACGGTTACGAAGGGCAAGAAAGGAAAGGAAGCCAAAGTATAAAACAATTTTGTTACGAGCACGAGCAGCTCATGGGAATTATACCAGATTGATTCTTTTGCTTTTCTTTCTGAAGCGAAAGCTGAACTTCCGCCCGCGGCGTTATGTAGTTGTAGCTTTTACCACACGACAGACATCAGGGTTATATTTTTACTTGTTCTACTAAAAAAATATGTTCCATGTCCAAATTCTTCAAATACTACCAGGCCACTGGGAAGGAGTCAGGCACCTCCAGCAAGGGAATCGCCAAGGACAAGTACGAGGTTAGTGGCGCGAAGCCGGCCGCGCTGGAAGCTTCTTCCAAGTTGAACTTGAAGCGCAAGAGCACGGTGAAAGAAGATTTGCCTTCCTCGGGCGAATATCAAATGCAAAAATGTCTGGGTCTGGAAACTTGTAATGCTAAAAGTGAATGAAAAACGCATTGCAGTACGCAGCTACGCATGACAAATGTGTTGGCTGCCATGTCTTATATATTCCGCATGGCAAACTGCGTTTTGGCATGACAACCAAGAGGGCCTTGTCGTGCCTATGCAGCACAGATTCTCGAGTCATGCCAGACAAGCATGACAAACTGAAACTTTCATTCTTCCAGACCCAGACATTTTTGCAGGTGATAGCGAAGTGACGAAACGGAGAACGACCAGCAGTGCGAAAGCGAACTATCCTGAGTAAAAACGTACCCACACCATAGTCAAGATGGGGAATCGGCTACACAAATCCACAAGTTTTGGCTGTTTTGCATGACAAATTTGGACTCGTATTGTAGTGCTGTTTGAGCTAGCTCAGGAGCATCACAGATCTAGCATACCATGCTGATTGGAGCATGACAAATTGCAAAACACGACTATGAAATGCTTCTCATGGGGCTCCGCATGAGAAACATTTTCAGCATGCAGATTTGCATTACAACTATGGGGTGGGTACGTTTTTACTCAGGATACGAACAAGGCTGGAGTTCTTGAACAAGCTCGCAGTGGGCGGGTGATGTCTGTCGCGCAAGAACAGAAGCAGGATTCATCTGACGTAAAATCCAGCGCGAAATCCAAACCGAAATCTACCAACACGAAGAAGATCATCCTGGACGCGTCTGTTAGAACCGAAAAGAGCTGCAATCCGAAGCAGGAAAAAGCAAACTCCGATGCTCTTGCTAACCCGGTCGCAAAAAAGCGGAGGACGACAGCCTCCAACAAGGCAAAAGTCGAGGACGAGGCTAGTACTTTTGCCGCGAACAAGACGTCAGCTGTCAAGGCCAACGAAAACTACTACACGCTCGACGTCGACACAGAAGACGCGCAGCCCGCTGGTAAACTAAAAGCGACCTCTTCAAGCACAGTGATGAAACGAAAAATGACCTACAGCAACTCGAAAGCCGCGAGCAAAGCCGTGGCGGAACAAGAGCGCAGTGAGAAGCAGATGTCTATCGCCGAACAGAAACGCCAGAAACAGGATGCTGACATGAAGCAAGCGAAATCGAAATCGAAATCCTCCGTCAAGAGAGTCCTTGAGGCAGAGGCATCTGCTGCCGGAACAAAAACTGCAAAGTCTGACGCTAGCTCCACCGTGGCGAAAAAGCGGACCGGTTCGGTAGCAGAACCAAGAGGCTCTAGTATCCCTTCTGCCGCGGATGGAGCGAGCGGAATGGTGAGGAAGCAATCGGCGAAGAAGAGTAGTAAAAAGCAGGCGAATAATGAGCATGAACTTCTGCTGCAAGAAGAAGTAGAGCAACAACCGGAGATATTACACTCGAAGTCAAGCTCTTCCAAAACCCCAGCGATGAAACGAGCACCCAGTAGAATGAGTCAGGGGGGTATTATCACGAGCTCCTGCAGCAACGCGAGACCGGGAACGGTGAAAAAGAAAGACGACAACCGCATGGAGGCTTTGACCTCTAAGTTGAATTCTAAAGCGGCGAGAAAATCGCAACTGCAGTCGGACTTGGAGGACTTTCTGGAGAAGGAGTTGCAGCAATTGTCAGTTGGTTCTGGAGAAGGAGCTGCAGCTGGATCTTCTTCTTCCAAGTTTTCGAAGGACCTAGGTGCAGTGAATAAAAAGCAGTCTTCTTCTAAAGCCAGTGCTGGCGTTGCGGTCTATCAACTGGAAATTGGTGTCTGGGTCTGGAGTGGACTTATCATGCTGATCGGTGGATGACGATCTGTGTCTATCACATTTACAACAGACGGAGGCACGCATGACAAAGGTATCGCCTGCTAAATCTTCTGTAAAAAAAACCCGCGTGACAAATTGCATGATTGTAGACGAAGAGAAGAGGCTGTAGTGCAGTTGGCATGACAGGTTTCTCTTCCCTGTCAGCCAAGTATGAGAAGCTTGAATCTTTCCAGACTGAGACACATTTGCAGTCCATATCTAAGTTGCCGTGGGCAAGACCAAGAGCGGGAGCTCATCTGTTGCAGTTGCGGGTACCAGGTCGGGACGTAGAACATCAGCCGCAGCAGACCAAAAACAGGAGGAGCTACAGAAGGTCCCGGCGCCGGATGTACAGACCATGAGACTACCGGCCGCAAGTGCGAACTCCACGAATTGCAACCGGAGCCGAAGCGTTGTCGTTGCTGGTGGCCCGCGTGCAACAATTGTGGCGGACCCCTCTCAGGCACGGGCCAGCAGCGCGCTGGCTCGCCCGTCTTCTGCCTCCAAGCGTCGAGATTCGTCAATGAAGAGGGGAAAGCGATGGGCAAACCATTGGGAGCGCGCGGACCATGTGGGGCGTTGTTGCCTCTGCTTCGTAGAAGGCGCGACGGAGCGCATGCCGGACGTGGTGGGAAGGGAGGCGGCCCGGGATTGGGCGGGTGGCGGTGAGGCCGGCGTGCTTGAGGCGGACCGTGTGCCGGCTGCGGCGAGTCTTTCCCCATGCTTCCACTGGTTGCCGGCGGAGGAGCTGCTGCTATGCCACCAGTGCCGTGATGAGGCCACTGCCGTGCAGAAGGCTTTCCGAGACCACTCGAGCAACAAGCGATGCCGAGAGTTTGAAAGGCTCTACGTTTGCCTGTACGATCGGGACTATGGCCCCGAGAAGGGCGCGCGGTGCGAATTGGACGACCCGGCGACCGGAAAGCGGGAAAAGTTTTGGTGCCCTGCTGTGAAGGAGCGGCGGGGTTGCCGCTTCGACACTGACCTTGATCACCGCAGTGCGCAAGCACTTCTCAAGGCCAGCAAAGAAGCAACCACCGCGGAGCGGATTGCTTGGCTGAGAGTCTTACGCATTGCAAATGTGCCCGGGCCTCGGGTCGCTGGCAGTTTCCTGCTTCTTTCCTGTGTAAATTGCTCTATGCTGCATGCTGACCAACAAAAGGAAAACCGAGCCCGTTGCTGTCATGCAAAGCACAGGGCCCGCGAATGCCATGCGCACTACGCAGCGGCATCAGGCAGCGCCTTCAGATTTTGTCATGCTTGGCTTTAATCAGGACGGGCGCCGTGTGCTGAGTACTCTGTATTGGTCATGACAAGTTTCTAGACCCAGACACGTTTGCAGTGGATATGCCTACTTCCGCTCAGTAGTTCCGCGCTCGAAGAAGCAGACCGTCGAGCAAAAGCGCGCAGACGTCGAAGCGCGGGAGCTTGAAGATTTTGAACGGAGCTGGGCGCTGGAGTATTTTCCGAATGGCGCACCACTGCCGTCGCCGCCTACGAAATGCAAACGCGTCCGGGCCGGGGCCGGGGAATGTTGGCCAGCTATTAGATGAGGGCCATGGCGGGCAAAGTCAAACGCAAAAACGGGGCGGCGCCCCCGCAAGTTTTACTTGGCCGCGTAGTTGCTACACATGATTTTCTATTCGTTGCGTGACAAGCTGCGAGCGGCCTTGAGCTGCAACGCACGTGAAAGATTTTGCATTTTCTTTTCAGCTGAAGTTTCTGTAGACGAGTGCCCATAGCACTTAGGAGCCCTGCATCATTCCATGCCCAGACGCGTTTGCACTGGATACCGAGGAAGCTTGCCGAGTACTTCGGAGACGACGCCTCGTTCGGTGTGTCTTTCGGCCTGCGGCTCCTGGTCAATCGCCCGGAGGTATTCGTCGTGGAGGAGGAGGGGGCGGACCGAGTGAAGCAGTTGCAGGAAGTCGCGGCGAAGACCTACCGCCAGGTATGGAGCACCGGCAACGGCCCCGCCGCCGCCTTGAACATGATCTTGGAAGAATTTTGGGGATCGCCGCTCTCTCGTACCGCCCCGGCCGTCGCACCGCCAGGCCGCTCTGGAGAGAAAGCAGACCAGCGCACGAAATTTTTCCGGCCGCTCGAGTCGCATGACCAGGGGAACACACCCAAGGAGCTGCGGGTGAGCCGGCGGCGCACTGCTTTTTTTTTAACGTTGCTCCGGCACTCACCTTGGGGCTCTCGGCTACAGATGCTCACGCCGCTGGCCAAGCCGCCCACTGCGCACGTTCTTTGCTTCAGGTGGTGCGAATGCCGCAAATATTCCGCGCCGGTCAAAGGGAAAAAAAAACCAGCGCGCAGCTTCTATCTTCGCGGGGAGGGCGCAGAGAAAGCGCGCGCCGACCACAGGGAGAAGATGAAGGCGGACGGATACGAGAGCTTTGAGGCTGATTGGCCGACCACCAAGTGGCGGAGGGACGTCCCGGGCAAGTAGACCGGCAAACTTGTGGCTACTACAAATACAACAGTGACTGCAGCGCATTTTTCTTCGTTTTTTTTCTGATGTCATCCGGGTACCTAACCGGGGGCACAGTCAGACTCGCACTGAAGCAGATCCTACAGATTTATTCCGAAGTCGATCGCTACATTGGACTTGCGGCTTCGGTTTCGTACTTAGCTGAGTTCCGAGCATCATTGTGTGAGATGGCAGCGCGTAGATTTACTGCAGCTCCCCGCAGAAGATTTGAACTTGGTCTAAGATTTTGATTTAGATTTTGCTCTACGCCCAGGCTTTGGTTTGTTCGCGCAGCTGTACCTGAAAAAGATTTCGGGAGACCCCTGAGAAAAAAAGCGCAGCAGGCGGCATCATCTGTACGAATCAGGAGTAACGCAAATGCGCGAGCCTTTCGACCGAAAAATCGACAGTGCAAGTGCACATGTGAGAGTGAAACTCTATGAAAGTATAAAAGATCTTCTTTATTGTGCCTGCTGCTCTTTATGATCTCGATCTTGACCTCCCGAGTACTATGTTCTTCTGGGGAAATAAACTGCTCATCTTCATGATTTTATTTTCCCAAACCCTTCAGTCAAAACTGCCCGTGTACATGATTCAGCCTCAGAGGTTCGGTTTTCCGGTTCTAGGGTCTGTCTAGTAATCTCGATCTCGCGATAGCAGACAAAGACGACGCTCTAGCGACAAATGCAATTGATGCGACTAGTCGTAAAGAAGATCTGATATGATCCAACTCGCTAAGACCATGACGCGAGAAAAAACAAGCTCTTGACCGATGAGGGGTTGTTGTGAACACAGTGCCAGCAACAGTGCTATTGTCTCCACCAGAAAGACTTGAGGAGGAGCAGAATGAACCTGAATCAGTTGAAGTTGTTGAGCCCAAACTCGCTTTGACAGTCTAGCACGATCGACGACACTTGAGTGAGTGAGTGTACGAAAGTACGTATGTCACTTTACAGTTTCAACTTGTCCATGGTTGTTTCATTCTTGATCTTGACATCGTGATACAAACATGGAAACACATGCGATTTGATATTGGATTGGTGCTGTGGATTTAAGTAGTTGGATTAGTTGAAAAATCAGAAGGAACTAGAACTTGTTTGCTTTTTCTGCTTTTTCTCTGAACTTTCTTCTTTACTTAGCACATCTACACGTACTAGTACTGTATCCCACATCAAGTACTAGAACAGTATGGCGCTTTTGACTTCTGCCCGCTGCGCCGCACCCTCGGCCCGCTACCCCGCACTTATTTCTTCAAAGACGGAGTTTGTCGCGCTTGTGTTGCAGTTCGTCGCGAAGCTGCTGTGCTGGAGAATTGACGCAGATGATGATTCCGGCGCCGAAAGTATTCGCGAAACGCGGCGAATCCCAAATGTCGCGATCCACTGGCAGCTACGCCCCACAATATGTGGCTGGGTCTTGAGTTGCTAGATCTGTAGAGATAGGTGTCCTCCGTCTGAGATCTTTGTTTCGCTGGGTCCCGGCCTCTGTCGTACTTAAACATCCGGCGTCTAATTGTCCCCTCGTGCTTCTAGACAAGTAGAACATCTGCAAGAAAAGTAGATCGAAGCAAGTAATGTGTCGTGAGAAGTGCGAGCAAGAGCATCAACATTTATAAATCCAAGGACTCAACAAAGATCACACTTGCTTGCCTGCTTTGCTATACACGTTTTTTGTTTTTCAGTAGACCTAGGTACATTTCCACCTGATATTATCCCCAAAACCGGGCCGGACAGCACCACACAAAGGAGGACCTCGAGCAGATCAGCGAGGACTACAAGGAGGCTCGCAAAACGTTGAATCGACTTCCGCAGGAGGTGGTGCGATCGAACGACTTTTACGCCAACCTGCTGCTGCGGAACGCATTTGCAGAGGTTCCCGCCAGCCGCTGGCGAATCGACGACCCCGCCGTAAAAGAAGCTCTGCTGCAGTTACCCGTGATACCGCTGTGGATCATTTTCCTCGAGGCACATTTTCAAGTTCAGATCCAGGGGCCGAAAACCACGACGTCCCAGGTGGCAGAGCGGAAAACCTTCCAGACTTCGGTTCTGACACCGCTGCTAAAGCTGGCTGCGCAGGAGTACAAAAAACGCGACTCGGTGGACGAACACGGCGTCGATGGGAAGAACGCACTGCCACTGTCGCTGCAAATTCTCAAAAGGTTTCCGAGCAGGATAACAAGCACCAACGATCTACTGGAAGCGGCCTATCGAAAGAGATCATACTGCACTTCTGCCGAGAAACAGAAACATCCGCCAAGTGGTTGGGCATGCGTTTTCATGAGTACTGAAAGTAGCCTGTGGCAATGGACGCAAAAAACCTTTTGTTATGTGACTCTCCAGTTTTGTTCTTTCAGATGAACATGTAATACAGCTGTATCATGTCCTGCCAGCACGTCAGATTTTGGTTTTGGTGGTCAGACATTGCTCTTTCTATACCGTGCGTAAAGTGATTCGCGGAAAAATTGGCGACCTTTCGCCAGACCTCGGTGCCGTGCCTCCATTGCTATTCCGCAGGTGCGTACAATACCACTTCGTCACGGACGCCATTGCGGAAAGCCTGTCATGGGGGAACGAAAAGCCGAACAAGAAGGCTTCGTCTGTTGAGCAGATGGGCAAGAACGCTGTTTTTTTCGCGTCGGCCTCCGTATCCTCGTCACATGTTGACCAAGTGGAACAGCGACTACACGGCATGAAACCTTCAGACAGGCAACCGCTACGGCTGACAATTACCATACTGAAAATGTGCGCGTCTTCCATTTCGACGACTCTGCGAGCCGCATGATCTCATCATCTTATCAGCACTTTGTATGTATTGCTGCTGGCACTAGTAATATGACGCAATTTTTCTGATTAGGCAGCTGCAAGTAGTTCCTCGTTTCGATCGCACAGAAATTATTTTTCTAATTTTGTAGAATTCTATAGCATGCGCATGATTGCAAAATGTGCACAGTATTCGTCCTTCCATGTCTAGCGTAGTGGTCAATAGCATCTCACAATCGCCAGCACAGGGACTGATTCAAAAACAAAGTCACCAGCAGGAACTCTAATCTGGCATTGGCTCGTGCATTTTTGCGCATGATGTAGTACGCCGTCAAGCCTGAATCGTCTCCGTCCAAGGTGGGCCATCTGAAGGTGGTCAAAACGCAACGCAGATGCAAAACAACGTATAAAGAGCAACGTCGCGCGAGGTGTCAACTGCAAAAAAGTCTGGCTCGTCTGGGAGAATACAGAAGGCGTCGTGCAAATTGTGTATTTAGAAGGACCAGACCAAGGTAAACGTAAATCTATCGTCTGTAGTTCACCGTGTCCATGACAGACAGAGACAGTGACAGATGGACCTCTGTCTATAATTGTAAAAAGAGAAAGACGTCTGCCACACTCACAGCAGCAAGATCAATGGTTTTCAAAGTTATGATTCCGCATCACAAACTCGGTGTATTGTTGTAGATTGGAACAAAAATTGCGCAAGATAAAGATTTTCTGCTCGTTTGTGTGCTAGATCGTAGTCCCTATGGTCCTAATTGAGGCTCGTAAGTTTGCATTCTTCCAGACGTCGCAGGGGCATTTACAATGCATAAAAAGGACTTGCAGGAACGGGAGATTCGCAAAGAGTATGCCCGTCAAAACTTGCGACAATACCAACCGAAGAGATGATGTCTGTGACACTTATAACTAGAGCAAACTACAAGTAGTGCGATTGATGCGAAAAAGCATCGAATTGTGAGTATCATTTTTTTCTCACCGATGGATTTTGTATTTCAGCTGGCTTTTAAGTGAATGCTGTCCGCGATTTGGAGACCAATACTCCGCGACGCAGCTCTGCAGAAAATGTCTTCATCGCATCGTGGTACATACCGACAAGTAGAAGTACCTCAAAATACATTTTTCCTTGAGCAGGACCTTCTGCCGTTCCCACTTCCATGCCAGCGCCAATGTGTAGAAGACGAGGCCGCTTGCATTTATCCCGACGAAGAGCTCTTTAGCATCGAGTCTGCGAAAGGTGAAAATTCAAACGGATCTTGCTACTGGATCAGTTTCGCGGTTTTGGTCGTTCCTCAAGATCCGGATCATCCTTTTTTGAGGTCAGTACAATAGATGTATAGCGGTATTTCGATTTTTTTCCCGATTTCGATCCATAGAGATGTGTTTCGTGTTTACTCATATGTTTTTGGTTTTCTTTGATGCCTTTTTTTTTGCCTACAACCAGCAGGAAAGTTTATCGAAGATATCAACTTTTAGGAAGAAGCCACCAAATTTTTTGTTCGTAAATCCTTGTGCGCACACTGCGTGTTAGTACACTTACAAACTTATTTATCGATGACGCCACTGTCATTTTTCCCGACCGCCTCTTCTTAGAACAGCACAAGGAAAGCTCAAGTGAGCAATTTTTGAGAGTTTGTTATTTCACGAGTACATACATCATAGTTTTTCCCACTCGTGGACCACCAGCAGAGACCGTGATAAAGGAAAGGTCAGTTATCCCCCTGCAAGATGGCGCCTCGACGCAAGAAAGTCAAAATTGAACAGCTTCCGGAGGACGACGCCGGGGCAGAAAAGGCAGCCCCTGTTGCGGTGAAAATGGAACAGCAGCTACTTCCGGAAGAAGACCTTCCCGTGAAGGTGAAAAATGGGCCTAAAAATGCGGAAGAAGCTGGCGCAGCCGGGGAGAGCCATGGCAATGGTACTAAGCATTTTTTACGAGTCCTCTATAAGAGAAGTGTCGTGGTCATGTCCGGCTGTTGTATTCATGGCGCTAAAATTGTTCTGATCGTTCATGCTTCGAGATCTGCCACGTCCTGCTTGTGCTTTCGCGCAAAAAAATATAACGACGGCGGGTGAGCTTCTTTTGTTGTGCAAGGCAACTTTCACTCATGATTGTTCGGAAACAAGAAGTGAAAATATACAATCAATCAATCTACTCACTTCATCTCATTTGCAGGTGCTGCTGCCGCCGGAGGTGGTCCTGTTTATGATCAGCTGGACGCGGAGCTAGATGCGTTGTTTAAAGAGGACAAGGACGAGCATGAAAATAAGCTCGTGGAGCTGCCAGATGTACAACTTCTTGCAGGTGCCGCCGCCGCCGCCGCGTTTGGGGATGAACTACAACAACCCGAAGAGCAGGCCCCCGCAGAAAATGAAAACAAGGTTGTGGAGCTGGGTAATGGCAAACGAGCCTCGTTTTCGCAGTACAAAAACCGGGTGTTCATCAACGTGCGCGAGTACTACCTGGATAGCAGCACCGGGGAAATGAAACCGGGTAGGAAGGGACTCACCCTGAACAAACGGGACTTTGAGAAGCTGATGGAGTTCTTTCCGGATATCGACGACTGGCTCGAAACCAACGAGACCGCTGGGAAATTCCGCGAGCTCGGGGGCGCCAAGCGCGTTACCTACAACATCTTCAAGGGCAACAAGCTCGTCGATCTACGGGAGTTCTACGACGGCACCGACAAGGCCGGGGAACACGAGAAAAGACCGGGAAAAAAGGGCATTTCGCTGAACCGCGCCTGCTACAACAAACTGAAGGAAAACGCGGACCTGATCTTTTCTTGGCTGTGAATTTTTTTTGACCCACGCAGCCACCGGTAGTAAGTACCACTTGACTACTTCTGATGTGCGGAGATTTACGTACGCTTATCTGATTTCTACTAACAGAGTGCTGCTAAGTAGATGAACTAGAAGTAGACATTGATTTGAAGTAAACATAGTGAACCACCAAAAGAGCTATCGCTTTCGGTTTTCTGCTCACGACGGAATGAAAATATACATGTGAATCAAGAAAAAATATCCGCTTCGCCGCGGCTTTAACACGACAAAATAAACTGAATTTCCCTGACTTAATTGTGTGGCTATAATAATTGTGAAGGAATTACCACTGTTCAGATCAAGAAATGAAGGTTGCGAAGAACGACCTTTTGGCATAGGCAGCCACGCACCGATTTTCCAAGCGAGCTCTTTTGTTCACACTCGCAGATGAAGTATCCTTGATAGACCTGTTTCACGCTGGTTAGGCAGTCGCAGGACTGCAGTATTTGCCGATCTCTTTCCTTGATTTTCGTCGACGATGAAGTAATATTTCTACTTGATAGGATCAAATTGCAACGACCGCAGGACTGACCGTGAGCGCGATCCGACTACAGTGAAGCTTGGACGCAAAGCAGAATGCACTCGTTTCCGCCGTAGCGCAGCTTGTACCGATCCACCGACCAGAGGTTTGCTAGTAATTTACGGTACTACTATCGTCTTCAGGATCTTGTTCAGGAACATGTACACGCAGCGCGGAATTTGGAACTGGATTTTAGCATTTTTTGGCTTTCTGGGTTCAATGGATGGAAAAAATAGGGCTGACACGAAACAAAAAGAAATGTCTGCGCATGAACCTCCGAGATACAGATTTTTGCCCATCCCGCTAGGGTAATATTGAAGCGAAACAGTTGAAGATCCATCACGAGATGTTTTTTTCCTTGAAGAAGATCCATGCCACCATCGATCTGTCGTGCCGTGCAGCAGCTTTTTCGCCAGACTGGAGATCTATTTTTTGTGTTGCACATCAAGTAGGAAGTGACCTTTTGGGAAAGCAGCGTCCTCTTTGATTTTTCATTTTCGAAGAATTCCATCACGAACAAGGTCTTTTTTCCAAATGGCGATAGAAGTACAGCAAAAGAGGACCTACGTACAGCCCGTTCGTTTCTCGAAACATTCTTGTACTCGTTCTCGTTCGGCAAAGAATATCAAATAAAACAAAGTTCATTCTGGTTTTACTTTCACCGACAAGGAAATAAAGTCTGTGATACGATTATTACGACGACGTCGAGTTGTTTTACTTCGAAAACGAGATCATCAACAGCATATCCAGTCAAGAAATTATGTCGGGTCGCGATTCTTCGACCTCCCGCTCCCGGTCCGGGGACTCCTCTCGGAAAGCGAAAGAGCGTAAATCCAAACGGCAGCGTTCGGTGCGGCGCAACCGGAGGTCGTCCTCCTCGCGCGGAAAATCCAACTCTCCCATCCGAGAGCGCAGCGCCGGTTCCGACCGTCGTTCGAGGTCGCTACCCTCCAGAAAAAAGTAGGTTTGATGTTTCGTCAGGGGCGCAAAGGAATACATGAAAAAGCAGTTGCAGAAATTGGGACCACGACCTTGTTGATCTTGCTGTTCGTTGCAACTCTTTTGGAATTCGGTTGAAATCGAAACTGAAACTCGAAATATTAAAGCTTCGGCTCGAAGAACCAGATGAATTTGGAATAGCAGTGTAAGGATTTCTCGCACCTTTATTTACAAGTACTTAATTTATGGCTTCATGGTCTACTGCTGGTCCAAACGATGATGTATTTGAATGTAACTTCGCAAAACTATTGGTGATACTTCCCGCATGGAGATGCATCTTCACCCGTAAACCTGATCCCCATTCACGTAGAACTCAACCATCTCAAAAAGCAGAACCTTCGCATTTCCAAGAAGTCCCCTCCTGTGACATCAAACAACATTTTTCCCTTGGATACAAACCGAAAAAGACAAAGTCCGGCGACGGAAAAGGAGAAGAAAAGGCCGAGGAAACCGTGTCATGTACTCTGAAATTGAGCAACAACGACGCGGCGTTCGTGCTGGGGCGGAACGGCAAGACGAAAGTGAAGATCGCCAATGCCTCGGGGGTGGCATCACTCAGCATGGACGACCTCGTTCTGCAGGCGAAAGGAACCCAAGCACAGTACGCTGGGTAAAAACGTCCCCACCCCATACTTGTCATGCAGATTTGCAGTTATAGGAGGATTTGTAATGCGCATCCCCATTAGAGGCATTTCCCATCGTATTTTGCACTTTGTAATGCTGTAAACAGAATGACTAGATGGATTTGTGTTGCGGCTGTACTTGCTAAACTGCACCACACTACAGAGAGGAACTTGTCATGCTTGACTCCCAAAACTTCGCGATTTGTGTTGCGAGATCCCCATCTTGACCATGGGGTGGGGACGTTTTTACTAAGGATACGCAGGTGGACCGTGCGATGAAGTACTCCAAGTTTCTGACGGCGCAGCGGGTCGGGCCGGTCCTCGTGGAGCGCGAGTCGCACGATGACGGAGACCTGACCCTGCTGGACGTTCCGAACGACGCCTGCGGGTTTGTCACCGGGCGCGGCGGAAACTTTCTGCGTACCATCGAAGACGAGTGGTCGGTTATCCAGGAAAAAAAGTGTGTAAGTGTAACTTTCTTTGAGGAACAGCATCACAAATTTGTTCTACATGACAGAGAAAACCTGCCATGCATGGTTTGTCAGGGGAAATACACACGAAAAGAGGACTTCATGGCTGTCTGGCATGACAGGTGTAACTCTGTTGCATCTTCTGCAACACAAATTTACACTTACACAGTTCTTTTCTTGCATATCGGTCTTGATGTTCTTCGCTGATTACAACGGCAAGAAGGACTATCAAAGAAAAAAAGTTCGTCACGATCACTCATCGGCAATCTTGCAACACAAATGGCATCCGTCATGCATCAACATGCATCACAGTCGCATTTCATACACGATTTACCTTGTGCTTCTGCTGAATACAAGAAAAAAGTTGTGATGCCAAAAATTTCTCATGCAAAACCTGCAAGATAGTGTTAGTGACTTTGACAAACTTTTCTCTGTCCATAAGGACGGTCGCATGACCAAGGAGATGGAGCGACTGGCCATTTTCGGTGCGGATCGGCGCAACCGTCGCGGCGCAGAGCTGAAGGTGCTGTCCGCTATCGAGTCGAAGTGCGCGGGGTACTTCGAAAAGCACCGAGCGGAAATTCTCGCCCGCGACGAAGACGGAGAGAATTGGCGGAGCGGTGTCATGCCCTTCTCAGACGACTCGCAGCTCTCCTTTGCGCTCGGAAAGAACGGCGCCACCAGGAGGAAGCTGGAAAAAGCCAGCGGCTGCCTGTTGCAGTACATTGGAAACGTAGCGGTCTTTACTGGTATAAAAGTTTTCCACGTTGTAGTAGATTGTAGTAAGTACATTTACCTATAATATTGCTCCACTTCACTTGCAGTTGTACGGTTGCAGGCGACGCAAGAAAGATCGGTCAGTTAGGCTATGTAAGAAAGATCGGTCAGTTCATCTCTTTTACAACGCGTCCATTGATATTGAGTGCATGCTGATGGACATAATTCTCATGGAGTAAATTTGAACTGTAGCAAATGCGAATGAAAATTTCGATTAGGTGATCGCGCGCGGCGGCGTACCCTCAGACAGTACATGAAGTGGCTGTTTGCGCAGCTTTATCCGCCGCAGACACGCCGTTGAGGTCAGAGACTATCAACCAAGTATACTATGGACCTCAGAACAACGAAGATCAATTTTGTTTTGCTTTTCGCTTTCCATGTATTTTCATATCAAACGGAAACCGCATGTAATTGTCGCATGAAAAATTTTCTTCGCATGAATTCAATTTTTCTCAATACGTACACAACGCACGCAAGTAATAAATAGCGCCTTCTTAAACTTAATTTTGTCAAGTATATGTTCCTGATCTTGACGACCCGAGGACGAAGCCGCTGTAGCGACTGAATGTAGATCTCCACTTCGAATGCAGCAACTGAATGCTTGCAGTGTCGCTGACCCCGACTCATGGTTTTTGCTGGATAGGCTAGACGGACCTGTTGACGTCCCAGACGCGGAGTCCCGAGATGACTGCACAATGCTCAAAATTCCCCGGGTAAGTCGAAATACTATGCGAAAAAAAAGATAAAATTCTCTTTCGTTTTGCTGTGCAAGAATCACCTACACAGTTTTGTTTACAGCATGTTGATGCTCATCGAGAATGCAAAATGAAGTGAAACGGTTGTATAATTTTTCCACGTTGAGTTTTCGTTTTGCTCCTCGACGTAGTTCTCAAAAATCGATTAACATCAGCATAAATCGAAAAACAGCCATATAAAAATTTCTTCCAGGAGTGCGTGGGCTACATCACCGGTTCCCGTCGCGCAGCCCTTTCTACGATCGAAATGGACTTCGGTTGCCTCATGTTCTTCACCGGTATCATATGACAGTGCACAACTCCCCCTCGTTCTCATTTCTCATGCAAAATACCCAATCCATATCCACGCTTTCCCTTCTGTCACTATTATGCATGACAAGTTCTGGTAGCCCAAATAGCACTACAATCCAGTGCAAATCTGTCATGCAAAACCGGCATACTTGCTGGTGCTTGTATTGCCGTTCATGCTATACAAATGAGGGGGAGAGGGAGTTGTGCATTCTCATATATCAAGAGTGAGAAAACGCCGTTCGAGTGGCTGGCGATCTTCGGTGACGAGCAGGCCCGCAAGTATGAAAGCCTCGGAATGGAAATCCTCAAAGTTGAAATGATTTCTGATGCATGGAATGCGACGCAAAAAAGACTGTATTGCAGAGGCCGCAATGGAGGCCGACTATTGTCCTGCTGGGGGTGAAAAATTGGAGTGCTGCTTAGCATGAGAGAAGGGCACCCCTTTGCCTTCACCTGCATGACAAACATGCTTTAAGTGCCCGGGAAATTTGTCATGCGCCGACTACAAATGGCGCTTCAACAGGAGTCGATTTTTTGGATTGCAAATTATTTTGACTTTGAGAATATCCAACCTAGGGCTTTCATAGCAAGGGGGCCGAGCTGAAAGTGAAATCTTCGGTCGAGTCAAAGGAGAAGGGCTACTTCTCAAAGGACCTGGAAGAAAACAGGGACGAATGGAAAAACCCTGGGTATAGTTGCTTTTCATTTTATATATTCTGCCATGCACAGTGGAGCATGGCGCAGAGCAGACTATCTACAAGATCAGCCACGTTGTGTGCGCCGAATCCACAAATATTTTTTTTGTTGATTCGTGGTGACAACGCACAATCTATCAATAGTGATAAATAAAATGTGCGCTGCAACATATCTCATTATCGTACAGTAATACATGATCAGACTTAACGTACAACGTTGGGCGTGCGGCAGTGATCATAGACCAAGAAATTGCAATTTTTCGTCACAACTACGCAATCTGATCCGAAGATTCAATCTATCTGAATTGTCAGGTTTTCGACGGACATTATGCACCTGAAGGACGAAGCCATTGCCTACTGTTTGGGACAAGGCGGAAGTACGCGTGTGAAGCTCGCGCTCGCGTCGGGGTGTCACGTGCAAATCATCGGCGAGCATATTCTCATGGCGGGAACCTTGGAAAAGCGACGTGTATCCACTGCGAAACCGAACTGATGGCTTGCTAGCTGCAGTGAATCACATGTTTTATTTTGAACAGGTTTTTCAGCATCAGAAACGGAAGTTTTGTCATGCGGAATTGCCATGCTGTAACTGAAAGATGAGGAAATGGAAATACAAATATACTTAGAGAAGTTGTGATGCTTTAATACTGCAGTTAGTAGAGAGCGATTCTTTTGTCAACAGGATAGCGGAACTGCCACGACTACGTGAAGTGGCTCCTAGAACAGCGGCATGGCAAAATGGACGTCGACGCGCGCAATCGGAAGGACTGCCTGGAAGTTGCCATCCCGGCGGAGTGCATTGGTTGGGTCACTGGTAAACACGGAAATGAGCTTATCCTGAGTAAGAACGTACCCACACCAGAGTCAGGATGGGGATTTTGCAACACAAACCTAGGAGTTTTGTGAGTCACGCATGACAAGTTGCGCTATGAAGTGTAGTGCAGGTTAGCAAGTGCAGCCGCATCACAGATTCATCTGCTCATCCTGTTCACAGCATCACAAATTCAAAAACACGATTGGAAATGGCTGTCATGGGTTTGCGCATTACAAGTCTTCCTGTCTTTGCAAATCTGCATTACATCTCTGGTGTGGGTACCTTTTTACTCAGGATAGAGCTACGGAAAGTGGAGGAGCAGACACGGACTTTCTGCTTTCTTGCTCGGGATATGCATTTGATAAATAGCTTGTTCTAGTATCGGGGTCGGGAATAAAGATAAACGTGCTTTGTTGCTGCATTGAGTAGAATCATGTAGACGAAAAAATAAAAAAACTGAGCCTCTTTCTCTTATGTTTCAGGGTTTGTGAACGGTAGAAGTTGCTGGACTAGCATGAAGGGAAATCGTAGTTTTGCTTGAATAAAAACTGTGCGGTTCTCATCTGCTCGGCAGATACGACACTCAGTATGAGTTCTTAACTCGTTGAAAGGGCACGATTTCTTGGTTTTCATTCTCTCAGACCCCGACAGGATTTTTCTTGCAGTTGATTTTGATACGATACCCGAAGACCGATGTGGAGCGCCTGCTCGTGTTTGGGCAGGAAGAAGGACACAGGAATCCGGATCCTACTGGTAATATTTCGCGAGTTATGAAAATGAATTAGAACTGTTTTCACCATGTAACTGTAACTCATACTCATCTAGTTCGCTGAGCCTACTACTTCCATTCTTTCATATAAGTCATTCTGCTAACTCCCTATCATTGTAAAAAAGCCATTCGGAAAAAATTGTAAATGCATAAACTTATTGCAATAGCAATACACGAACACGGCACCAACACCCTTCCAGGTCGGCTGGGCGCGCAGAGGCTCGTAGAGGACCTGATCCAGGAGAAGCAGAGCTATGACCGCGATCGCCGAGGAAATGGTACCCGGCGTAGAGACAGTCGTCGCCGGCGGTCGAGATCCATGAGCAAGCGTCGAGATGACAGTCGTGGCCGCGGTCGGGGCGCCAGTCGTGGGGGTCGTCGGAGCGGTGGTCGTAGAAACAGGAGCAGAAATGCAACCCGGTCTCGCCGCCGTGACAGTCGGAGACGCTGATCGAGAAAAGAAATGCGGACGAAATTATACAGGAGCACCAAAGCGATGCATTCGTGGTTTTGGTGTATTTCGAAGAATTTGCATCTCTGGGAGATGGAGATTTAGGTTTTAACAGTACAACGATCAACTTTTTTATCGAAGGATAGCGGTCCAACTTGAAAGTGCAGTTTATGGAAACGGTTAACCACTACCTATTACGTACCAATCAAATCAAACTAGCGAAGACACGACGAACGAACAATTTTTTTAACTCGTACAACGAACAACCACAAATCTAGAGTAGCAGCAGGATTTAAATTGTTGCTCGACCACCATGCTCCCTGATCTTATGTATTTACGACAAAAGATCTTATTGTATTTTGACATTTAGCGATAGCGACGTGGTGTATTGCGAAGGGCACCTGCGAACACAGTACTCACCTATAGATACAGTCCAAGAATTCTGATTCATAGCTGGAGAGAAAAGTACCGACCTGGTCTTTCAAGAATGAGATTGTACCTCGTGTGCACCACGATTGCAGACGACAGAAGTCGAAGCTCCAGACGCTTCATTGTTGTAAAAAGATTTGTACATAGGAATTGGCACAAAATAGCAGGGCCAATGCTGCCTATCCAGAGGTTAGTAAGGAGCAACGATTTACTAACGACGAAGATTTTTTTACATGCCTTTGTATCAGACCATGATAAGGTTCAAGTTGCGCCAGGAGACTTTTTCTGTTTTTGAAACTCATCAACTTCCTTTTGTACCCACAACTAGGTAAGTTTTTCCTTGAAATGATTTTATTAGAAGAGTCTATGTCTAGCTTAGCGCATCGCAATAACGGTTCACTGTGATGAGATTTCAAAAAGGTCTATGCCTAAGGACCAAGACGAAGACCTTTGACGGTCCTGGCACCAGCAGCCTGATTATATTGCGACATCATACCTGAATTTGGTACATCTAGCGATCATTTTTGATGAAAGTCAGTCGTTTATTCGGAGCTTGGGCCGCGGATGGAAGAATGAAAGTAGAAAGGTGACACAGGAGCAGCCCGGACATTTTGTTCTTCCTCTTCCATGTTCGAATCCTGTTGTATCCAGTTGCAATTATTGGAAAACGAAAACCTCGATCCTCTGGCCGCTGACGACGAAAACAATATTTCTGATGTTACTTGGTGCAGGCTTGATCAGGAGCGGAGGTCTATTGCTGAAGGTACGCGAAGCAGCGCTACTAGAGATCAATGAAGATGTGGATCACGACTGGACGAGCTTGATGTTGAAGGGTCAAGGTGAGGCAAAGTCGCAGATGAAGCAAGCGTCGGACGAAGGTCACGCAATTCAAAGGAAGCTGACCACGAATGCATCTGTGTCGATTGTTTTTTCAACAAACATCCATGCTCGTGTTGTAGGTGTGTTAGAAGTGGCACAATTTGAAGATCCTGAGCTCATGCCGTGATTATTTCCGACGTGATTGGAGAATCCTGAACGCAGTTGTAGCTCCTACCTCAATCGAAGATCTACCTCAGACCACTCGTGTTGGAAGTAATACACGATCGGGCTGAGTGACTGCGACTGATCTAAAAACCACTCTTGCGCTGATCACCTTTCAGAACTGGATTTCACAGTACGATTTCTCGTCCTCTGACAACTCGATTAGTACTAGTTGCAAGTGTAGTTGGAGTAGTTGCCAGCTCTTCTAGCTTTGTTTCATTTGTGAAGCTTGGACTTGCAGTTCAGGTTCAACATTATTTTGATCCATTGCGGTTTCGATCTCGCTTCATTTTTCCCAGTCAAATAGTTGTATTAGTTTATCAACCCGAAGAACGCGAAGGTCTTTGCTGCAGGATGCCGAAGTCGCTGATGAAACAGGACTCCACATGCGGGTCCCCCGCCTCCACACGGCATTTTTGCACCAACTGCCGTGCTATGCATTGCAAATTATATCTGGCGGGTCCTCTGGAAGAATGCAGGTTTGTCATGCTTGTGCGCTCGCATGTCGAGGTTGACTCTGAAATCTGTAATGCACGAGCAGGAAAAGTAGAGAAGAGCCTCTTGCCTCCTGTCGCGTAAAAATGCAGTTTGCCATGTCGTGCAGAAAGCGAACTACATGCGGGCTCAAAAAATTGTCACCATACGTGGCTGCGTATTGTTGTAGTTCCCGTACATCCAGTTCCACCGTTAATTCACAAACCAGCATCACACGCTTCTAGAGGACCCAGACATGACATTTGCAGTGGATACGTGAAAACAATTTTTACCAAGTCTGGACGACGGGTTGCTGTGGCGAGCTCCTGTGTCCGAAGTGTGGCAGGGGCTCCGTGGAGCGGGATGAGTGCGTCGTGTGCCATCGGAAGGCGGCGGACGGCTTCGAGGCCCGGAAGAGCGAACTGCATACCCGACTGCATTATCCACCTAGACAAAGCATGGACAAGTATCGCACTCGTATAAATTTGTATACGTAGGCATGACTGCGTGTTAAGTGACGAGTCTGCGTTTTCAAAAACCTCCTATGTAAGTTTAGCACTTACAAATTCTGATGTCCGCTTTTCGACCTCCTAGGAAAATTTGATGTCATGCGAATTTTCATAACAGTGCGATGTATCTGCTTCTGCAATGCATATTCATCAAGTCACGTCTCCGAATTCTCACGGGGAATACCTCCGAGCGCGGCATGAGTTCCTGCGGGCAACTGGGCGTTGAATGGCTCCAGTGAACTTTTCGCGTAGCCGAAAGAACGGGAGACTAGAGGTTTGTTATCATCGGGGACAATATCCTTGTACGTATGCTTCTTTGGTGCGAAGAAGTTCCAAAGTAGACAATAATCGCAAATTCTGTCGCGCCTAATTTGTACACCCTGGCTTTAGCTCCATCCCCACCTTGTCACCCTCTCGTGGTAAAAGGCTCTTCTATTTTTTTGCAATTGCAAAAACGGAAGAGGGTCACGCGCTCGTAATCGTGCTATATACGAAAGTGAGAGTGCCTGGAGGAAGATAAAACTGCCAGTACATATTTAGCGAACCACCTGCAAGAACGCAATTTAGGAACTACTACTTTAAATATAGCGAACAACCGTAGCAAGCAACGCTTTTTCGTGTGCAGATGATAACGAAAAGTAGAATTGAAATACACCAGCGCCAAGAATTGTGCCTGTATTCGTGGCCACTTGGCGCTGCAACTTCTTCATGTGTGTTCTCCTCCGTGCTGCCAAGATGATGCTTAAAGCCGGGATGTACAAGAAGAACGAATGAAATCTTCATCGCTATTTGTTGTAAGTTCGGCGGTGGGACGAGAGTCACTGCCTCTACAAGTTGCTCGAGACAAAGACAATGATGTGATGACGAGAACGAAGGCAACGAACGAAAGTTGATGTGAAGATAAGACTGGAAGTCGTCGTGCGACGAAAATAATCTTGTGCTAGATGAATCATGATTGTGCAACGATGGAAGAGAAGATGATGTGAAAGAAATGTGAATCGTTTATAGAAATGTGAATCGTTTTGATGTGACAACGTTGTGCTGGAATGATGCTTTTGCGATGAAGGAAGAGATGATGTTGAAGAGCTGGGAATTGTAAGAAGGTTTTGGAAATAAAGTACTGCGTCTTGTGCTTATTCGATATTGCTGCTGAGAATGAAGAGTGGTCCCCTGGAGCACGACGGGAGACATTAGTTTTGGGGTATTCATGGTTCGTGGTTTGGCCTGGTGGCCATTTTCGTGGTGACAACCATGGTTGCGTGGAAATAATTCAATTGTAGGAAGAATTCATTGCTCTGAAAAAAAATCAAAAATAGTGCGTATAGCATTTTGTCCCGTAGTAGAAGTTTACGTCATAGTTGCAGCCTAGAAGTAATAGCATTTCATGCATTTTATAGTCATATTACTTTACTGATCCAAAAGCGGATATTTCTTGCAGCACGGTGGCGCTGTACATACCTGTTCTTCATACCCGAAAATTTGCGGACTGAATTCACACTCACAAGCAAGTAGTCCTGCGGAAACTAACAGTTGGAAGCTAGTTCATCACATAGCGTCATATTTAAAATCGACGACGACCACGGCCACGACCACGAAGTCTTGCACGAACACTTGTGGCACCAGCATTCACAATTTAGGCACGCCTGCACAGCAGCCGAGCAGATTTCTGTCGCAAAGCACCTTGTGCATCCCCAAACTCAACGAGCACGACGGACTCGTAAGTAGCAGAAACCATGCCCCCACGACGACAGGTCGAGGTGAAGAAAGAGACGAAGCCGATGAAGCGGCCAAAGCAGGAAAGTCTGTTGCGACCCGTCGAGTTTGCCGAGGATGACAGTCCGCCAGGAGCTGAGCCACGAACGAAGATACCGCGGGAAAAATGGCAGGAGTTGCTTGACCGGTTTACCGAGGACCATTGGCGGCTTGCTATCCTCTGTGAAAACGCTGCACCCGGCCGCCAACTTGTTTTTAGAGCTGTGGTCATGGTAATTTGCAATAAGTAGCAGGAAGGAACATCATTTTCAATAGATCCCCGATTCGTTGTTTTCCATGCGTTTTCGGAACTCGAAATACAAATAAGTAATGCTCAACTCACAGGAGCTATGTTTTTTGCAAATACAGCTGTGCTCTCTGTCTCTAAGTCGTCAGCACTACGCTGCAGACCGATATTAGTCAACATTCCTGCCTCGCAAAGGTCGCGCGTTTGCGCTGTTAGTGAAATTCCAGGATGTCGACCGCAGGCTGGACGCGTTTTTTTCCAGAGGATACTGGCCTGCATGATAGCCTTCCAGACAGGTGACAATCTCGGAGACGTTGTGCGCTTGCCCTTAAGCCCGGAGTTCCTCGACCTACAAAATGGGTTCATTCGAATAGTGCGCAGAAAAAATGAGCACAAAAAGACAACCAAAAATATGGCATTCTCAACTGTTTCATTCTCAACTGTTACACGAATTTTTCGTGCAAACTTGCCAACAGCCTCCACTTGATTAAGGTGCTTAGCATGACAAATTTTCGAAGCGCACCTGTTGGCGTAATGTAAGGACCGTTGGCAAACGTTAAACTTAAACGCACCTGTTGGTGCAAAGTATGGATCGTTGGCGAACGGAAAACGCATTGTTGGCACAAAGTATGGATCGTTGGCGAACGTTAACCGTATTCTGTTGGCGAAAAGTTGGACTTGGTGGCAAAAAGTTGGATTTGTTGGCGAAAAGTAGGATTTTTTGGCGAACAAATAAACGCACCTGTTGGCGAGATAGAAGTAAGGCAGGTTGGCGAACCTGAAACGCATGTTGGCGATATAGTTGGTTTGTTGGCGAAACCGAAAGTAAGAAGAAGTCGGCGTAAAAAGTTGGAGGTGCCCGAGTGTGATGGCGACGGCTTCGGTCCGCCTGACTCCGCGACCCGGTGGCCTGACCATCTGCGGAAAGGTGCCGTATGGATTGCGTTTGTGGCTTCGGTAGGTTTAGCAGCACAAATTCATGTAGCAGTTGAGAATGTAAAAGCTGAAAACGCCATAAAAAAGGAGAAGAGGTTGTACCACGCGAGAGGCATCAAGAAAATTGGAAACGATTGCAGTGCTCTGCTTGCGTCTGTGATCGAAAAGCTCCTTGCTAAAGTTCCCAACGCTCGCTACGTTTTTCACAACAAGGAAACTAAGCAACATTTGAAAGTGGCGGGCTTCAATAAAGCCCTGAAGAAGGCGAGAGACGGGCTTGTACTTTTCGGTGAAAAAATGGACGACGCGGTCCGCTCGAAACTGAAAAACCTGACAGCAAACAGCATGCGGCATAGTTATGCCAGCCTTGTGGAGGGCCTAAGTCCGGAGCAGATGGCGAAGCTGCGCCCGGTAGCCGAAGGGGTGAATCTGCTGAATCACGCAAACCCTAAAAACAGGGATTACTACTATATTGATGACGCATCCATGACCGAGAAAGCGGCGGAGACTGCTGAGGTGCTGTTCTCCGGGGATCCTTATCAAATGCAAAAATGTCTGGGTTTGGAAGGATGCAACTTGTGATGCTGCATTTGGATTCCAAAGAAAATCTGTATTGCATGAGCAGCAACGGGCTTGTGATCTTTGCTACGGGAAGAGGGCGTTCGTCATGCGGAATAGGCATCGAGAAGCCCTCAAAAAATCTCCGATGCTAGGGCATGCATCACAGACATCATGGGGCGTCGCTACTTCAACTTCAATTCAATTCAATGCAAAACTTGCGTGACATGTCTCAGAATCTTCCAGACCCAGACACTTTTGCATTTGATACCCCGCATTTCCACCGAAAGCTTTTGGGAGAGGAGACGGAGCGGATCGCTGCAATGCAGGAAAAACTGTCCGAGAAACGACCGGCCGCGCCGCCGCTGTCTCAACAAATCTTACCGGGCAACAAAAAGAAGTCAAATGAGGGCAAAGATGCTGAGCACGATGTGGAATTCGTGCTGAAGTGCGACACCAGCGGTGACGTGATTGCCACCGCTAAAAGCGTTCGCATGATGCAGAACAAGGTGCAGATTGGCAGGAAAATCCAGCTTCGCGCCCCCAACGGGCCGCCGGGCGTCGGTTCACAGAGGCAAATCAAAAGGGCGGACGTTTCTATCGCTGACTGCTGGAATGCGTTTATGCTTTGTGCTGCGAAGTATGTGAAGAACAAGGACGACAAGTGTGGCGCAGGGGAGAAGACCTGCGGTGAGGTCAAGACCTTCGCTCTCTTTTGCAGGCAGGTCAAGCCACGGGCGTGCAACATGTCGGGCCGTTCGGAGCAGCGATTGCAGTGGCCCCCCGCTGGCGTTCCTACGGAGAGCCTGGAGTCTCTGGAGGACAAGGGGTCTGCGAAAGGTATGCTTCTTTCGCGCGACCAGCTGCAGGACGCTGCCGTCCAGTGCGAGAAGACTCTCGCCAACCAGAAACCCGAGGCCAAGGTGCAGGCTTCCAAAAAAGTGGTGCATGTAGATGATGATTCAGAGCCGACGAAGATGAAGAAGCACCAGGGTACAACGCCGATGAAGAAGCAGGTTACCAAGCCGATGGCGATGAAGAAACGTGCGCCGGGCGCTCCTGCCGCCAGCCAGGTACCTAGGTTAACGCATTTAGGTCATCACATTCTAGGTTACGCAGTCAGCATGCGGGCGCGCAACCTCGTGAGGACCGAGATGGGGGGGCCACCATCTGATGTGGTCCAGGTTCCGCCCTGGGCGATCGGAGCGCGGGTCAAGCCGACCCACAACCAGGACGAAAGTCACGCGATCTTGGATTTGATGCAGCCTCTGCTGCACCCGGTGTGACCACCTCCGTGGAGCACTGGAGCACGGCCCGGGCCACCTCTGTGGCCGGGCGGGGGGGCGCCTCGCTGCCACCTCTGTGGCACGGGCGTCCCGGTGTGGCCCTCGCTGCGTGCCTCGCTGCTATAGAACACGTTTTGAAAACTGGAACTTGCGAACGCTACAGACCCGGACCTTTTCTGGCCATTGTGGAGGGTATGACTCACCAGAAAGCACAGAAATTATTGCAGGCACTCCGGCGGTCCCGACCACCCCAGCAGCGGGCTTTGTGGAAGATTTGTGTTCCGCCGAAAGATCGTTTGTAGAAATCAGCACAACAAATCGCATCGAAATGAAATGACTCAATCAGGTACCAACAGGGCGGAAGCAGGGTAGCAAGCCGGTGGTGATGAAGAAGCAGGGCAAGAAGTGCGCTCCTGCCGCCCACAAGGTACCTAGTTCATTCTCAATCTAAGCAACGCACTCCAGACATCGCATTCGAGGCATCACAAATAGGACTAGGTCGCGCAGCACCAGCGCGAATCTCGTGAGGGCCGGAACGGGCTAACCACCTCTGTGGTCCCATTTTTGTTCTCCCGTGGCCAGCCCTCGCCTACAAAAATGGATGACGCCGGGGGAGCGCAGCAGACACACAGCCAACGCCCACACCGATATCGATGCACGACCTGGAGCGGGAGGAGAAGATGACGCGCGCATGCTAGGAAGCATGCGCAGCTTGTTGCTCACCCTTTTTTATGTTCACACACTAGCAAGACACATCCTGACGTCTATGACGCGAATATGTAGAATCTAGCAGGCTCGCAGCCTCTTCTTCCGGCGACGTGGTGGCCCACCACTGCCCGCTAGCGACCTCTGTTGGGGAGGCTCCGGGACTTGTTGCAGCCTCTGTTGCACCCGGCGCTGCGACCTCTCGTTGCAGTGTTGCAGCACGGTTCGATCCACGTCTGTGGGCGGACAAGTGCGACGCCCGCAGCCACCTCTGTGGCGCGGACGTCGCGGCGCGGTCCCTGCTGTACGCCTCGCTGCTGTATCTAGTATTACGCAAGACGCTGCGAACCAGCGCAGATACGCTTTTACTTATACAGAGCCGTAGTTCCAGCCACCACTGTGAAGGGTGTGACCTTTTGAGAACATACGAAGGGAAGGAAAGCTGGCAGCCGTCGAGGGGCGCCAGCGCTCTGGGGATTTGGGAGGAAGTTTGTGTTCGCGCCACCACGATATAGCAAATTCTAACCCAATCACATCATGGATCAGGTACCAGCAGGGCGGAAGCAGGGTAACAAGCCGATGGCGATGGAGAAGCAGGGCAAGAAGCCGATGAAGATGGACAAGAAAAAAACAGCTGCGATGAAGCTGCTAGCGGGGTCGAAGACGAAGGTCACGGTGCGGAATGAGAAAGAAAAACCCGCGAACAAGGTGAAGAAGGTGGTAATTGTGAAAAAACCAGCAACGAAGAAGAAAGGTGGCAGCAAGTAAGTTCATCATCTACTTCCGTCTAGTACGCCAAGCAGAAATCTTCATGCCTCAAAATGTGCCCGTTCTTTTGTCGTCTTGAGTTTCACACGACACACACACTGCAGGGAACAAAACTATACGCATACTCTAGTCCTTTTGCAACTGACTTTTTTCTGTAGCGCCAACATAGTCGCATGAAGAACGCCCCATAGCGACAACGCAATCGCGGCTTCACAGTGGTGGTGCTGTAACAACTCTGGAGAAAATCGCATGCGCACACCCGCCGTTGGCACCGTGCTTGCACACTGATGTTGCTTCTTTGTTCATCGTTCTGTGTTCATCGTAAAGTTCCATGGGCGCCCTGATCTTTTTTTTTCAGTTTTGCATCATATTTGATCTGATGCAACGAGGGCTGTTCTCCGAAGATCCGTTCGAAAAAATTATATGTTTCGGCGACGAGGTAGACCTTCGTGTTGTTGCTGACCGGAAGATCATGACAACAGAACCGACTCTACCCCGTTCTCATTTCTTTCAGCAAGGCTGCGCTTTTGATATTACATATTTCTTCCACCACGATGCACATCGTTCGCTGAGATCCACCTAACATATTTCAAACGGAGAAAGCACCAGAAGATGTTGAACAAGCTCGTTAGCTCGACGACGATGAGTTTATAATCATATTTGTGGCGGAAGTTGTGATGGGTGTCAGCTGTTTAAGTAAGTTTGATCTTGCAAGTTCAGCAACAGTATCTGTTTGGAGCTGTGTACAAAACCACGAAGACGTTTTAGGCTTTGACCCAAAGTTCTTGTTGGCCAGATCAGACTGAGTACCTACTTGCGTCACCACAGCGAGGACGCAGATCCTGAGTAGGCTTCTGGTCCGTTGCCGGCCATTCCTGATTCCGTTCCATCAGACGTTGACGTGGCCACAACATGACTTTCACTTGATGTTTTCATGAATGTTGTCACAATGCAAGGAGCGCTCTAGGTTTAATATCACTGTACCAGTGGAGTTGGAAAGCGAAAGTCAGTTGCGCGCCCGCATATTTTGCTGTGATACTACTTCACCAGGGCAGCGAATGTTGAGTAAATAATGGTATCGACTTCTTCGAAAACTAGCACTAGTTGTTTGTTGAGGTAGTTCTTACCGACCCAAAAATCTTTACCGACCCAAATCTAGAACGCCTATGAAAAAGCAACAACGTCGTGTTAAATGCCAGAACTCTATGCTTTAGGTGAAGTGTACTTTACTGGAGATGTTGCATATTGTTTTTGTTCTGTAAATATCGTACTTCAGTCTGTACCTCAAAACTAATTATGCGTTCCCCTCCCCAAGTATTCAAAGGAAAATTGTCACAGATGATCTTAAGAATCTGCCGCTGTTGCACCACCCAAGGTTTCGATCAAAGACAAGGGAAGGAATTTAGATTTTGTTCTATGGCGCACTGACCGACCCACTGATTAGCGACCCCCCTCCCCAGCGACCGACGACCAATCGATCCACCAGCGACTGACCTACGAACGACCCATCAAGCGATCTACTTATCAAGCGACCCATCATCAAGCGACCTATCAAGCGATACACCGACGACACACCGCCGAATCACGGGCCCCAAAGCGGAAAACGCGTAGTTTGCGGTGGCCTGGTAAATAAGGCGGAAAACGGGTTTGCGGTGGTACCCCCACCTACTCCACACTTCTTCTGGGGAAACTTCATTTTTCCCCGGAAAGTAGAACCACTGTAACCAAAGTTTTATTGTGTTGTACAACGACGTCGATCGCGATCGTATTCGTACTTTGAGATCGGCTCCGGCTTCGGCAAGAATACTACAACAGCCATGCCGGGATCAGGTGGAGGCAGCGTTGACAACGATATGGGCCTCGCCGACGCCCTGAACAAGGTGCGGACCGCCTTGGGGTATGCATTGCAAAACATCTACTTTGGGTCTGGAAGGATGCATGCAGCTTGGGGTCATGCTACTTCAGCCTCCTTCACAAAAAAAACTTTTGTTGTAAGTTTTATCCGGATGGGATGAAAAGCCGATGCCCCGACCTTCTTGTTCCTATCCAAGAAGTAGAGGCGGCGGTAATATTCTCAACATGCGGGATCAGGATTATATAGCATCAAGAAGGATTTTATTTTTATTTTATCTCGCAAAATCTGTGTCTCCTGTGATGCTTCTGCGTGCATGACAAAAAATCCATGCAGCATTCTTCCAGACACGACAGGCATATTTGCATTTGACACGTCGCAAAACGGTTTTCTCGGACCAGGACCTAATCTTCCAATAACACTCCGGCACAAGTTATCAAAAGGAAAAATCCCCCCTCCCCATATCAAAACGGAAATCTGTGATGCAGATTTGTTGTCACAAATCAGCTTTGTCATGCTACACAGGAAAAGATGCGGACTGTAGTGCTAGGTGGCGTGGGGAAGCCTTGCATCTTCAGCATGATAGGAGGCAGCTGAGAGTGGGAAACAGCATGACAAATTGCCTGCAAACGAGGCCACGACTGCGGCTCTTGGCCTTCTAGCATGACGAGTCGATTTGTGACCTCAAATACAGCATCACAAATTTCGTTTTCGATATGGGGAGGGGGGATTTTTCCTTTCGATACAAGTTCATGTTCTCGGCGCCGGATCAGGTACTATCAGAGTGCACAACCACTCCCCCTCCTGGTGATCTCATGGATAATTGCATCGAGCACAGCAGCACCCACGAGTGCTAGCAAACAAAATGATACAGGAGGAGCCTTTGCATGGCAATAAATATATTCATTCTTGGTTGAACCAAGAATGAATATATTTGTACTACTGTAGTTCCTAGCTGGCTTCCTCGGGGGGATGATGAACCTGTCATGGATTATAGTAGAAGTGGCAAGTAGAAGCAATCGATGGAGTACGTAGTTCACTATATTTTTTAGTGTCATTTTGCATTACAAAGAACCGGAGATCATGAACGAGGGAAAGTTGATGTGCACCTTGATAGAAGCTGGACGAATCGGAACAAGAAGATGATGGGTCCCCGTCGCCGCCCCCCGGATATCCTGTGCAAAAGTATCGTACCCGTAGTAATCGCAGTCATGCATTACAAGTCTCTATCCCAAGGCAAAACAGCATGACAAATTCAATTTGTCATGCTGAGCTAATTTGTATTGCAATTACTACTAGTACGATACTTTTGGAGTTCATACCGAAGGCGAAGACAACCCACGATTGAAAAACCTTCCGCGGAGACAGCAGGCATTTTTGTTCTTGACGGAAATCCACAAGAACATGATGGAGGCTATGGGACTGCTCTCAAACGATAGACATTCTCAACGGTTTTTACATGTTTTGTCATGCAACAGCACCATGAGAAAATGCAAAAGCCCGAGCCGCCACGGCCACGCGCCTCCACTCGATCAAGTTATAACCCCGCATGACAAATTTTCGAAGGACGAAGCAGCATCGAAACCTGTGCCAATTTCGTGATGCGAGAATTGCAAGAGAAAGCTATATTGCCACGGCTTTTCACTGTTGTTGCTCCTGCATCACAAATTCATATTCGTGTCACAGTTGAGAATGTAACGCTTGAGATCCCAATAGAGGACATTGTGGCGGTGAGTCTCTTGCAGAACGAGAAGATAGCCAAGGACAGGAAAAAGCACCAGAAATTGGAGAAGATATCATATGGAAAAACGTCTGGATCCCATACTCAAATCGGTAAATCTGTAAAACAAATCTCCAAGTTTTGGCAGTAGTTGTGCCTGACAAGCCTCCATCTGTAGTGGAGCTTTTTTTTTAGCAAGGACAGCCGCATGATCACAAAGACGCTTGCTTACGTATCCTGTCCACATACAAATCTTCCCAGAAATAAACGACGACCACATGCGGATGCGCATGCGGATGCGCATATTAACAGATCTTTCTGTAGGTGTAGATACAAAATCGAAATCTGCATGACAAGTATGGGATGCTGTAGGCCCCTTTTTTACATAGGATAGGAGAAGGCAGAAACAGAGAAAGCGGCAAAAGAGGCAGCGGAAGAAGAGGTAGCAACCTTGAAGAAGTCCAGGGAGATCGATTTACAGGAGCTCATATGCATTGCAAATATGTCTGGGTCTGGAAAATTGGAACTTGTAATGCTAGCTTTTCATTCCCAGGAAATCTGTATTGCATAACCAACAAAAAAATAAGTCCCAGCCTCTTTTGTCATGCGAGAACGCAGTTTCTCATGCGGCCTTCCTACGAGAAAGCGTTCTGGAAAGTTCTCATGCTGGGCTGCGATCGGAATCGTTTCCATCATCCACATTTTCGCATCACAAGTTTCCAAACCCAGACATATTTGCAATTGATAGATGACAAAGAGAGCCAAAAATGAGAAAGCGTTGAAAAAAGACCTGGAACTCGTATGACCTGCTCAAGAGTTACAATCTCAAGCGTTACAATAGAATCTGGAAATCTGTGATGCAAGGAATGCATGATCTAGCCAATTTCATAGGACTGCGCATGACAAGTTCCGGAGTCCCAAACCGCACTACAATCTGGCGAAATTTGTATTGCAGAAAGTGGCGCGGTCGGCGAGTCTGTCATGCTCATGATACAAGACAAATCCCGCTTTCTATTGTAACGTTTGAGATTGTAAAAACACCTGAGCGGGTTATAACTTGCGCAAAAGCACCGGGAGACAATGAGGGTGGACGTGAAAGACGCGACCGCAATGAGCCAACACGAGAAGGCTGAGGCAGAAAAGGCAAAGCACGAGAAGATGCTTGCCGAGAAAGCGTGCAAGGAGAAAGATCTGCAGATGAAGGAGCTTCGAGAACATTTTGAACAGGAGCTGGAGGACGCCCGTAAAGAGATAAAAACGCTCAAAGAGCTGCAGCAAAAGCGAGGTGGCCAGAATCAGGAACAAAATGGCGTGAGTCTCAGCAAAGAGCAGCAAAAGCAAAAACCGAATCAGGAACAAAATGCCGACGTCAGTCAAAATAATCGCCAAAGTGGTGGACCAAGTGCGTCTTCAAGTACAACTGCACAGAATAATAAAGTTGCTAGCTCCACCGTTACAACAAAACCGTTAGAATCTTCGGGCAATGACAGCACCGCGGTTGCGGTGGGCAAAACTACCGGCACGGCGAAAAAACCAAAATCGTCGAAGAAATTGGGGGGCAACGGCAGCACGGCGGTTCCTCCGGCGCCCGGCGCGGCGGTCGTGCAGGAGAAATACCCGGATCACCAGGCCAAGCAGAAGCAGCATCAGAAAGCGAAGTCGGAGGGGGCTCTTCTCAGCGCGACCCAAACAGAACAAGTCAATACGACGAACAAGAAACAGAAACGCGCGAACAACGAGGACACCGTCGCCGATTCCGACCCGACAAAGCGCCGCCGGCGTGAAGATGCTACCCTGCTGGAAAAACAGAAAGAACCTTATGTCCTGCTGAACAAGGACGTTCTGGACGACGAGGATGAACCGGAACTCCTGCAAGGACGTGAGGAGAACAAGGCATCATCTTCTGCACTGCTTATAAAGAATACCAGCGCGACTGGACCCCCGCCCCACGATGACGACAAGAACGCGGAGGAGATGAACGTGGCGACGGATCTAGTGGTCAAGCAAACTTCTTCTATGGCGGCGACGGATCTAGTGGTCAAGAAAAAGAAGAAGAAAAAGAAAAATATTGACGGTAAGGAAGGTGAAGATGCGAACGGTGCCCCCGCGTTTTCGAGGACTTCATTTTACTTGAACAAAGACAACGGTAAGTGTAAGGAGTTTTGGCATTGTTCAAGAACAAATAGCATGTTACCCCCGTCTGGCTACTTACTTTAATACCGCCCTTCTTTTTTTTTGAATTTTTATTTCTTGTGTTTGAAATCCTCATCGATTCAAGTTCATTCCATTCCACCGTGGGGGCGGGAAGATCTTCCCATGTTGGGCCACGTCCTTGCGGTTTATAGTATAATGATAAAACGGGATGAGCGTCCACATCCAAAATTTGAAAGAATGCTAAAGGGATCTTCACGCTCCTAACAGCAACACTGGTGAATAAGTTTGAAAACTACAGTGAGCAGACAGAACATCACCATCATCAACTTCGGGCTACTGATCGCGGTGATGAACTACCATTCACAGGTACAAGCGCCGAAGCTGCAGCTGGCACAGGCCACGGGTCCGGATCGGCTGCGGAAACTTCGAATTTTCTTGGGCCAGTGGCTGCATTATGTATTGTAAATATGTCTGGGTCTGGAAAGAGTGGGACTTGTGTGTGATCCTAATTTTCGACCATACAAAAACCTGCGTTGCATGAGCAGCAAAAAGTACCCAGGTTCGAGCCACCCAGAGACGTCATTTCTGATGCAGGGTCATAGGCATTAGCCTCAGCAAACTTGCTTCGCGATGAAAGCTGTGAAGATGCTAGAGCATGTATGCAACATCAAAGGCGGTCATCATGTACAATTTGCATGAGAATAAAGATCCTCAGTTTATTTCTAGACCCAGACATAGTTGTTCCAGTGGATATAATGCAGGGAGTAGGCCAAGCGTCACCGCTCAACTGGCGGCGCAGCTCCGGGCGCAACTAGCTCAGAGAGCAGCAGATAACGCAAGCGGTACAACCGGAGCTGCCAGCAGCAGTTCGAAGCTGGCGAAGGTGGTATTTTTCGTCACTTGAATAGAACATAGAAAGGTTCTTTTTACGGAGCACGCGAGATTCATGATGCGAATAAATGTAAAAATATATAGATTGGCACTGCGATGTCCCCAGGAGCATGAGCTGTACAGAACTTCTACTCCGCAGCGGAAAAATCAAAACGGAGAAATACGAGCAGATCTTCAAGGCCAATTCTACATCTGTATGCTATCCTGCAGCTTTCTTTGGCTTCTTGAAATGAATATGATTTTCTCGGTCGTAATGCCGAACAAGCTTACTAGTATAAGCGATTTATCTTTGTGAGCGAGCAGACGAGAAGAAATCCCAATCCAATTATCTAGGTACATCGGTCCAGAAGATGTTGTTTTCTCAGACAAAAATTATAGATTCCACCATGACCATATAATTACGCATAGGCATACGTCGTTTTCTGTATAGCAATAGAAAGAATTTCAAAGGCGTGCTGATGTTCTAGTTGCCCCACCTGATGAAATGCTTGCATTCGTATTTATCTATTCGTATACAGTTACAACGACACGACACCCAGGTTGTTCCTCCTCCGCTAGTCGCTCCAGCAGCAGCGAGTAGCTCCGCAGCTAGCTCAAGCAGCAGCTCTAAGCTGGCAGCGCCAAGCGGTACAACCGGAGGTGCCAGCAGCAGCTCCTCGAAGGCAAAAGTAGTACTTTTTTATTTTCTTCTGTCATTTGAATTTGGAATGAAGAGTGTTTTTTGTGTGCGAACAAAAGAAAAATTTCAAAAACCGTACAGATGCTCTAGTTGCGCAACCTGATCATCAAATGCTCTATTCGTACCTATTCTTTCACAACTACACGACACCCAGGTTGTTCCTCCTCCCAGCGCTGGTCCTGCGTCTTTACCTGCGGCACAAGCGTTTGGAAACCTCCTGTCTGGTCCTGCTGCGTCTAACAAAAAAGGCAAGAAGAAGCTGCAAAAAGCGGGTACTGCTTACAGCGACGTTTACTACTTATGTGTTCGATTTGTTCTCGTAGTTTAATTCCGTAGTTTTTTTATTGGTGTGGAAAGAATAAAAGGTGGAGCTGCACATGATTATAGTAACGTGGCTCGAATAAAAATCAAAATTGAAATGTGTACTAGTAAGTAACCAACGAGGACTCAAATTCATCGATCCAAGAAGATGAATCTCTTCTGCAGGCAACATTTTTCAACCAACGCTTGCCACTTCAGGTGCCGCGAAATCGGACATGAGCATCGCAGCGACTGACGTTGAGGAGGATCAAGATGCTGATGGAGATGCGGATAGCAAGAATCAGAATGCGATGAAGAAAAAGAAGATATCCTGTATGAAAACGTCCCCATCATCTTCCCATACGTCAAGTTGGGAAATCTGCAAGACAAACAACTAAGGTCGTGTTAGTTTTATGCATTTTTGCAAAAGCCTCGTTCGGAAATGGGGATTTACCTGAAGAACAAGACTTGTAATGCGTGATTGCAATTAGAATTACTACAAGGGGGAGTGCCATACTTTTGCACAGGATATTAAGTTTGCTTCTGTTGCGCACCACGAGTTCTTTCCGCTCGCAATGAATTCCCGTTCAGCTACGGGAGCAGCATGACAAATCTAGGTTCTCGTGCTGATTCGAGCATCACAAATTTCCAACTAGCACTGGAAAGTCCGCATGAGATGAGACATTTTGAGCATGCAGACCTCTATGACATCACACAAAACTATGGGATGGGGATGTTTTTCCGAAGGATACACGAAATCCAGAGTGTCGACCGTGGAAAAGATTCGGATCATGAATTATGCATTGCAAAAGTACTATCGTACTCGTAGTAACGGCAATCATGCATATACAAATCTACTCCTCGAGATAAATCTGCATTTACAAATTTCATTTTATTTTTCTCATGCTGGAGAAATTTGCCATGCGAGTTCTACTAGTACGATACTTTTGCAATGCATATGAATGACTTATACCAGATGTGTTCGAACACTACCTTATCATGTCTAAAAAAGGTCCCGACCGGGAGTTGTAATCGAGATTTGCAATGACCACAGGAAGAGGAACTGAAGATGTGTGATGCGCATCGGCATGCTAGCTATTTTCAATTGTGTTTTGAATAATTTAGAATTTGTAATACTGTAAACAGCATGAGCAGATGGATTTGTAAATGCGGGCGTCCTTGCTTTTCCTTTTGCTAACCTGCACTACAATATCGACCGCATTTTATCATGTGTGCATCCCATAGCCTTGAGGCTTGTGTTGCAGAAATCCCATTTTAAATCTGGGTTCCTCGTGGGGCCGTTTTTACACAGGATAAACTTGGCAGGCGCTGTGGGAAAAAGGAACGACACCTCTTGCCCTAGCAGGGGCGAAAATCGTGTTCTGCAACGGGGGCAACATTCTCCGTCTCGGCACTTTTGATAATTCCTGCAAGCACGTATCAAATGCCAATATGTCTGGGTCTGGAAGGATCCGAACTTGTGAAGCGTGTTTCGGATCATACAAAGATCTGTGATGCATAACCAACGTGCAAAGAGGGCATTTCTCGGTGCCCACTCCTCACCATGCTGAGAGGGCGTTTCTCATGCAGAACACGCATCACCAAGGAGCTGCAGAACCTGTGATGCTAGGCCCTGCATTCCAGACGTGGGGGAGCTTGGAAAAACTGCATGACAAAACTCGGAATCCCCCAGACCCAGACATTTTTGCAGTTGATAGCACATCTGGAAAAACCAGTGCGAGGACGTTCCGGGGCTGGTCCGGGAGCATAGACTTGATTTGAATGACGACTTATCCTGTACAAAAGTATCGTACTCGTATAAGTGCAAGTCTTGCATATACAAATCTTGCTCTTAAGGTAAATCCGCATATACTATTACAAGTTTTATTTCTCATGCTGAGGAAATTTGTAATGCATTTATACGAGTACGATACTTTTGCAATGCATACCACTGCTGTTTGAACAACGCCGGGTCAAAGCTATTGATGACGAAGGACGAAGGAATATCCTGTGTAAAATCGTCCCCAGCCCAGAGTTGTCATGCAAATGCGCAATGACAGGAGCATCTGCAATGCGCATCTCCATGAGAGGCATTTCCAATCGTGTTTTGGCATTTGTAATGCTGATGTAAACAGCATGAGAAAATAGCTTTCTCATGCGGCTTCCCTTGCTAAGCAGCACAACACTGTAGATGGAAACTTGTCATGCACAACTCCCAAAGCTTGGAGATTTGTGCTGCAGATTTACCAACTTGACTATGGGGTGGGGACGTTTTTGCTCAGCATAAGGAACCTACGGGGCGAGGCCGGACATTATAGACGACGACGAGGACCCGATCCGCATCGTCTCCGTGGATGTCCCCAAGGAGCTGGATGAATCGCCGAGCCAGAACGACGTTCTCACACTGCAAATGAGGATGAAGCTAAACAAAGAAAAAGAGAAGGAGCGTACAAACGAACTGCGGACCGTCGCGAATAAAGTGAAGAGCGGTAAAAAGATCAAACGCTTTTCCTTGCACCAGCGCAAATCTGTGGTGGACGGTCTAACGCCGACTGTATGAGAGTGCACAACTACCCTTTCCCCTCATTTGTAGAACTATGGCATAAACAGCAAGACAAACACAAGCACGCATGGAGCCTACGCGTGACAAATTTATGGAACTCGTGTAGTACTGTTTGGGTTCTTTCCAGAATCTGTCATGCAAACAGTGCCAACGGGCAGGGTTACTGTATTTGGGATTTCATTGCCTGACAGATGAGGGGGACGAGGGGGACCTGTGCACTTTGATAGGCTGGCTCAGGTTTCTACGACGTGCCGGTCATATCCTGTGCAAAAGTATCGTACTCGTATTGCAGTCATGCATCATAAATCTTTTTCTCAAGGTAAATCCGCATTACAAATTTTATTTCTCATGCTGGGAAAATTTGTAATGCATTTATACGAATACGATACTTTTGCAATGCAGAGGTCACATTCTACTTCAAGGAGTTAAGGAGGGGAAATGAGTGATCATCTTCCCGGCTGCTGCTAGTCCCAAGAAAAAAGTTAACCTGTCTTGCGGATTCGCCTAGAAAGCTTTTTGTTTTTTTCTGATGCAAACTGCCCAGCAAAAATCACTCCAGACCGCATGGTCATGGAATGGAGTGGCTTTTGGTGTCAGTGTGCTCTACTTTGCATGACAAATCTTCAGGAGGAGATAGCAAATCCGCATGACAGTAGGCTGCGACTTTCGATAAGAGAAAGTAGCAACACTCCCTAAGATCATCACTCACTTGCTCTCTATAGGAAAAGCGGAAGAAGAGAAGAGTTCTAGGCGAGGATCCTGACGACCCAATGATAGTGATCCCTGAAAAGGCGAACCGCAAGAAAGCCCATGCGAGATGGGGGGAACCGCTCAAATACCGATTCAAGCATCCTTTTTCCAAAGATCGCTCGGGCCCGAGCTTTCAGCGGTACGGCAATTCTTCGGAGGGAAGCTCATCGTCATCTACTTCCTCCTATGCCTTGCAACAGTATCGTACTCGTATAAATGCATATATAAATTTCCTCAGCATGAGAAATAAAATTTGTATATGCAGATTTGCCTTGGAAACAAGATTTGTAATGCAAGAGTTGCATTTGTACGATTACGATACTTTTGCACAGGATACCTCCGACTCCGAGGATGACGAGGACTCCGAGGACGATGAAGACGGCTCTATCGCAAGAAAAAAAACTGTTTCACTGTATTAAAAAACTACTTGTAATGCAGAAAATCTATCTCAGAGGACGCGCTTGTCTTGCTACACATGCAAGACAATGGAATTTTCGTGGTGTTTTCCCTTGGAGATCTCGCATGGCAAATTTTCTCGTCCGTCATGCAGAACAAACTTGTGATGCAAAACTTGCAAAATCCTTACAGTGAAGGTACACTTTTTTCGTACGATAGGCTTTAAATCCAGTGCCAAAAATGCCAGACCCTTGTCGTCGTCGCCTAGAAACAAGTCAAAGGCTCCGTTTATCAAATGTAAAAATGTCTGGGTCTGGAAGAATGCAACCTGTCATGCTAAGTCTGAAGTATGCAAAAATCTGTGTTGCATGATTACCAAAAGTGACGTCCTCGTCCAGTTTTGACCAAGTCGCGAGGGAGTTTCTCATGCAGGATAGGCAGAGAGAGATCATCGCACAGAATCTGTCATGCTAGGTCCTGCATTCCAGACCTCATGGGTCATGGAAAAGCTGCGTGACAATAAATCGCGCACTCTTCCAGACGCAGACATTTTTACATTTGATGCGGTTATCTTCGCCGGATCCGGAACTGAAGATCGGAATCAACTACTGCGGAATAAACTACCAGAAAGAGGAAAATGATTCCAATTCTGGGTCTTCCTCCTACGATGACCCATTATACATGCGGTTCAACGACAACAGCATGTTTATGGGATTGTCCTCAAACGTTTTTACATTCTCAGCTGTTCGTCCATGAATACTTATGTTGAGCTTAATATCATGCGAAACACAGCTTGATGTGGATCATGTGGTGGTCGACAGTACTATTGATGGCGAGGACTCTATCGCCTTACAAATTCATGGAACAACATATGAACTGCAAAAGTATCGTACTCGCATGACAAATTTTCTGGGCATGAGAAAGGAAAGTTGTAAAATGCAAATGTGCCTGAAGAAAAAGATTTGTAACGCATGATTGCAATACGAATACAATACAATACTTTTGCACAGGATACAACAGCGGAGCAAGCAAATGTTTGAGGACGCCATAAAATACAGGAAAATGGAGAAAAAGGAGGACTATGCCCTGCAAAAATCCCTGGATGTCTGGAAGGTTGGAACTTGTCGCACTAAATCTGAATTACGCAAAAGGAAAAATTTGTGTTGCATGATTACCAAGAAATGATGTCCGCTTTTGATCAAGTTGAGAGGCAATTTCTCATGCAGGATAGGCATGCTAGTGATCATCTCACGGGATCTGTCATGCTAAGTCGTCCATTACAGATCATATGGGTCATGGAAAACCTGGATGACAAGTCGAGCAAAGTTCCAGTAGTATAAGTAGTAATAGTTAGTTCCACCGGTGGACATATTAGCATGTTTAATCTCTCTCTACATAGTGCATACTTTTATTTTCTTTCTTCAAAAAGTTCAAGTCGTTCTCTTCCCTGTGCTGTACCAAGGTCTTGTTTCCAGACAAAACACCAGACTTTTTTGCAGTTGATAAGGACAAACTTCCAGTAGGGACCGCCAGCACAAACACCGGCAATGAGAAGAACAAGATGAGCGGGGGGCAGCTGTCCAAACTTCCAGTAGGGACCAGCACGACCACCGCCACCGGCAATGAGAAGAAAATGCCCTCTGGTGTTCATCAAGGAGATCGGGAGGAAAACAAAAGAACAGTGACTACACGACCACGACGCGAGAGTACGTTCGTGAACATCCCAGTAAGCGAGGTAGGTCGTGGTTCCCGTTGAGGACAACCGAAGATGGACAACACAGAGAATAAAGCGCGACATCAAGTTGGTGCAGTGGTCGTTCTCTTTCTAATCTGGAATGATCCCATAACTACACAGCACTTTCTACATCTTCTCCTTGTCATCAACATCACTTTTTGAAAATGATACGGAAATATGAATGAAGTAAAATCAGAGTCTACAACTTGGAAGAAGCGCATGCATTTGTCAAGTAGATGCAGAGGGTGGTTTTATAGACGTTCATAATCAACAGAGAAACATACTCATTTGACACGAAATTTTTGATTTTTAGATACCTTTCGTTCGATGCTGACACGAACGATCTGATGTGAGTGCTAAAATTTGGATTTTTTAGGTCCTCGAACAGTTGACGCCATGTCCAGGCATGGAAAGAAAGAAGCACATACACAAGAAAAAAACAGTACGTGTACGACAGTAGCAACAAGCAAAAAGCGTAAGACAGGCCCGCAGCGGCTTGCAGCGTAGAACAGAGAAGTAAGCGACAAGTAAGATGAAAGTTAAAAACTCAAAATAAAAACAACAGTTCCTTCAGGCTCGTAACTTGAAAAACACGACTAGACTTCAACTTTTCAGACCAGCACTACTTTCTTTTTCAAACTACGAAGAGCACAGACGGCCAGCTGTGACACTGCAGCCGAAACAGGCCTGCAGAGGGCCGTCGCGGGTCGCTCTGCAGCACTGCTTTCGAAACGCTTGGCGTGTGCTGTTTTAAGTACTACGAAGCAAAAGAAGCGACGCAATGTCACAAACCCGCAGCAATCCCGCAGACATTGCTCTTACCGGCCGTCTCGGCTTTTTATTCTCCACAGCTTCACAAGTATAGAGAAGAAGTAGTACGTAGACAGGCCCACAACGACCTGCAGCGTTCGTAGGCGACAAGCAAGATGAAAAGCAAAAAACTTAAATGAAAAAAAACAGTTCCTTCAAGCACAAACTCCAAATTTTTACCTTGCAACTGCGAAAAACAGGACTACAGTGCAACTTTTAGAGCAGCACTGCTTTGTGACCTTCCCAACTTTTCAGTAGACTTTTAACTTTCAATACCGACATCGTAACTTTTCAACAACTTCTATTTTTCTCGTCTCAACTTTCAGACTTTATCTTTTCCTTCAACAAGAGCGCTTTACTTGTCAAAAACGTCTTTCAGAGTTTTACGTTTAGTTTTCAAAATAGTAGTATCGCTTTCTTTTGCCAGGTTCGTGTAGTTGTCCTGCAGAAAAAGGTTTTTCTATAAGGGTCCAAGCCACAAGCACAAGTTGCTTGCCCAGCTTGTCTTTTTGTTGAAGTAGCGCTAGCCACGTGAGAGAAAGCAAAAAACTTTCAAGCGGTTCCACGTGACCACTCACAACAAACAAACAACAAGCAGTACGTATCACGAATTTTCACTAACGATATTTAGCATGGAAATATTGTAGGAAAACGAAAAAAACGCAAAACTTAATGAAGCGCTTGAGACAGAAAAAAAACTACTTCTACCGGGAAAAAATTCCCTGGGGTCAGGCATGTTGTTGCACTCCGCGCATGCAAGCCTTTTTGACATTTTTCCCTTCGCAGACACATGAGATAGAAAATAGGAATTGAAGCAGTGGCCGGGGCGCTTGTCCATGCCTAGACATTCAGAGGCTCATAGTAGGCTTCGACGCTATTATTCGCACAGCAGAAATAAAAACTCAAAACACAAAAAAAGACTACGGCAGTTCCGCCTTTAACGTTTCGAAATTTACTTGATGCTTTTCACTATACTCTACTAGTAGTCACACCGTGTCTCTCTCCGAAAATGCTTACCTCTGCTTTACGCCTCGGCGTAGCTGACGCAAGTTGCGAGTTCAGATTTTTGTATTGAACGCAAGAAAAAGAAGTAGCTAAGATCCCAAAGATTACGCTTAGGCCACACAAAGAAACAAGCAAGTTAGACGATCGGAACCCGAACACAAAAACTAAAAATCCACTACTACGACGGTCGAGCTGATGAAGATTTGTTTCGCGCCAAAAAACGAAATGCGTAGCTTTGTCTTGCTACAGGTGACAGGAGGAATAAGCAGCAGTCATTAAAAGACTAAAAAGATTGCATCTCTAGCGAATGACAATGGCTCGTATGCATGTTGTCCGTCGTATAAGTATCGTTATGTGCAAGTCCTGTCTTCGTTTGCTTTAGTGAATACAAAGTGTCTCCGGAAAATAGTAAGTGAAGCAGTTGTGGCCGGAGTTGCGCTGCCACGCAATTCCAATTGAAAAACAGAAATACATGCGTTTTCTTCTCGCTTGAAAAACAGAGACTGGGGAAATATGATGGTGCAAAACTGAGAGAAAACGAACTCAGATCCATGCGCACAACCCTCAGCAATTTGATTTCGCAGTACACAAGAAGGGCGTAGCTAGAAAGACAAGAATGAAACTTTGGTATAAATGATTTGGACACGTACCCTGCAGGTGTAGAAGTGCTATTTTGAGTATAGTGCGCGTGTGTATCATCGGCAGAGAATGGGAGGGAATTGCAACGCCGGAATTGAATGAGATGACTGCAGAACTTTTGATGTTTAGCTTTTCTGGCCTGGAGAGAGAGAGAGAGAGAGAGCGACAAATGCGTAAGTTAATAATGCGGCACCCCAGTTGTACCTATTGCATGTCCCTGTGAAGTGGACGGAGATGATGTTTGCATGTTTGAGAAGAAAAACTGCGTGGTCATTCAAAATGTTGATTTTTACCTCAACCAAAAACCGTAGGGGAACAAGTGTTGTTTACAACAAAAAACTCAATCACAATGGCCAAGACGATGAAGATGATGGCGGCCCCGGCCCCGGTCATGAAGAAGATGTCCATGAAGAAGATGATGGCCATGAAGAAGAAGTAAATTTCTTCTATGCCTCTCTTTAGATGACAATCTTTTGAGAGTGTTCCCCTAGGAACAGCCCAGCGCTCCTGCTCGTAGTGTTATCTATGGCAGTCGTAGCTAAAGCTGGTGCATGATGAGTTAGTAGTTTATCAACGCGTCGTAGTATTCTACGCGCTACATGCTACTACAGGAATTCACACTGCAAAAGATGCAGGATTTCTTTCTGCGTGCAGGATTGGTTTTCGTTTTCCGCGATGGATGAGCAGAGTGCAGAGAGGTTGAGTGTGTCAGTTTATTGATGATTGAGCTACTACGTGTTTATGACAGGTGTGACCAAACTTTCGTACTAAAGCAACCACTCCGAGAAAAGAAAGAGGAAATGGTAGGCCGCGAGAACAGAACTCAGTACGTGGGAGAGAGAAGAGATTGAAGATATCATGCAGTAGTGTCTATGCGTAACCATTACATGACAATGACTGCGCTGCTCAATCTTCACCTTCAATAAAAAACCGTAGGGAAACTGTGTTGTCTAACAACAAAAAAAAACTCAATCAAGATGGCCAAGATGATGAAGATGATGACTACCGCCCCGGTCCCGGTCATGAAGAAGATGGCCATGAAGAAGATGTCCATGAAGAAGATGTCCATGAAGAAGAAGTAAATTGCTTCAAGCACCTCTATTCTTTCATGATGACAATCTGAGATTGAGGACATTCTGGCGTTCCTGTCGTTGGTAAAAAGTATATTTTGATTTTCACGACGGTCGATGTAGCTGAAGCCAGACTTCCAAGTAGTGTAAACTTTTGTCGTAGTATGCTAGAGTTGTGAACCTACTTGATACCCCCAGCGCTCCGGCAGAGCAAATTGCTCGCTATGATACAGCCGTAATTTTGATCCTGTTCATTATGATATACTAGAAAAACACGGAATAGCGAAACTACAAAAACACGAAATAGCACGCCATGTATGATTTGACTCGAGCCGCAAGGTCGCCTTGCCCCCACCTAAAATTTTACTTTTCGATACTGAGCAGAGCTTTATTGGCTCCTTCTTCTTAGTAATGTTCGCAAATTTTCAGTTAAGGTAGTATGTCTCTTTCGTTCCCTAAACGTTTTTAAGTAAGATTCAGACAGTGTAGCTTTTTCTCCACTAGTTCGCGTGGCTTTATCTATATAAAAATCGCGAACTTGAAAACTACTGATGCAACTTAAGTACTCAGATCGGTTATTTTGAAAACCTCACTCTTGTACTGAAAAAACCGTTCTTGCAGTGAGTGCAAAACTCTAAATCGTTCCTGCAATACAAACCTTGAATCACAAGCATAAAACCTTCGGTAAAAATTACACTACTCTCGTGGAAATTTAAAATCGTCGATCGTACGGGAGTCGCAAGGGCTACAACTAAACTTTTATCGTTTTGATAAATTGAAAAATCGCATGAGAAATGATTGGGATTACGCGTTAGTCGCATACACATTTTGTTGCGGAAAGGCGTTCAGCATCACAAATTGGACGTTTTTTTAGCATTTGTAATGCCAGAGGACCCGTCATCTTGTAGTAGACCTTGCGCCGAAAGATATCACGGTAGGCGAGAGTGCAGGCTTGGTGCGTTTTTCGACCCGTCATCTAACAGCTCTCGAAAGTCTAAACTGCATCTACACTAAGTGACAAGAAAAACCGCACGAGAAAATGGATGTTTTAGAAAGTTTTGAAAATAAAAGAGAAAAAGAAAAACGTGACTGAAGAAAGAAAGAAGACGACGATAAGGACCATCATGCTCTTTTATTCAAAGGCTCTTGCACGGTCACCCACTCTCGTAGTGGTGAGAGAGTCAAAGACCAAGAAACCTCTCGAGCAAATATTACGATAAGCATTTATGTTCGGTGCTGATTCCCGGACGTGCTCGCTCTGTTTGCTCACCCCCTTCTGAGCAAATTTTCTCTGCCGTGATCGGTTTGCAGATCGTGTGCTATAAGATCACGAAGTGCGCGGCTTATTGGATCGCGAAAACCACGCCCGTTGAGGTGAAGTGCTGTGAGGTAGGAAAAGTCATACTATAAGTGCTGCGTGACCTCCACCCAAGGTCTCGCAGCGATCTCGTCCGAACACGCACTACTTGTCTCTACGTAAGGATCGAGACACAAATGCTTTGTGACCAAGAATGATGTGGTATTGCGTTGTGAAGAGCTGTTTGAGTACGATATTGCCACCTCGGTGCGCTCATTCCTGTACGATACTGCAACCTCGGGTTAGCCTTTTGCTCTTCCTGTTGAACGTGAAGTAGCCATATTCGCATTGTTGAGATTTTTGCTATGGCTTACATACATAACAATAGACTGGGTTGTACCACCACTTACGGCTTGTTGACGAACCACAGGTCGACACTGCTAAGTCCGAAAGAGCCTAATTTTGAAAGCGTCCGCGCTCGAAGGAAACAGTCTTGCCGCAGTGTTACTTTCTCAAAAAGTTGACTATTCATCGCCTCAAGCCGGGCGCTTGGTCTTCTTCGGGTTTTAACAGAGAGTATAGCACGCAGCAGTTCGCCAAATAAGCGCACACATTGTCAGCGTCATCATGTGCTAGACATGCGATTTGTATAGGGCTTGCTCTACCCGACGGCGTCAGCAGCGTGCAGCAATGGTTGGTTCTTTTTTTGTCCGATCTCCATCACTGGTACAAGTATAAAATGATCACCGAAGAACGCAGAGATCACTTTAAGTATTTTCCGTTTTTTTTTCAGCGAGTACGTATCTTCACCTGACGACTCTATTTTTTTTTCTTTAGCCTAAGTCTTCACTTACAAATTTCATATTTCTATATCGGCAGCTGCATTTTGATTTTGCAAACGAGGTTTGTTCAACAACGAGCTCCAAGTTTGAGTTTGTATTGATATGACATGCATCAAGTAGAGGTATAGCTGCCCACTCAGTTCCAGTTTCCGTTTCGCAGTCCATCTGTGATATCTCCATGATCTCACAACACCCACTTTTCTGAGTCCAACTCCAATGTCGCAGATCATCAAGGTAATAAAATCGCGACAAAAGAATTCAAAGTCTCCTGATAACAAACAAAAATTTGATCAGCACCGGTCTGATTGTTGTCGCACTTGCAACAAGGGTGGCAACTATAGTCTCGATAAACCAAAACGCAAAAACCAAGACCATGAGAAGTTATCAGACCACGGCCCGGTGGTCAGGGACTACCACATTGGGAACTGCACCGGCATCCGCATGTGCCGTCGCCTTCTACTTGAGACTCGTATCGCGGGTCATCGGGTGGACGATCCTCGTTTATGGGACCTTGAGCGCGGCGTCCCTTGCCTCCGCGTCTAAAAACGTCCCCGGCGTCGCCAGGGCCTTGTTGCAGCGGGCACACGCCAGCGGAACAGGAGCTGGCACAACTACAAGAAGCCGTCTGGTTAGCAAGCTGTTGCAGCTACAGAGCAATCGGTACAGGCATCGACCTGGAGCTGGTCCCCCGCCGCAACACTTGGGCAGCAAGCGCGTTTCGGTCTCAACTAGCCATGGAGGGACTTGTTCGTCCTCTGCAACTACTACAAATTCGGTCGTCGGAGGACCGGCGCTGCAGCAGTGTGGACGCTTCACTTGCAGCACAACTCGAGCTCTTCTTGCAGCGAAGCCAATCCAACCTGTGAAGATTGCGTCTGGCCCACGCAGGTTTCGAATGAAGACCTGCATAGCAGGAAGTGCTCTTGATGATGCAACGATAGGAAGGGGAACATCTGCTACCGATGTAGATGAAGATGTTGATGGACGACCTTCTTCTAACCGTGACGGGACGGAAACGGAATCTCCTTCCGGCGCACCGGTGTCCACCAACCTTATTGCGGCGAAGACACCAACAGGATCGCTGCCCCGTGATGAACATGTACATGGCGGTGGGCCGCGTGATCCGCTTTCACTGCCCTGCGATGCGCGTGACGAGGCAGCTCGGGAAACTACGTCCTCTTCAGCCATTTCTATTGACGATCAGCTCGGCCAACAACAGGCAACCCTGGGCTACGCACTTGCGGAACAAGGAAACGACAAACATATGCATTGCAACAGCACAAGCATCTTCGTACTAGAATGCACTGTACCACAAATTCAAATTTTCGCATAAGAAAAGTCGAGTTTGTAAAATGCTGATTGAGGTTCTTGGGAAAGACAAAGATAAAGAACTTTGTCATGCAGGACTGCAATTGATTTATATTATTTGTTTTGGATACATAGGAGTAGGCCTAGGCACTTAAGATAGAAGTACTTTTGCAATGGATAAACAGTAACATGACCCGACCGGCACAGCAATCGAGCAGCAGTGCTCTGCCGACAGACCCTCTTTCGGGCGCATCCCCGAGTTGTTCCTCCGTCGAGGCACTTCTTTCGAAAGAATATCAAGTGTAAAAATGTCTGGGTCTGGAAGATTCTGACACTTGTCATGCACGTTTTGCATGAGCCCTGATGCCTGTAATGCATGCCCTAGCATCACAGATTTTGTGAGATCTTCTTGGTGCCTATTCCGCATGACAAATGCCCTCTCCGCGTAGCAAAAATTGCATTCCTTTTGGTACTCATGCAATACAGATTCTTCTGGAATCCAAATGCAGCATCACAAGTTGCATTCTTCCAGACCCAGACATTTTTACATTTGATAAAGAAAAGCAGCTTACGATATTGCGCAAAACGGACGAAGCATCGTACAGAGGGGAAGGTGGCTTGCGATTGCAGGACCGATATGAAATGCAAATGTGTCTGGGTCGGGAAACTTGTGATGCTGGGTGGCGTATCATGAGGAGACCACAAGTGCTGGCACAGGATGACAAGTTTTTGAGCTTTTAGGCATTGGCGTTGCCTGTTCTGCATGACAAACTGCGTATCTGCATGAGAGAAAAATGGGGCTCTTGGGTAACGTGCATGACAGATTTAAGAGTCATGCCAGACAAGCATGACAAACATGCATTCATCTTCCAGACCCAGACATATTTGCACTTGATACCAGAAAGATCAACGACCGTTTCTCATCCGCAATCGGCTGGAGCCCAACTTTATCTTGTGCAAAAGTATCGTACTCGTAGTAATCGCAGTCGTGCATTGGAAATCTCCACCCCGAGGTAAAACAGCATGACAAATTCCATTTGTCATGCTGAGCCAATTTGTATGTAATGCAATTACTACGAATACGATACTTTTGCAATGCATAAACTTCCAAAGTGAAGTTGGAGAAAGCAGTATCCAAGGATAAAACATTGTAAGGTGTAAGTAAGTAGCTTTTTTTTGCCGAAACAGCATTACAAATCTGTCTGGCATGATGATAGCAAAAACCTGTCATGCGCAGAGACGAGACAATACGTGAAACCACGCATGAAGGGGGCCTGTAAAAATGCGTGACCAGCATGACAGCCGTGCCGCAAGCTCAATCATCTTGCATGTAGCGCATCACAAAGTTATACACCTCCTTTGCTTTTTTTGGTTGGATAAGCAGAAAAAAAGAAAGAGGGGCAAACCGCCAGCGGGGCTCTGCCGACAGACCCTCTTTCTGGCGCATCTTCGAGTTGTTCCTCCGTGTTGCCTATCAGCTGTAAAAATGTCTGGGTCTGGAAGGATGCGAACTTGTGATGCGCATTTCACAACACAGACAAATCTCTCATGCATAGGCAGCAAAAGGCGCCCATTTCCTGTCACGAAAATGGGGGATTTGTCATGCGGATTAAGCAAAGCGGAAGCTTCTCGAAACCTATGGTGCTAGGGCTTCCATGAGAGACATTTTGTGTCATGCAAAAGCAGCATGACAAAAATCTGCATTCTTACAGACCCAGACATTTTTTACATCTGATATTGCCCACCGCGACGGGTCAATCGGACCGGAGAAAAAACACCGGTCCCATCGATTGGACTACGCACCTGGTGCCGCGCTCGTTGGCAGCGGCGGCTCGTGGTGCCGGAGCGGACGGGCCACGGGGTGCAAGGACTAGCGAGATGGGGACACACTGCGCGGCGTCGAGACCTGCCGCTGGTGACGGCACTTGTCACGCTGGCACAAGAGGAGTGGGCTGCTCCAGAGAGAATGCACAAGAACTGTTACATGCTCCGCGACCACCGCCACCGGAGCAGTGCAACCTGCCGGTCGTTACCCTGCAACACTACTACGACTCCGTGAATAAATTCGTGAGTACCAGTCTGCAGAAACGGGCCGCCATGCTGGATGAAGTTTATGAGAGTTGATGCGCACAACCTCCCAACCGTCCCACTCATCAAGGAGTGATTGAAGGTGCAAGATCAACAGCAGCAACCCAAGCAACGGAAGAAATGGGCGGCCTTGCGCATGACCAATCTGCGCTCACTGATTGTCGTACTGTATCAGGTCGTTCCGAAATTTATCATGCAAACAGTGCCTCCACGCGAGAGTTTGTCTTCGTGATAGTGGTTGGTAATTCTGCATCACAAATGAGTGAGGGAAGCAGGGAGGTTTTGTACTCTCATGAGTTGGAACGGTCCGTCACAACCCGGTGCGAGGAGATCCGGCTGCAGCATGTCCAAAAAGTCGTATCGAAAAAATTTGTTCTTGCTCATGTTAATATTTGTACGTACTACAGTGAAAACTACACTCATGTCGATGAAATTATCAGCGTAACTTGAAATTTCTCTGCTGCACTCTGCATGATGGATCACGTTTGGAAGATACCCCTGGTGTTTGAAATTGTTTGAAATGGAATTTTCATGAATTTTGAAAAACAGAAATCTCGGTCCGAGGATCCCTTCGACCCCCTGTACCAGACGCACTTGCTGTTTCTTGGGCGTGGCCTACACGAGCAGTACCTTTCGCTGATGGGCGAGCAGCGCGCCTGGCGTGCGCGGTTGCGGCGGTGGCGGTCGGCGTTTCTACGCGACTGGAACAAGGTGAATGCCGAGGAGGGGGCCCTCTTCGCGCAGTTGCTGTATACCTACCCGGAAATTGACCAGGCCAGCTTGGCTTTCGCGCTGGATACCTATACTCAGGCGCTGCTCCACGGGGCCAACGCTGCGGCTGCTCGCCGGCCCCACTTGCTCCTCAGCACGGGCGGAGCTAGTAAGACCGCGGAGCTGCTCCACCGAGAGGAAAAATTGCTGCAACTTGTCACCTCGTATGCCGAGCGTCGAGAGCAGCCCTTGAAGATGCCAGTGCTGCAGCTGAACAACAAGAGTGGGAATGATAAAACTTCTGTGTCTGAACTACAACTACCGGCACGCGGCGAGGGGACACAGGACCTGCAACATCACTTGGTAGGCGAGAGTGTGTCGCGGCACCTCGCGACACAGTTGCGGAGCTTTCGCAAACGGCGGTACAAGATTTACAAAATGTGGATGCGCAAGACGCGCGACCTGCAACACCGTATCTGGAGTTTTTACTGTCCCTCCTACGAATTCGTGACCGCGCGGCTGCTTGACCAGCACGTCCAAGAGGTGAAACGCTTCATGTCGACCAAGCTATGCATTGCAAAAGTATCGTACTCGTACTAATTGCAGTTACGCATTACAAATCTAGTTGTTAATGCAAATCAGCATATACAAGTTTAATTTGTATTGCTGAGCCAATTCGTATTGCGATTTATACCAGTACGATGCTTTTGCACAGGATACCAGCCCCAGGCGATCGAGTTCCGGATGAAAGACCCTTGCCCGCTGGATCGCGTGTACATGGCCCTAAAGATCGGGTTTTCCTCGTCCTCACAGAAGAAAGCACAGGAGCAAGAGGACGGGCAAGAAGGATCAGCAGCTTCCAGCGCGACGGGCCGCGAGGCCGGGGTATCAACAACAGCTGCCTGTAAAAATCTTCCGGAAGAAGATGATCTCGGACCTTCGGGCGCGGTGCCCTTTGTTCTGTTACCCGACGACAAGGAGGGCGACGTGGAAATGCGATGCCTGGAGCCGGACGAGCTGTTGCATTTGAGTCCCGCAGAATACCTACGCTGCAGAAAAAGGTCGTGGTCCCCACTCTTTTACATTTAAGTACGTGTACGTCAAGATGAAAAATCAAAATCTGCAAGACCGCAAGTCCGGGCAGCTTTTATTCTTGGAACCCACGCGTGATGACCGGCTTGGCTGCTACGCTCTGAATTCGACCCTCTGGTAGCTAGTCCGAAAGCATCGTGGGTTCACTCCCGTACTAGGATACGGATTTTTCCCTAGTAAGAACACCATTAGCAATCGCCCTGCATGTTGTGCTTGTGTGGGGGCGCTCTGCCTCTGAGCATGCAAATATGCATCACAAAAAATTCGGGAAGATGCTGCTGGGAACCACGTTTTTGTGCTGCATAAACTCGTCCGAAAAGCTTTTCCGGTGATGTTTTGGCCGACCTGCTGGCGCGAATGGAAATTTCCAGCGGCGAGGCAAGGAATGGCTGCTCACTGCAGCGTTCGACCCCAAGTTCTTCTGGCTCGGAGCTCAAAAAGGAGAACGAGATCCTGATCGTGGACGCAAAGAGCCAGGAGGATGTCGCAGCTTTGGTACCACTAGGCCGCCGCGACGAGGGTGGGGCACGCATACGCAGAAGTGGATCGCCGCTGGTGCGAAGCGATGGCGCGAGAAAGAAATCTTCGCACCGGCAAGGGGTCGTGGTGAGAGACGCGGCCGCGCGAGCGAGGCGCTGTGGTTCTTCACGATGGAGCGGTGTGCCCTCTACAGCAGCGGTGGACCATCACGGTGGTGCCAATTCCGCACAGGAGGACGAAAAGATCCTGACCACTGAACGGGCTGATCAGGGGAGGGCCGCACTCACTGCGGAGGAAGAGGCGGAGTGTCAGTATTTTGACGCGGACGACTGGGAGTAAAATCAATTTGATTTCAGCTGACCTCGTGCCGCGCTTCCGCAGCGAGAGGCTGTTTTCTAGTGCAATTTTCAGGTACAATACTATGAATTGAATGTACGCAGCAAGAACTGTAGATTTAGTTCTTTTAGAGTTACAATAGGAACTGGAAAAGCAATTCCACGTTGCTGGTTGAGAACGGAGGGCATCCTCGTATGTTTATACCTATTTCACTACCTGAGTTGTGCTTAGCTCCCGATGCAAATGCAATTTCTGTGCCTTCATCAACTCCGTCCCAGCAGTCTCACATCTAAATGAAAGCTTCTGTTTACTACATCTAAATGAAAACTTCTGTCAACCGCTACACGAAAGCTTCTGTTTACTACATCTAAATGAAAGCTCCGGAGTGCTGGTGCTGCATTGTTTCAACCACGGAGTAGATTGCGGTCTGCACACACACATAAGGAACAGCACAACCGGAGCACCAGCGACTTTTTGTTATTTTGAACTTGAAACCGAGATCTTCTGCATGGTAGTTGTCACAAAAGCGATAACAAAATCAAAAGCAAAACAAGCAAAAGCAAAACAAAGCAGCAAGCTCAAAGCTCCTCTCATTGGTCTCTGGCCCGTCAGACCATGCATTCTGGTTCTGGTTCGGAGCGAAAGTAGTTTGACACAAAAAAAACGGATCTCTCTGGCCGCGGTCTAGCTCTGATACTAACAATTTAGCAACACGAGATGAAGACAAGATGATCTCGCTTGATCCAGTCAGTACACCAGCTGCTCGTTTATACGGAAGAGAAATCAGTTTCTCCATGATCCTGGCAGAAAAAGGATGGTGATGGAAGATCCTGAAGGTTCCTTGTTTTTTTTCCGTAGTAGCCATTTTGAACCACGACGGACGGCTCAGAGTCGACTGATCTTGTACTGTAGTTTAGAGACCCCCACGCACCAGAGACAGTTCAAGTTCTCTTCGTCACAGTCGAGCCCGAAAATAGTTGCGCATCTGATCTCCATGCAACTACAACGACATTGTGATCTCTTATCCTCGGTGCAAAGATGATCAGTTTTTCATTTTTTAGAAGTGCGGGTAGAAGTGCGGGGTGCGTGAGGTGATGCTGATGCCAATGTTTGTTGAGAAAAAGCCAACGATCCCTGATCGACTATTGCAGAAGATCACGCTCTACGGCGGCGCACTGTTTTTGCTCTCCATTGTGTTTTTGCTATGCTTATCGATAAAAATGTCGCGAAGCACAGTGTAATCGTGTCACACTCTTTTCTTTCATGCAGCGATCTCTTCCGAACATACTACGCTCGTCTCTACGTGAGGCTCGAGACACAAAAGACGTTTTTCTTTTTTGTGAAAAATTATCATATTGCATCACTTTGTTTTGCGGTGCATTCGAAAAATTATCTGACTTGGATTTTATTGGAAGCGACAACAAGCGACATTGAAACAAGCGACATCCCAACTCAAGCGACACGACGCGGCCGCCTGCGACGACGCTCATTCCTGGAAACATCATGCCAGAGGACAGCGCTGCCGGGCCGCCCGGAGCGGGCAACAAGGAAGTACTAAAGCCAGACGGCTTTTTCGAATTTACCAACATGAGTATGATCATCTTAATTTGCCCACTCTGACAGGGCAATACTAACTTGCAAACCCGAGGAGCCATGTGATGTAGGCTTATTTACCTATAGTTTTTGTTTTGTATTCGTATTCCCTCCTTCTTTTGATAAAATTGCGGCAATGTCAACTACGCAGGTGCTGGCGAAAAATGGAAATGGAAAGGCCAAAAAGAAGAAGCCCGCTGCGCAACAGAAATCGAAGAAAGCCCTCGTCAAGGCACTTCTTGCTGAAGAAAAGCAGCTTACGATATTGCGCAAAACGGACGAAGCATCGTACAGAGGGGAAGGCGGCCTACGTTTGCAGGACCGATATGAAGTGCAAATGTGTCTGGGTCGGGAAACTTGTGGTGCTGGGTGGCGTATCATGAGGAGACCACAAGTGCTGGCACAGCATGACAAGTTTTTGAGCTTTTAGGTGTTGGCGTTGCCTGTTCTGCATGACAAACTGCCTTTCTACATGAGAGAAAAATGGGGCTCTTGGGTAACGTGCATGACAGATTTAAGAGTGAGTCATGCCAGACAAGCATGACAAACATGCATTGTTCCAGACCCAGACATATTTGCACTTGATATCAGAAAGATCAACGACTGTTTCTCATCCGCAATCGGCTGGAGCCCAACTTTATCTTGTGCAAAAGTATCGTACTCGTAGTAATCGCAGTCGTGCATTGGAAACCTCCACCCCAAGGTAAAACAGCATGACAAATTTCATTCGTCGTGCGGAGCCAATTTGTATGTAATGCGATTACTACCAATACGATACTTTTGCAATGCATAAACTTCCAAAGTGAAGTTGGAGAAAGCAGTATCCAAGGATAAAACATTGTAAGGTGTAAGTAAGTAGCTTTTTTTTGCCGAAACAGCATTACAAATCTGTCTGGCATGATGATAGCAAAAACCTGTCATGCGCAGAGAGACAAAACGTGAAACCACGCATGAAGGGGGCCTGTAAAAATGCGTGACCAGCATGACAGCCGTGCCGCAAGCTCAATCATCTTGCATATAGCGCATCACAAAGTTATACACCTACTTTGCTTTTTTTGGTTGGATAAGCAGAAAAAAAGAGGGAGGGGCAAACCGCCAGCGGGGTGACGAAGGCACAGCTAGATATCGCAAGAAAAAACTGTTTCACTGTGAACTTGTGATGCAGAGAATAGAGCACGGAACGACTTGTCTTGCTACACTTGCAAGACATTGATTTAACAGCGTCTTTTCCCTTGGGAAGCGCGCATGGCAAATTTTCTGTGTCATTTGTAACAAACTGGTGATGCAGATCTTGATAAGATTAAGATCATCAGAGTGAAACAGTTTTTTCATGGGATACTAGAGGGAAAAAAGGTGAGGGATGTCCTGAACCAGGCAAAAAGCCTCCAGCCCGAAGAGCTATGCATCCGCATGGGAGAGCTCGGTATATGCATTGCAAAAGCGCCTCCACATCACGGACAAGAAGTAGCTCGCTGCAGCATTTTAGGAAATGTCTTCAGACTAAAAACGCATTATTTGGTCAGGGAACCAAAAGACGGCAAAGCAAGGATATTAATATTTGCATTTGTATTGCCTGGACCACGAGACTAGTCCTCCAAGTAGCAGTGCGACTCAGTTGTGCGAGACTTTTGCAGAGGATACAACTTGGTTTTTAGTACGGAGTCAGATGATTATGAAAGTGCACAACTCCTCCTCTCCCTCCTTCAAAAGGGATTGATGAGTAGCAACACAAGCAACGGCACAAATGTGGCGTCTGCATGAAGATTTGCACACCACAGAAGAAGATCGGAGGACACCTTAAGTTTCCGAAATTTGTCATGCAGAGAGTCCTTCACCATCACAGCAAGAGGCGAGGTTGTGAATTATTTTGCATTACAAATGGGGGGGAGGGTTGGGTGTGCACTCTCATACTACCGCAAACAAAAAGCGGGCCGCCGACTTCCAGCTCGAATATGGGTTGCGCCCGGGGGACGTGATGGGTACGGAGTGCAAATGTAAATGTCTTGAAGGGTTGGAAAAGTGACAGATGCAGATGTGGTTCGCCATGCTGTTTTTGCATTGATTTTTGTCTGAGAGTGGAAGGTCTGCTGGAATGCACGCAGAGCACAGCCACACGTTCCGCGCAGGCTCCTTCATCCGTGTGGCTACTTGATGATCATCTGCATGAAGATACGAAACACACTCAATTTACTTAATTGCGCATTTCATCGTGACTCTGCAGCACAGCAATTTATTGCCTGTTCCAAGATCAATCTGCATTATACAACAAAAGTTCGCATTTACTTTTCGGAGTACGTGGAGGTCCCAGAAGACATCTTTGTAAAAATGCATAATCTTGATGGCGGACCAGTCCACCTGCTTCAACGGGTACCAGGGTGGAAATGGTATTGCCGTCGTTGTTATGCATTGCAAAAGTGGCGCACTAGTATAAATTGCATTGCAAATTTTGGCAAGAAGAAAAGTGGAATTTGTAATGCTGTTTTAACTTAGGAAAGAGATTTGTCATGCATATTTGCAATTAGTACGAGGGCGATACTTTTGCACAGCATAGCTGTGGTCTTGGAGGACGGGGCGGGGCCAGAGTTGCGAACGGGGCGGGGCCAGAGTCGAGCCGGCGGACTCGCGGGACAGACGGGGGCGAACTCGCAAAACTTTCGGGAGATGATGCTCTGCAACAGGGTGCAAATCCTCAAGATCTACATATGGACTGCTCAAACGCTATACATCGACAGAATCGCGCCACGCGAAATCTCGTCTGTCATGCAAAGTTCTTTTTGTTTCTGTTATTATGATTATCACAACTCCGCATGATCACTCCCCCCCGAAAGACATCGATCAAGTTGATTCGCGTGACAGATCGTCCATGCGCTGACTGAGTGCCAAGCTTTTAACCCTTGCCAAAACTGTGATGCGCCGCGATGCACAAGCCCCCTTTATCTTTGCCACTCTTGCGTTACAAGTCTATTTCCGTCTCGGGAAATGTGGCCTAGTCTTGCAATTTTTTTTAGTATTAGTGCTGCTTTTTCAACTAGCGTCACCCTCGCATCTCTCCTCGAGGACTCTGGGGACTCGAGTTTCATCGTCCAAGGTTCTTGGTTGTACATCGTTCTTCGCCGTTTTTCTTATGCTTGCGTATCTTCGTCACCCCTAATATTTTTTCTTCTGTCACAAATTGGTATTTCTATTTTATTGGGCTGATCATCTACTGCGGATGAAACTGAAAGGTACCTAATCTATCATGGGTTGCGTTTGTGTTTTCTATCGGTTTAAGATAAGAGAATCACGTAACACCACGTCGATGTATTCACGTTTGAAAGCCCCATATTGCAAGAAAGAAAACTGCCCCTTGCTCAAGAGGGGCAACGATGGGGAGGTGCGCGCACTCTGTATGGAATTCTCAGGTTGGAAAGTAAGCATCAAAGTTGAAAGAATTTGTAATGCAAAAAACGCCTCGGCCTGTATGCGGAGGCGAGGCAACATTTCTAGTCGGTGCATGACATTACATCAATGTCGCATGTCTGTCATGCTGGTGAGGGCGATGGCGTGCCCCTCTGAAGATGTCATGCTAATTTATAGATTAACAGCACAACTCCATTTCCATATTCTTATTCCGAGCCCGTAGTAAGTTGCACATTATTCAGCGTCCATTTTTGCGTCCCCTGTTTGTATCGAGTAGTACATTCACTTCCTGTGTCGCATTTGCATTTCATGTAACATCAAAGTGTTTCGTTTCACTTTGAGATGAATTTCCGACCCGAGGCTTGTTCCATACACTGCGTCAAAACAGTCCAGCGGGTAGTCGATCCGAAGTTTGCTGAGCAGGTCCTGGTATGCATTGCAAATATGTTGTAGTGTGGATCTGAATTCGTAATGCAACTGCAAGACTTGTTTGAGGACAAGAAGAAGATCTGCAACGATTTATGCATGAATGCGATTTTTGGGTAGTTTTTTTTATCGTGCTGGATGGAACAAGTTTGTCATGCGGTTTATAAGCATTTGTAAGAATCGGCAACAAGAACTACTACTTCTACTGACAAGCCGTGTCAAATAACTTCTGACGCTGTTCTGCGGCACAAGCGGTCACTGTGCAATAAAAATGCGAGTATCTTCAGCAAGACAAATTTATTCCAGAGTTGTCAGACTACATATTTGCAAGGCATAGCTAAACGAGCTCACCAAAGAAAACCTGCAGATGATCAATGGGCTTGTCACTGGGAGAAAGGTACTACTTACACACTGACTTACTTGAGGCCGCGGCGCAGCGATGTTGCGTGTTGCGCGTCAGCCATTTTTTACAGTAGTATTTTGTTTCCTATGATTGAATCTGGTCGTCCGAGCTTGTGCTGGTTCTTTCACGGAACAATATTAGAGAAGATCCGATCCCCTTTCCCACCTCCGAGGAGTGACATGTGAATCCGCAAAATTATATGCCCTGATTATTGGTTTACAATTGATTATATTGACATACAATCACAAATTACAGGTCGACGTCGAGAACCAGATCAAGATTAACGAGGACATGGAAGTTGCGGCTACCGGGGCTATATGCATTGCAAAGGTATCTAAGTACTTACCATGCGAATAATTTGCATGACAGATAATGGAGTCTGTATCTGTAATGTATTTTTAGCTTGGGAGGCGGACGATTCGTCATGCACATTTGTAATTAGCCTTAGCGCAAGTGCGTCGATAGTACTTTTGCAGAGCATACGATAGCACCAGCATGAAGCGGGGCGCTGCTAAGGTGCCAGAGGACAGCAGCAATCGCCAGGGCAAGGAAGCGAAAGACAAGGCTGACGACGCAGTCGCAGGTCCAGCCCCAAAAAAGCAGAAAAAGGGAAGTAGCAGTAGTAGTCCCACCACAACGCAGACCTATGCATGGCAAATATGTCTGGGTCTGGAGGATTGCCATGTTTGTCACGCTTGTCTGGCATGACTCATAAATCTGTAATGCATGAGGATGAGCAGGAAAGTGGCCTCTTGCCTGTCATGCAAAAACGCAGTTTGCCATGCGGAAAATGAAGCACAGTAGTAGTTGAAAAATTTGTCGTGCTAGGCTGCGTATTGCAGTCCGCCCACCAATGACAAGTTTCCAGACCCAGACATATTTGAATGTTGCGCAAGTGATAGTATAAGTAGTAGTACTCAGTACCACCGGTGGACGTCATAACATGCTTTTAGTCTCTCTCTACATATTATATCACGTAGTTCTCTTCTCTTTTCTTTCTTCAAAATGTTAAAGTCGTTCTCTTCCCTGTGCTGTACCATGGTCTTGCTTCCAGACAAAACACCAGACATATTTGAATTTGATAAGACCCCAGCTCCCACTACTGCCTCGTCGTCCAAAGCACCGTCGTATGGAAGTGCACAACTCCCCCTCCCCCTCGTTTGTCATGCGAAATACCCAATCCACCCTTTGTCCCTTTGCCTCTTCGCACTGTTTGCATGACAAGTTCTGGTAGCCCAAATAGCACTACACTCCTGTGCAAATTTGTCATGCAAAACCGGCATTCTTGCTGATGCTTGTATTGCCGTTCATGCTAACCAAATGAGGGGGAGGGGGAGTTGTGCATTGTTATACGTCGCAACGGTTCACGACAAGCGCGAAAAAATCTTTTTACGGTACGCCGGCCGTGCCGGCGATTTTGCCGTTTGGTTGCAGTTCCACAAAGCTGGTAAGCTTATACTTATTCGTGCAGTACTATCAAGCTGCGCGCAATTTTTTTTCCACGGTGCCGTTTTCGCTTTGCTCCGTGCGTTTGGTAGGTCGGAACAAGTCGAAGCCCCCTATTTGCCGTTGTGATGTTTTCGAAGATGTTTTCAACGATATATTCGACGATGTGCTGTGTGTGCCTCTGCTCTGACAAGAACAAGTCAATACATAATTACTTCAATGAAATATACAAACAGACCGCCAACAACATGACCGGTGTCGTGGACGCTCTGAATTTACGCACTGCAAAAGTATGTCTGGGTCTGCAGACTTGTGGAGCGGACTTGCGAATACTTACTGTGCAAGGGCTGGGTCGATTCACGACGACGCGTTTTAATATTGCAGTGCGAGAGGAGCTGCACTTCGTCAGAAAGTGCTTTAGCGCTCTTCAAACGTTTCGGCCTTGCATAGGAAAGAGTGGTGGTGTTTATTTTGCCTGTCATGCAACTCAGATTTTGCAGGATAGATTCGACTGCCAGACGAGCATGACCACACGTTCCACTCAGCCAGACCCAGACACATGATTTGCAGTGGATACAACCTGGTAGGACACAAGTCGGGAGCGCGCAACGACGGAGGAGATAATGCAGACAAGAAGCAGGGCAAGAGCGCTAGTAAAGCTAAACTCGTGGACGCCGAAAAGAAAGACGACAAGAACGTGGACCACAAAGCTGAATCGGTATAATTTTCCCTTTGTCTTTCGTGAACTACGGTGACAGTCGTACGTGTGACTTAAGTACTACTTTTATTCCTCCTGCTAGTACTACCACACACTTGACTTTGATGAGTTTCCCTTTAACCGTTCCTTCGATTCTTTTGATCTTTCGACAAAAAAATCAAAACGAAAACAGGCCTCAAAGAAACTCAAATCCAGCGGTAATAAGCTGAAGTCGGATGGAAAAAATTATGAAATGCAAATATGCCAACGCCAAGGTCAACAAAGTGCAATTTTGAGCCGAGCCGTGTTGATATTGTTATTGTCACGCAAAAATTATATATAAAGGAGGACAGAATCATGCTTGATTTCCGCGAAGAAGATGAAAGAAGCGAGGTTATGTTCTGTCTCAACAACTTCTTCTTCTACTCCTGTATGTGGTTCGATCATTTCCGCTTCCACTTACGGGCGGTGGCATACTTATCGTGCATAGTTAAGCTGAAAAATCTTCTGTCGCGAACAAGGCCGCCATCAAGAAGTCCAGTTCCAGCAAGGACAAGAAGTCCAGTTCCATCAAGAACGGGAGTGGTGACAACAAAAAGAAGGACAAGATATGAATCGCAAAAGTATCGTAGTCGTACTAGTGCAACACAAATACAAATTTTTAGCTCACCTCAGAATGGAAACTGGAATTGGTCATGCTAATTTCGCTTGAAAAAGAAGTTTGTATTGCACGATTGCAATTAGTACTCTTACCATGCTTTTGCACTGCATACAAGAAGAAGAAGAACAACGACAGTGAAGAGCACTTGCCCAAGGTCGCGGAAAAACCGGTATGTATGCGAGTTATTTTTGCCATAACATGCTGCTTTCCTTATTCTTGTCTTGTGACATCACGGCGCGTCAATTTGAGTTGTTCTGCTTCAATGTTGTTTCAATCATCGGCTACTATTACTTCCCTGCTTTGCATAAAGGCTTGTATCATGATTTACCGAAAACGAAAACGAAACTTAACCAGGTGATGAAGAAGAAAACGGACGGGAAAAAAAAGAAGCGAACAGCTGCCCGAAGTGTTTGATACAAAAGAGCCTGCTTTTTTCCTTACAACTTTTATCTCAGGTTTTCTTTATTGGACACACAGCTAGCATCTTCTTGTTCTTTCATTCTCGCCGGCTCTTGCAAGCTTTACTTGGCCACACCAGAGAAAAAACTCTTTGTCTTGCGTTTTCAGTATGGCAAATTCTTTCTTCTTTATTTCTCATTTTTCTCGCCAAAAAACGCCCACTCATCACAAAGAACCAAGCAGATTACTTTCGTTGCGCACGCAAATAGCTGCGCAAGGTATTCTATTACTTCGCAGCGGAAAGATTTTCGATTTTCTCTACGCGATCCGGTTGTGAAGAAACTGAGATAATAAAAGTGAAGCAGACGCCGCGTTTTTGGGTAAACATAAACAACTTCAATGAAAAAAATCGTACGCAAATACAACACATAGCCGACCAAGTTTCATGAGGGTTGTTGTGTGATGAACACGCAGCCGCGCTATTTTTCCTGTTCGTGTTGATGCGCCCAAGGAATTTCGCCGGAAGTGCTCTTGCCTTTAACATTGAGAGATGCATGGCCATGGTTTGCAGCAATTGGCGCCACATGCTCTACTGTGGTATCTATGGCACATCCTGGCGGCTGTGGGGCCGAGCTGCACAGACCTGCAGGCCCCCTCTCCTGAATCGCAAACCTGAGCGCGTGTGCCTGCGACGAATGGGGGCACTGCGCCGGTTGCTGCAGTAGTAGGCATCGGCCAGGCAGACGCGCGCAAGCGGGTTCTGCCTATTGTTCCACTGCCGCAACTGCGGACGCAGAAAGGCCCGGAACTGGCGCCCCGACCTGTTTCCTTACTTGGCAATCCCCTCGCGTGAGCTCCTGCACGCTTGTGACCAACCAAGTTCGCCGAGTTGCGCCGCGGTGCGCGGGAGTTCTGGAAGGCCGAGCATTTTGATTTTGATTTCGGCGCGAGGGGTGGGACGAGGCGCCGGGGACTGACGGCTGCCACCTCATTCGTTTCGATCGCGGCCGGAAGTTTGGCGGCCCGCCGAAGGTCATGCCGGGCCGGCGGAAGTACAAAGAAGCAGACCGCGCCGACCTTCGTGCGGGGGGTTTCGCAGTCGTCAGGCGGGCCCGGGATTGAAACCTGGCGAAGGCTTCTCGTGCCGGAGCAGCCAACGGGCGGGCAAATTTATTGGGGCTGCGCGCTGATGCCACGGAGGCGCGGGCCGCCAGCCTTGAGGCGGTTGGAGAGGCCAACCCCAAAAGGAGAGAGGCGGCAGGCACGTCTGCAGGCCGCAGGCGTGGGCGCGTGGGCGGGCCCCACGGCGTTGGGTTGGTCGCGTTTGAAGGGCACGCAGCGCAGTCCCCAGGGCATTGCGTTGGCTCGCAATGGCGCTGCCCCCAGCAATGCCTGCTGCCTGAGTTGTGCCCCGGCGCCAGCGCCCGTCGATGCCTTGCCAGACTGCCTATGTGAATCAGCTGCGCGGACCTGAGTACTTGCGTTGAACGTCCTCTCAGGGCTTGCCGGGTCTCGGCACTGCGGCTCAGTTGACCTTGACAGGGGTCACGGGGCATCCCGCTGTCCGTTCTCGTTTCGTGCCTTCTCACCAGGTGCAAGCAAGCTGCGACAAAAAGGCCCGAATTGTTCTAGAAAGCATTTTGATGTATATTTCCTCGGGTCCACCGTTATCGTGAATTGTTCACTTTGCTAAACAAGATGAATATCATCATTTCACTTTCGGTTGCAATTTGTTCTTGTTGCTCAACTTCGACCTCGAATAGTCGATGGATTGATTCCGGCAGCCACCACAAGTTGTGAGGACCTGACGTCGTGGCTCCACTTTGTCTACCACAGCACCAGTTCCAACAGCAGTATTTTTCTTCTCCACCTCCTCCTCGTTTGAAGCGATGGATTTGATCCTTCTCTGGTGTGAGTTTGTTATTCAATATGTTATTGCAGGAAGACAGAGCTGGATTGCAGAGCATCTTAATTCAAGTTTCGCTCAAGTACATGCCTAACCGGTGGCGGGGCGAAGTACCTATGTGAATGTTTAGGTGCCATCCGAAATATCCTCGACTTAAAAGAAAGTAAGTTTTTTCCATCGCTGCAAGTTCGATGACTGTGACTCAAAGAGGTAGGCCTGATCTATTGTCGATCAGAATAAGAAGTAGTTCCTGTACATCAACCAGTGATTTATTCAAGTACGCATCAAAGTGTAAAGTCAGGATATTTGTTATTGCTCCGTGTTGCTCATTGATTATCGACCTAGGGTCAGGAACAAAACTGTTATAAAAAATGCCAACAATTACGAGCTGCGCAACTACCCCGCTAGAAGAAAAAATGGCCCTCGACGTGGCTGCTCTGGATCCCAACTATTGGGCGAAGCGATGGGTACCGGGCACGAAAGACCACTCACCGACGTGGCACGTGGGAGAGCGTCGGGAGTACCTGCTAAACAAGATTCGCAAGGAGGATCTCCACGGAGTGGTCCTGGTTCCCTGTTGCGGTGCGAGTGCTGACTTGCTGTTTTTCGCGGAACAACCGGAAGTGTCCCACGTCATCGGCATCGATACGCGTTCGTACAAAAGTGTCTGGGCGAGGTGAAGCCATGTCATGCACATGCTAGTTTCTGCAGGATACATCACACAGTCCGACTACAGTACCCCACCAGGCATGATAAATCTGTTGAAGGGTACGGGTACGCGATTCCGTTGCGCAAACTGCATGAGAAACTGCGCTTCTGCATGACAACTGCGCACTAGCTCTCGTCCGCTTGAAGATGCATCATAGACTTTTTCCTCCTTATTCAAACATAAACATTCCGCAGCACAGTACATACAAGTGCTCTGCTTCCCGACATCCCAGAAATCATATTTGCGACGCATAGGCAAAGTGTGCGAGTACCCCCTTCGGGAGGAGCTGCCGAAGGTCATTATTGCACGAGAAAAGTGTTACACTTATCTTACACATTGTAATGCAAGACCGGCAACACAGACAACCTTTCTCATGCGGGAAATGCTTGTGAATGTGAGCCTCGTTTCCTTCCTGTTTTCTCTTTATGATCTTCGCATTACAAGTTTTCTCTGCCACAAAGAGAAAATCTGTGATGCAGAAACTCCAACACGTGGGTAACTGTAACACTTTTTTCTCGTGATAGTCATCGCGGAATGGCTACGAAAAGCGGAAAAAACCGGCGCTCCGGAGACGTGCGATGGACCACCCGATTTACAAAGACCAAAGTCGCCTGTGGACGACCAAGCGCCACCAGGCAAAAAGAACTTGGTGATCGCGACGAAAAGGAACCATGCGAATGTGGAACCGATCCGTGCGCAAGAACTAGTAGACGACACAACTACAGCTGCGGAGAACTACGAGCACAGCTTCTCGTGGTGGACGTACGAAGCCTCAAAAAGCGAAGTGCACGACAAGGTGAAGATATCAAATGTAGAAATGTAGTCTGGGTCTGGAAAAATGCAACTTGTCATGCTATAAATCTGAAGCATGCAAAAATCTGTGTTGCATGATTACCAAAAGTCGTCCAGTTCTGACCAAGTGGCGAGGGAGTTTCTCATGCACGATAGGCAGCAGAGAGATCGCGCAGAATCTGTCATGCTACGTCCTGCATTCCAGTCCTCATGGATCATGCAAATAAAGCTGCATGACAGATCGCGCATTTTTCCAGATCCAGACATTTTTGCATTTGATAGAGGATGATGTGTGATGACAAAGCGAAGGCGCTGAGGAAGCTGTACGTAGTCCAGCAGGACATTCTGCAATTCGACATGGGCCAGGTCGCAAGCGTGCTTTTCCCCAGCATGATCACGATGCGTACAGAGAAAAACGTCGACATCAATTGTTCTGACGTGCGAGGACCGGGTGCTGGTGACGGAGCTGCTGTGCCGGAGAGGACGCCGCAAGAAATAAGGGCAGCGAGTGCAGCTACAACTACCGCGCAGGAGAAGATGAACCGGCAGCACAGCGAACCCTTGGCACCGGGAATGAAAAACCGCTCGGATTCGATGTTTTCCCGTTCTTCTTGGGTTCCAAATTTGATCTTCGACTTTGCTTCCCTGGTCGCCATGGAGCCGGCTACCCACAAGGAGTACGTGACCCGCCTGCTGCTGCTGCGCAAGAACCACGAGCAGCATTCAATTCTTTCACCGACAACTTGTGTCGACGGGCAGGGAGACAGTCGTGGCCAACAACTACCGACCAAAAGCAAAAGCACCAACACGAATGAAGATGAACATGACCACCAGGTTGTGGACCAGCATCATGTTGCGTACTACCTCGCCACCATCGAGTACCCCGCGGGCGCGCGACGTCCCCCACCGTTTTCGACTACCAGACAGGATGTCGCTAACCTCTTTTCTAACGGCGGCGAGGGCATCTTTAAGGCCACGGAAGCACGGCCCAACAGCCACAATGGAAGACGAGCCACTGGTTGTGGAACTACGGATACGAAATGGAAAAGTATCGTACTAGTATATAATAACTTGCATATAATACAAATTAGCCCAGCATTACAAATTAAATCTGTAATTCTGATTTGCCTTAAGAAAGAAATTTGCAATGCATAAATGCAAGTACTACAACGAGTACGTGTACGATACTCTTGCAGTGGATAACGGAGTTCATCGTGACCTGCACGGACACAGAAGTATCAAAGGGATAAATATGTCTGGGTCGTCTGGAAGAGTGCAGACATTTGTCATGCAGTTTTTGCCTGACGCAGATGAGATCGTCTGGCATGCAAGTTCTAGCATCACAGGTTTCACGCAGGTATCGGCCCAATGTATAATCCGCATGACAATAGGCCGCTCTTTCTGTAACAAGAAGTGGGGCCTTTTTGTGAACGTGCATGACAGATTTTGTCACGATGTAGAATTCGCATCACAAATTCGCTCCGACCCTATGGCGCTCCAGCGCCTGGGGAGGCTTGGTTCCCCAGCGATAATGGACAGTGGCAATGTCGGCGCGTTTGTTCTTGTTTTAGCGCCACAATTTCGAATCCTTCCAGACGTCTCCAGGGATATTTGCATTGCATAAAAAGTACTGATCGATAAAAAGCCGGTCGTGAAGAAGTCCAAACCCGGATCCAGGACAACTGCCTCCTCGCATTCGCAGTCCACCGAAGATTTCTACCGCCTTTCCATCACGCTGACGAGCGGAAGCTGTGGTCGCTAGGGGTGGTCGAGATTATTCTGCGGCGAAGCGGTTCGACAGAAGCGATCTTCATAGAGCAATTTGCTCCTGGCACGAGCAGCTGCTCTAGACGGCGCGATTGCTTCTGGGCGCGAAGAGGAGTTTCTTTGTAGCAAGAAAGTAACTGCAGGAAAAATGAATGTGTGTCCGCCTGGTGGACCACGTGACGAGGACGAAGGACCACAAGTCTCGGTAGTTAGAAATAGAAAAGACAAGCTGACCGTGCTCGCCTTATGTATGCACTTCAGATTCTTGCTGCTCTACCATTTACTCCTCATACCGCGATCGAATTTCTACTTTCGGAGTCGTATTTCCTTGTAAAAGGTAATGGTAAAGGTCCAGGATGAAAATCAATTTACAAGTACTTGCACTACTCCAACCTAGCAAGATCGTGAAATTGTCGACTCAGTTAGGAATAAATCTGCAGATGGCCACAGTGCAGTAATTAGCCTCGATTGACTTCAAAATGTTCTTCCGCGGTGCCGTCGGTGCCTTTTTTTTTCAAATTCGTGAAAGGATTTTCATCTTTTTTTTTTTGCATCGCATCGTTTTTTTTCCGTGAAAACGGGCGGCATCTGAGTGTGATGAACGAGCGACCCGAGGTACCACGAGTTTCGTTAAGCGCAGCGTCGAGTGCGTTTTTTGCGGACGTGCCCTGTTTCGGGTTTTATTGGGCATTCCGATCAGGAGGCAAGCTTGAGAGAGCTAGACATTTTCATGCGAGCAGTACACCGCCGGCGCTCCTGATGGACTGGTCTATATTTTGAACTCGTGGAAGCCGGTTTCAGTAATACCGAAATACGGACATGAGTGCGTTGTGTTAGCATCAGTAAGAGCGTGGGCAAGGTCTTGAGTGAAAGTTGAGTGACTGAGCGGTCCGCAACTTAGATTATTTATATTTTTCGGTTCCCCATACATCCGCTTCACATTCATTCTTTCAGCAGGATCTTTTGTTCATCGGTTTGAGACACACGAATCGCATGGCAAAGTTTTCTCTTCTTGGAAGTGGGGCGACTTTTTCCACTTGGATGCTGCCAGCTCTTCCCCTGCTGGATGCACGTAAAGACGTTTTAAGTGACGTGCTATCAGTGCGACCGCGGGATGAATCCGGACGCGGAGGCGTTATGTCCTACGACGGTATGCAAGGACAATAGCACTGCAGAGCCGCGCGGGGAACTACATGGAATGCAGTTCTTGCCGCCTGTGGTGGCGCCGGAAAGCATACACCAAGGCTGAGTGGGGAGATATCCCGTGGAAAAACGTGCCTGCCCCACCATAACGCCAGCCCGCTGCTGTCGCGCATGAACACCATTCCGCGCATGCAGATTCGACCGACAGGAAGGTGCTGGGCACGTTTTTCCTCAGGATAAATCATTGCAAAACCATTCCGCCTCCGGCTCTGCCTAAGTGCCGGCTCTGCCTCGTGGCAAGCCGTGTACTTCCTCCGGGAATCCACCCCACCAGGTTGACCATCGCGTGCTACCGCTGCCTGAGGCCGGTGAATCCCTTCGACGAGGGCATGTTGTCTATCCCACAAAAAAAAGCTGGCAGGACATAACTGTGATGAAAACAGAAATACACAGAAAAATCTGTCATGGGCGCCCTCGTGCCATTTTCTTAGATCTTTATGTTTGCATTCCAAATGTAACCTGCCAGCGTTTTTCTGTGTGATACACTCTCAGGACGAGCGCAGGTTCGTGGCCTGTTATAGCCGCAGCAGAATTCTCGGAGGATTTCCCCGCCAGTCGCTTAATTTTGGGGCCGCCCCGCGCCATCTGCGGGGCTTGCCCTTTGTCTAATAAATTACGGGCCCCCCGCGTGTCTGCGGTGCGGGCCCGTCAGCTTCGGCGCCTGCCCTTCTTGGGCGCGCCCCTTCCGCCAAGGCCGCCCCGCACCGAATGCGGGGCCTGCCCATTGTGCATGTGCACCCTCTTGCCGCCCGGAGGCTTACTAGTAGGGCGGCGCCCTCGTTCACACGCGCCTGCGAATGCGATGCGCGCTTCCTGTGAGTAATTACATACACAAACCAGGCCTAAGGGGCGGGCCCGATTTTTCTGGCCCGTGACACCTGCCTGCTGCGCGGGCCCGATGTTACTAGTCTGGGCCCGCTCATTGTCTCTCTTTGGCGCAGGCCCGACCTTCATCTGGGCCCGTTGCCATTAACCCGCTTACCCCCGGGCGTCTGCACGCCGGCTTCGCCGCTATTCATTCGCGGCTGGCCGGGTGCTGATAATTCGTTATCTTTGCCCGGGGGCGAGCTCTCCACTGACCATGCGGTTTGTGGCCTGCTGTTTGCAGGCCGTTGCCGCATGCGTCGTTGTCGTTTTGTGTCTACAGCTCCAACCACACGGCTGCGACCTAACGGACGCGGCGTCTTTCGTATCTGTGTACATATGTGTTTCTGTAGCTCTCTGCGCAAAAGCACCACGCGCAGCGAGCTTCTTGAGGGCAAAAGTGAGCGAAAGTAGAAGGTCTAGGCGAACAACTTGCACAGCTGCGCTTGCAGCCAGCGGTGGAGCGGCGTCTTCCGCAGATCTTGCATCTGGATCATTGACTGCGAGCGAAATTCTGAGAGACAGGTCCGCAAGACGGACAATGAGCGGGAGACGCTTTTGAGAGTGCTGAGAGCGTTGCCGCTAAGCTGCGCACGAGCGCTGGCGGCTCGCCGGGTCGCGCGAGTGGAGAGAAAGCACGAAAAGTGACCGCTTCTCAAAACAACACGATGACGCCCTTGTCCACGTTTTCCGTTTTCGTTTGCACTCCAGGTTAGCATTGCGGCTGCCACAGTTGACCTGCAACTCTGGGTCGCAGCGGTTTTTTTCCTGTCACCGTTCGGAGAGGAGATGAAGTCAGAGTGTGAAAAGTACCAGTGAGTACATCGACCGGGACGGATACAAAGGTACTCCGTTGATATCAAGAGGACACAGGCACGGCTTCTACTTCTCCTACGAAATCCAGCATTCATGTTCTTTTCCCTCGGTACACCAACAACTCCCTCCTGCGCTCTCACGTCGTCAAGAACCGTGCAAAACTTGCGTTATTGGATGAAACAAGAGTGCGGACCCGCTTCGGACCGCGGCAAACCTCATTTCGCTTCGTGATGGGAGGCCGAGACGTACATGTGCATTCAGGACGATCGCATCCTCGGATTTGCAGTTGGCCGAAGATCTCTCGTCGTACTTCCTCCACCCTGAGAAGCGGGGTCTGTAACTGCGGTAGCACGAGATGGTATTGTAAGGAAAAATCCCCCCTCCCCATATCGAAAAGGCCTGTTTCTGAAAATTTGCGTTGCTGATTTGAGGTCACAAATCACATCTGTCTTGCAAAAAGACAGGGGCAAAAGCTTTGCCCCCATTACAGAGGCGATTTGTCATGCTGTTGGGCCTAAAGGGGAGCCGTTTGCCATGCTAAACAACTAGACACATGCATACGCCCCTATCTAGCCTGGAGATCTGTCCGCAGTGCCTCTCTGCAATACAAAGCTGATTTGTGTACGCAGATCCAGCATCAGAAACTTCCTTTTGATATGGGGAGGCGGGATTTTTCCTTTTGATAGATGGTGCTGGTGACGAGGACGGCGGGGGGTGCTGTTAGGCACAGTTTATTTATGAGGACGACAACTACGCAACTATGCGCGCATTGTTTATTTGTTGACTCGACTGAGTGAATTTGATTGAAAGCTAGCAGAAGCACAGGACACGGCTTCGTGCAAAAGTAGATGGAAGTCACCTGACGTTCCGTACAGGAGACAAGGAATGGTCGGCTCAAAAGGAAAAGCCCGGACGTTGTAATCTGGACTACCATAAACATGATTCGTAAATATGAGGCTTTTGCGGAAGTCGCTGATAGACGCAAGTAAGTCAGTAAGCCTAACCGAGGAATTGTTCCGTAGCTGTTCTTCCTCTTACGTTGTTTTTTTTTCGAACTTTTCTGAGCTGTTTTTTTCAGCTGCCCTCGCGGTTACTTAATCTTGTGGAAGAGGGCGGCAGCTGAGAATTAATGAGCAACCCAATGCATGTGTTTCTTCATCGTCATCCACACCACTGAGTTTGAGTTCGTTGTTGGCGTAGAAACATGACTTCGCTCCGTGTTGTCGGGTATTTCGATCAGGGGGCGAGACCGAGAGTCCTTTTTTTATTTGTTGAGCAAACGAGTGAAGTGAGAGTGACTCATTTGAGCTCGAAGAACTTTTTTTTCATAAATACCGAGATGGTGATGGACATGACCGCTGTGTACGGGTACCGCCGCAAACTGCGTCGTGTGCAAGATATTTAGTGAACGTCGCGTGCTCGCGGAGTGACAGTCCGCAAGCTAGAGAGAAGAGAGAAGCTTTTGTTTTTTTTTCAGGTTTTACCATACGCCGTGGCACCACCGACGGTGGGTTGGAGAAATCTTCTGAATAGTTCGAATGTTACATTTATATTACTTTACTTCATTTCGTCTGCTATTTACTTGTTTTCATTTTTTTCAATCCAATCACACAAACCCTTCACACATAGTGTCGTAATGCGGTTTGCAACTTGACGCAGAATGAAGCGCGACACTTCAAGTTTTCTTGTCGCAAAATGCGCGGCCGCCGCGTCGGACATAGTCGCGTCACGGCGGGCAGCACATCATTCGTATTTTCCTGCCAGTGGCTCCGCCGAGTCCGAGGCGTCTCCGGCCTTACGGAGATAGCCCAGCCGCGGCGTCCGCTGACGGGTTGCGATGCCTCCGGTGTAAGCGCTGGGGCACAACGGTGCGAGCCGGCGTCGTGGTGTACTATCACCATCACGGTGGGGAATAAACAGCTCGATACCCGCAGCTCCTGGCAGCGACCGGGGACCCAACGCGGGTGCTTTGGCCGGCCTCGGCCGACATGCCGAGCAAACGAGCCACCTTCTTCCGCGCGGCCGCGGCGAAGCGGTATCCCGCAGAAAAGAGCAGGCGGGGCACATTTGTTGTGCAACAATAAGCATCGAGAAAAATGATCCGCGCTTAAGCAGCATGCCAGGAGGAGCTTGCCCATGAGCATGACGGATGTTTCTGCTGTTCCATTTTTGTCCAACAAATCCGCCTCGACTGCTACTTTCTGTACCATACAAGCCTGGCAGGATCCTTTGGAGCGCTGCGGCATGTCTTTAACCTGCCAAAGGGGAAGACCCTGCGCTCTTTGCGGAGAGACGCCACATAGTTGCGCGCTTCCGCCGGCCGCCTAGTTTCGGGGCCGCCCCGCGCCGTCTGTGGGGCTTGCCCTTTGTGTGCTGAATTACGGGCCCCCCGCGTGTCTGCGGCGCGGGCCCGTCAGCTTCGGCGCCCGCCCTTTTTGGGCGCGCCCCTATTTCCAGGGCCGCCCCGCATCCATCGCGGGGCCTGCCCATTGTGCACCCTCTTGCCGCCCGGAGGCTTAACAACTAGTAGGGCGGCGTCCTCACTCACACGCGCCTGCAAATGCGATGCGCGCTTCCTGTGAGTAATTACATACACAAGCCAGGCGCAAGGGGCGGGCCGGATTTTTCTGGCCCGTTACACCTGCCTGCTGCGCGGGCCCGATGTTATTAGTCTGGGCCCGCTCATTGTCTCTCTTTGGCGCGGGCCCGACGTCCATCTGGGCCTGTTGCCAGTAACCCGCTTACCCCCGGGCGTCTGCACGCCGGCTTTGCCGCTGTTGTTTCGCGGCTGGCCGGGTGCTGGTAATTCGTTATCCTTGCCCGGGGGCGAGCTCTCCACTGACCATGCGGTCCGCGGCCTGCTGTTGTGCAGGCCGTTGCCGCTTTGGTGTTTGTCGTTGATATCAATCTCGCAAAACCCCTCCCGACAAGAGGACGGACACTACCCAAGTTCTTGGGCGGCCTGTCGATTTTTTGCAGTTGTTCTTTCATGCCGTCGTGTGTTTGTGTTTTTTTCTTGTGGTGCGCAAAGTCTGATTACTGAGGACAACGACCACTCGGAGCAAGAGCATGGCAACGGCATCTATTAATACCTGCGCTTGCAAATTGTGCATCTGAAGCAACGAGTGACGCGTTGCTTATTTTCCCACCTGCTGCTGCTGGTGCTGTTGTGTCGCAACGGAATTTGGATTCTCATTCTTGTTGTTGAGATGCTTCTTCTTGATCTTGGTTGAGAGACTGACTTGGGCAAAGAAGCTCGAGCGAAGCCCCACCAATGAGGCAGACACCAAAGAAGTGTTGCCTGTTTGAGTGAGCCGTGATTTTTCCGGGACAGAGTGAGTACGAAGGGTGGAAGAGAGATGCAAGCACCCGTGTTTGCAGCTTGCGGAGAGCGAGCAAGAAGGGTAGGTGATCCAAGAAGCATAATTGGCTTCGCGAATAGGAATAAACATGATGACGCGCCAGAGGTCCGTAGGTTTCCGTCTTCGTTTGCACAGTGCGCTGGAGCTGGACGTAGGTGGAGTCCTTGCAGCTGCATTTCTGAACCACTTCTGCTGCGGCTTGCTCTAATCTGCCGTCGGGGACGAGAGGACGCCACGATGTGAATAAGACGGTGCCGCCAGCAAAGAGTTGTAGTACATCGACCGGCACGGGCACGGAGTTGGTGCTCAATTATAGGAATCCTGTGCGGAAGATGATGTCAAGACGAAGCGGCTCTTTTTCCTACAACGACTCAGACGACCATCTTACCCGTCTGCACGCCTCGGTCCGTTGCTTCAGTTCCTCGGCGCGCTGAAGAAGAACCGTGCGAGCCCTGCCACGATTGAGACCGTGGATGACGCCTGTTCTGCAATCGCGGGAAACCACGTTATTTCGTTTCACGACTTCTGTGGAAGACCACCACACGCGCATTCAGAACGACCGCACCCTCGCATTCGCAGAAGTCAACCGGAGTCTTCCGCCGCATTTCCTCCACCCTGAGGACCTGGATCTGGAACTACGGTTGCTCGAGGTGGTGCTGGTGACGAGAGTGGCGGGATCTGCGGCTAGGACGAGTTTGTAAGGACGAGTGCTACGGCACAAATATGCTTTCATTGTATCGGTTCAACGCAGCGATTACAAGAACGACACGTCTTGCACAACAAGTAGATGGAAGTGACACAAAATTCCTTGCAGTTAACCAGGTGAAAAGCAAAAGACATTGGGTCCTCTGGACTACCAGCATCAACTTCAGCATGATTGTAAATTTGTGGAGACACCTTGCGGGAGTGTCGCCCGCAATCGCAACGAACGCGGTTACTAGTTAACCGAGGAATTGTTCTCCCGCGGTAGCGGTTTCGTCAATGCAACTATTTTTTTTTGGGTTTTTCTGAGATATTAATATTTTTTTCCTCGCGACTTTTTTTGATTTTCATTTTGTGGGAGAGGACGGCAGCTGAGAGTGAATGAGCGACCCGATGGCTGTTTTTGCTCATCCGCAATACTGAGTTTGAGTGCGGTGTTGGTCTAGACATATGACTTCGCTCCGTTGTCTTGGGAAGTTCGATCAGGAAGAGGGACCGAGAGTCCTATTTTCACGTGTTGAGCAAACCGGTGACTCATTTGAGCACGATGTGCTTGTTTTCATCACTTCTACCGAGATGTTTGGTTTTTTTCCTTCTATACAAAAGAGGCGGTTCGTCTGTGTGCAACTCCAAGAGGACATGACGGCACCGGCCCTTACGGGTTGCCCCAGCCGGAATCTCCAAAATGCCGGCTATGCCTTGTGGCAAGCCGTGTACTTCCTCCGGGGGTGCACCCGACCCGCCTAGCGGTCGGGTGCTACAAGTGCCTAAGGGGAGTCAACCCGTATGATGAAGGCCAACTTTCTATCCCACAGAAAAAAGCTGGCAGGGCATAACTGTAATGCAAACAGAAAGACACAGAAAAATCTGTCATGCGCGCCCTCGTGCCATTCTACTGGATCTTTATTTTTGCATTCCAAATGTAGCCTGCCAGTATTTTTCTGTGTGATACTCTCGCAGGATGAACGCCGGATCGCCCGCAATGCCGCCGCTGCGTCGTCGCCAGACTAACTAGCAGGACATCGGGGCCGCCCCGCGCTCACGGCGGGGCGTGCCCTTTGTGTAATGAATTACGGGCCCCCCGCGCGTCTGCGGCGCGGGCCCGTCAGCTTCGGCGCCTGCCCTTTTTGGGCGCGCCCCTATCACCAGGGCCGCCCCGCACCGAGTGCGGGGCCTGCCCATTGTGCTTGTGCACCCTCTTGCCGCCCGGAGGCTTACTAACTAGTAGGGCGGCGTCCTCACTCACACGCGCCTGCGAATGCGATGCGCGCTTCCTGTGAGTAATTCTATACGCAAGCCAGGCTCAAGGACCGGGCCCGATTTTTCTGGCCCGTTACACCTGCCTGCTGTGCGGGCCCGATGTTACTAGTCTGGGCCCGCTCGTTGTCTCTCTTTGGCGCGGGCCCGACGTTCATCTGGGCCTGTTGCCAGTAACCCGCTTACCCCCGGGCGTCTGCACGCCGGCACTGCCGCTGTTGTTTCGCGGCTGGCCGGGTGCTGGTAATCGTAATTCGTTATCCTTGCCCGGGGGCGAGCTCTCCTCTGATCATGCGGTCCGTGGACTGCCGTTGTGCAGGCCCTCGCCGCTTTGGTGTTTGTCGTTGATATCAATCTCGCAAAACCCGTCCCGACAAGAGGACTGACGCTACCCAAGTTTTTGGGCGGCCTCTCGATTTGTTGCGGTTGTTCTTTCATGTCGTCGTGTGTTTGTGTTTTTTCCTGTGGTACGCAAAGTCTGAATACTGAGGACAACGACCAGTCGGAGCAAGAGCATGGCAACGGCATCTATTAATACCTGCGCTTGCAAATGGTGCATCTGAAGCAACGAGTGAGGCGTTGCTTATTTTCCCACCTGCTGCTGCTGGTGGTGTTGTGTCGCAAAGGGATTTGGATTCTCATTCTTGTTGTTGAGATGCTTCTTCTTGATCTTGGTTGAGAGACTGATTTGGGCAAAGAAGCTCGAGCGAAGCGAGCCCCACCAGTGAGGCAGGCACCAAAGAAGTGTTGCCTGTCTGAGTGAGCCGTGATTTTTCCGGGACAGAGTGAGGAGAAAGGGTAGAAGAGAGATGCAAGCAGCCGTGTTTGCAGCTTGGGCGGCTTGCGGAGAGCGAGCAAGAAGAATAACTGATCCAAGAAGCATACAATTGGCTTCGGGAATAAACATGATGACGCAGAGCTCCTTGGTTCCCGTTTGCACAGCACACTGCAGCTGGACGTAGCTTGGGTGCTTGTCGGTGCATCTCCGTTCCGCTTCAGCGGATTGCTTTATTCTGGTGTAGTCGGGGTGGAAGAGAGGACGCGACGATGCGAATAGGAATAAGAAGACGGCGCCGCCAGGGAGTAGTACATCGTCCGGCACAGACCACACGCAGTTGGTGCTCAACAAGAAGCCGGTGCGGAAGATGATGTCAAGATGAAACGGCTCTTTCTCCTACAACGACTCAGACGACCATTTTACCCCTCTGCACGCTTCGCTCCGTTGCTTCAGATCCTCGGCGCGCTGAAGAAGAACCGTGCGAACCCTGCCGCGATTGAGACCGTGGATGACGACTGGTCTGCAATCGCGGGAAACCACGCTATTTCGTTTCACGACTTCTGGGGAAGACCACCACACGTGCATTCAGAACGACCGCACCCTCGCATTCGCAGTCAACGGGAGTCTTTCGCCGCATTTCCTCCACCCTGAGGACCTGGATCTGGAACTACGGTTGCTAGAGGTGGTGCTGGTGACGAGAGTGGCGGGATCTGCTGCTAGGACGAGTTTGTAAGGACGAGTGCTACGGCGGAAATATGCTTTCATTGTATCGATTCAACGCAGCGATTACAAGAAGGACACGTCTTGCACAACAAGTAGATGGAAGTGACACAAAATTCCTTGCAGTTAACCAGGTGAAAAGCAAAAGACATTGGGTCCTCTGGACTACCAGCATCAACTTCAGCATGATTGTAAATTTGTGGACGAGGCAGCTACAGCTTGCGGGAGTGTCGCCCGCAATCGCAACGAACGCGGTTACTAGTTAACCGAGGAATTGTTCTCCCGCGGTACCGGTTTCGTCAATGCAACTATTTTTTTTTGAGTTTTTCTGAGATATTAATACTTTTTTCCTCGCGCTGGCGCTCGCGACTTTTTTTGATTTTCATTTTGTGGAAGAGGATGGCAGCTGAGAGTGAATGAGCGAACCGATGGTTGTCTTTGCTCATCCGCAATACTGAGTTTGAGTGCGGTGTTGGTCTAGACATATGACTTCGCTCCGCTGTCTTGGGAAGTTCGAGCAGGAAGAGAGACCGAGAGTCCTATTTATTTGACGTGATGTGCAAACCGGTGACTCATTTGAGCACGATGTTTTTGTTTTCATCACTTCTACCGAGATGTTTGATAGACGACATGACCACTGTGTATGACTACCGGCACAGGCGTCTGTCCGTGCCAGATAAGTTTGTTTTTTTTTTCAGATTTTACAATGCCCTGGAGTGCTAGCAACAGCAGGTTTGAGAGATCTTCTCGAAGCGAATTACCAAATTCTTTCGTCTGCTATTTTTTTTTCACCCAACCCATACCCAACTAAACGAAGCCTGCACACATAGTGTGGTGATACGTTTTGCAATTTGACGCAGAATAAAGCACGACACTTTTCCTGTTGCAACATGCGCGGCCGTCGAGTCGGACATTTCGCGCAGTCGCGGTTGTATTGCGCATTGCGCATTTACCAGCGAGCAGCAGGTCAGCACGTTGCGGCATCATTTGCCCGGCGATGCAAAGTGGTGCGTTTCCATCTGCAAGCTGTGCTGCGCCGCTCGAGCAGTTGCCGCGATCAGCCCTGAGGAGTTCTCTGAGATAGAGTGGCGGGCGGCGGTTCGTTGTAGAACTCAACTCGGAGAGTTGTTGAATAAGGACGAGCGCAACCGCGGCGCCAAGACTCCAGCCTTTGCGTTTGGGGCCGCCCCGCGCCGTCTGCGGGGTTTGCCCTTTGTGTAATGAGTTACGGGCCCCCCGCGTGTCTGCGGTGCGGGCCCGCCAACTTCGGCGCCTGCCCTTTTTGGGCGCGCCCCTATCGCCAGGGCCGCCCCGCACCGATTGCGGGGCCTGCCCATTGTGCTTGTGCACCCTCTTGCCGCCCGGAGGCTTACTAGTAGGGCGGCGTCCTCGTTCACACGCGCCTGCGAATGCGATGCGCGCTTCCTGTGAAGAATTACAACACGAGGCAGGTTCAAGGGGCGGGCCCGATTTTTGTGGCCCGTTACACCTGCCTGCTGCGCGGGCCCGATGTTACTACTGTCAGGGCCCGCTCATTGTCTCTCTTTGGCGCGGGCCCGACGTTCATCTGGGCCCGTAGCCAGTAACCCGCTTACCCCCGGGCGTCTGCACGCCGGCTTTGCCGCTATTCATTCGCGGCTGGCCGGGTGCTGATAATTCGTTATCTTTGCCTGGGGGCGAGCTCTCCTCTGACCATGCGGTCCGTGGCCTGCTGTTGTGTAGGCCGTTGCCGTATTCGTTGTCGTTGTTTTATGTCTGCAGTTCCAGCCACACGGCTGCGACCTAACGAACGCGGCGTCTTTCGTATCTGTGTACATATGTGTTTCTGTAGCTCTCTGCACAAAAGCACCACGCGCAGCGAGCTTCTTGAGGGCAAAAGTAGTGAGCGAAAGTAGAAGCTCTAGGCGAATAACTTGCACAGCTGCGAGTGCAGCCAGCAGGCGAGCGGCGTCTTCCGCAGATCTTGCATCTGGATCATTGACAACTGCGAGCGAAATTCTGAGAGACAGGTCTGTAAGACGGACAATGAGCGGGAGACGCTTTTGAGAGTGAGAGCGCTGGTACTGAAGCTGCGCACGCAGCGCTGGCGGTTCGCCGGGTCGCGCGAGCGGAGAGAAAGCATGAAAAGTGACCGCTTCTCAGAACAACATGATGACGCCGTTGTCCAAGCTTACCGTTTTCGTTTGCACTCCAGGTTAACATTGCGGCTGCCGCAGTTGACCTGCAACTCTGGGTCGCAGCGGTTTTTTTCCCGTCACCGTTCGGAGAGGAGATGAAGTCAGGGTGTGAAAAGTACCAGTGAGTACATCAACCGGGACGGATACGCAGGTGCTGATCTTCATAAACCCGGCGGTCGCAAAGATGTTGACATCAAGAGGACACGGCTTCTACTTCTGCTATGACCTCCAAGTTCATGTTAAATTCCCTCAGCTGTACACCTCCCTCCAGCCCTTTAGCTCCCCCGCGTCGTCAAGAACCGTGCAAGACTCGCTCCAATTGATGAAACAAGAAAACCAAGTCTCGCTGGACCGGGGTAAGCGTAAACCTCATTTCAATCCGCGATGGGAGGCCGAGACGAGGACGCACATGTGCATCCAGGACGCATTGACCATCCAGGCCGCACTTGCGTCGTCGCACCCGCAGGCTAGCCGAAAATCTCTCATCGTGCTCCCTCCACCCGGAGAAGCGGGATCTGGAACCGTGGTAGCTCGAAGCGGTGCTGGCGGCGAGGATGGCGGGAGGTGCAGCTAGGAAGAGTGTGCGAGAACGACGACGAGAGACCATGACTATTTTGATGAATAGCGCAACTCTGGGATTAAGTAGAAGCACGAAAACAAGTTCTTGTTTTGCGAAAGTACATGAAAAGGACAGAAAATAAATCTGCGAATCTGCTTGGCAGACTGTTGCTCCAGCACCAAATATGAAAAGATGAAGTATAGCATGTACACGTGGCGGGGACGAAGAACAAAAAAATTACGGGATCTCTCGGCTAGAAATAGAAAACGAAAGATGAAAGCCAAGCTGACCTTGCTTTTCTTATCAAATTGCTGCTTAAGTACTCTGACGTAGTAGCAAGGGTCTGAGGCTGCACATTTCAAGTGCTACGGCTTACCATCAAGACCATTGATTTGTCGACTCGGTTGTAGATGAATCTGCAGACGACCACAGTGCAGTTACTTGTAATGTCGATTGGCACTGATTTGTTCTTCGGATATTTTTTTCTGTGGCCATTTTTTTTCACCTGAGCCGGATTTTTGAGAAATGATTTTTTGAATCGTCGCGTTTTTTTCTGTGGATGGTGGCGGTAGCTGAGAGTGATGACCGAGCGACCCGAGGTACTAGGAGTTTTCGCAAGCGAAGCATTTTTTAGTGCGTTTTTTGCGTATAATGGGCCATCTTTCTTGTACTCTGAATTTTTTGCTTGTATTTGGAATTCCGAGAACCCAGTTCCAAAGGCGAGATTGAGAGACCCAGCCATTTTCATGTGAACAGTACACCACCGGCGCTGATGGGTTTATCTTGTCTTGAGCTCGCAGAAGTCAGTTTCAGCAATACAGAAGTACGGACATGAGCGTGTTTGTATGTGACTACCAGCAAGAGTGTGGGCAAGGTCTTCAGTGAACGTTGCGTGAGGAAGAAGACTGAGCGGTTCCCAAGTTGGATTATTTTATTTTTTGGCGCCCTGCCATCCGCTTCACATTCTTTCAACAGGAGTTTTTTGTTCATCGGTTTGCGCACACACGAATCGCATGGCAAAGTTGTCTCCTCCTGGAAGTGGGGCGGCTTTTCTCACTTGAATGCCGCCAGCTCTTCAACAAAACAACGGAGGAAAACGCCCCCTCGTTTGAGATGGCGTTCCGCTGCACAGGTTGCCATTCTCAGTGGACGCGCAGACATCGCAAGACGGACGGGACCACGCGCGGGATGGACTAACCTGCAGCCGTCTCCGCCAGTCGCTTAATTTTGGGGCCGCCCCGCGTTCGCAGCGGGGTTTGCCCTTTGTCTAATAGATTATGGGCCCCCCGCGTGTCTGCGGTGCGGGCCCAACACCTTCGGCGCCTGCCCTTTTTGGGCGCGCCCCTATCACCAGGGCCGCCCCGCACCGATTGCGGGGCCTGCCCATTGTGCATGTGCACCCTCGTGCCGCCCGGAGGCTTACTAACTAGTAGGGCGGCGCCCTCGTTCACACGCGCCTGCGAATGCGATGCGCACTTCCTGTGAATAATTACAACACAAGCCAGGCTCAAGGGGCGGGCCTGATTTAGATTTTATTTCTGGCCCGTTGCACCTGCCTGTTGTGCGGGCCCGATGTTACTAGTCTGGGCCCGCTCATTGTCTCTCTTTGGCGCGGGCCCGAAGTTCATCTGGGCTTGTTGCCAGTAACCCGCTTACCCCCGTGTGTCTGCACGCCGGCTTTGCCGCTATTCATTCGCGGCTGGCCGGGTGCTGATAATTCGTTATCCTTGCCCGGGGGCGAGCTCTCCTCTGACCATGCGGTCCGTGGCCTGCTGTTGTGCAGGCCCTTGCCGCTTTGGTGTTTGTCGTTGATATCAATCTCGCAAAACCCGTCCCGACAAGAGGACTGACGCTACCCAAGTTTTTGGGCGGCCTGTCGATTTGTTGCGGTTGTTCTTTCATGTCGTCGTGTGTTTGTGTTGTTTTCCTGTGGTACGCAAAGGCTGAATATTGAGGACAACGACCGCTCGGAGCAAGAGCATGGCAACAGCATCTATTAATACCTGCGCTTGCAAATTGTGCATCTGAAGCAACGAGTGAGGCGTTGCTTATTTTCCCACCTGCTGGTGTTGTTGCATCGCAGCGTGATTTGGATTCTCGTTTTAGTCGTTGAGATGTTTCTTCTTGGTTGAGAGACTGGTTTGGGCAGAAGCCCCACCAGTGAGGCGGGCACCGAAGAAGTGTTGCCTGTTTGAGTGAGCCGTGATTTTTCCGGGACAGAGTGAGCAAGAAGGGTAGAAGAAGAGAGATGCAAGCAGCTTGTTGCGCGGCTTGCGGAGAGCGAGCAAGAAGGGTAGGTGATCCAAGAAGCATAATAGGCTTCGCGAATGAACATGATGACGCACCAGAGGTCCGTAGTTTTCCGTCTTTGTTTGCACAGTGCACTGCAGCTGCTGAACGTCGGTGGAGCCCTTGCAGCGGCATTTCTGAACCACTTCTGCTGCGGCTTGCTCTAATCTGCCGTCGGGGACGAGAGGACGCCACGATGTGAATAAGACGGTGCCGCCAGCAAAGAGTTGTAGTACACCGACCGGCAGCTCGGACACGGAGCTGGTGCTCAACAAGAAGCCGGCACGGAAGATGATGTCAATATGAAACGTCTTCTCCACCTACAACGACTCAGACGGCCATCTTATCCCTCTGCACATCTCGGTCTGTCGCTTTAGTTTCTCGACGCTTTGAAGAAGAGCCGTGCGAGCCCCACCACGATTGAGACCGTGGATGACGACTGGTCTGCGATCGCGGGAAACCACGTGATTTCGTTTCACGACCTCTGTGGAAGACCACCGCACGTGCATTCAGAACGACGGCACCCTCGCACTCGCAGCCAACCGGAGTCTTCCGCCGCATTTCCTCCACCCTGAGGACCTGGATCTGGAACTACGGTTGCTCGAGGTGGTGCTGGTGACGAGGGTGGCGGGATGTGGTGGTAGGACGAGTTTGTAAGGACCAGTGCTACGGCGCAAATATGCAAACACTGTATCAATTCAACACAGCGATTAGAAGGACACGTCTTGCACAACAAGTAGATGGAAGTGACACAAAATTCCTTGCAGTTAACCAGGTGAAAAGCAAAAGACATTGGGTACTATGGACTACCAGCATCAACTTCATCATGATTGTAAATTTGTGGAGGCACCTTGCGGGATTGTCGCCCGCAATCGCAATGAACGCGGTTAGTTGACCCAGGAAATGTTCTCCCGCGGTTTTGACCTTGCTACTATTTTTTTTTCGGCTTTTTCTGAAATGTTTTTTTCCTCGCGGCTTTTTTTTGTGGAAGAGGATGGCACCTGAGAGTGAATGAGCGACCCGATGGCTGTCCTTGCTCATGCGCAATACGAAGTTTGAGTGCGGTGTTGGTCTAGACATATGACTTCGCTCCGCTGTCTTGGGAAGTTCGATCAGGAAGAGAGACCTCCGAGAGTCCTATTTTTTCACGTGTTGGGCAAACCGATGACTCATTTGAGCGGGTTTGTTTTTCACTTCTACCGAGATGTTTGGTAGACGACATGACCACTGTGTATGACTACCGGCACAGGCGTCGTATCCGTGTGCAACAAATAATTGGGTGGATAATTTCGTGTTGTAACTCCTGGAGTTACAGTCCGCAAGCAAGAGAGAAGAGAGAAGTTTGGTTTTTTTTTGTCAGACTTAACGATGCCCCGTCGTGCTAGCAACAGCAAGTTTGAGAATTATCATTTTCTTCGTCTGCTATTTTTCATTTTACTCAACCCGACTATACGAAGCCTGCACAAATAGTGTGGTGATACGTTTTGCAATTTCACGCAGAATGAAGAGCGACAATTTTCCTGTTGCAAAATGCGCGGCCGTCGCGTCTGACATTTCGCGCAGTCGCGGCTGTGCTGCGCACTTGCCAGCGACCAGCAAGTCAGCATGTTGTGGCATCATTCGCCCGGCGATGCAAAGTGGTGCGTTTCCACCTGCAAGCCGTGCTGCGCCGCTCGAGGAAAAACGGAGAAGAGGCTGCCCGTTCCGATACTGTTGCCGTTTCAGCTCGGAGGAACTTTTTCCCAGCGCGGGGTCCTGTTCCTGCAGCAACGCCGGAGCCACGCTGCGGGACAAGATCACAGCCCTTGCGGGAGTGCCTGCCGTGGAACCGTGTCTGGCAAATCTTGCGGGAAATCCGTGCAATGTGCGGGAATACCTGGCCGCCGCGGTGCCGGGAACGGTGCCCCTATCGGTCAGGGTGGCGACCTGCGTGCCCGGCGTTGCCGCCTGGTACACGGCGACCGGCGCCCGGACTCCGTTCGGCTACGTCCGGGCCCCGCCGGCACGCAGTACAAGAGCGCCCGCCACCGCGCAGAGCAAAGCTTTTTGGGCCGCCCCGCGCCTTCTGCGGGGTTTGCCCTTTGTCTAATGAATAACGGGCCCCCCGCGTGCCTGCGGCGCGGGCCCGTCAGCTTCGGCGCCTGCCCTTTTTGGGCGCGCGCCTTCCGCCAGGGCGGCCCCGCACCGATTGCGGGGCCTGCCCATTGTGCTTGTGCACCCTCTTGCCGCCCGGAGGATTACTAGTAGGGCGGCGTCCTCACTCACACGCGCCTGCGAATGCGATGCGCGCTTCCTGTGAGTAATTACACACACAAGCCAGGCGCAAGGGGCGGGCCCGATTTTTCTGGCCCGTTACACCTGCCTGCTGTGTGGGCCCGATGTTACTAGTCTGGGCCCGCTCATTGTCTCTCTTTGGCGCGGGCCCGACGTTCATCTGGGCCTGTTGCCAGTAACCCGCTTACCCCCGGGCGTCTGCACGCCGGCTTCGCCGCTATTCATTCGCGGCTGGCCGGGTGCTGGTAATTCGTTATCTTTGCCCGGGGGCGAGCTCTCCTCTGACCATGCGGTCCGTGGCCTGCCTTTGTGCAGGCCGTTGCCGTATTTGTTGTTGTCGTTTGGTTGTCTCTATTAGTTCCAGCAACACGGCCGTGACCTAACAGACGCGGTGTCTTGTGTATCTGTGTGTCTGTGTTTGTGTGCGCTCTCTGGGTAAAAGCATCACACTCATCGAGCTTCTTGAGAGCAAAAGTGAGCGAAAGTAGAAGCTTTAAGCGAACATCTTGCACAGCTGCGTTGCAGCCAGCAGGGGAGCGGCGTTTTCCGTTTTCCACAGGTCTTGCATGTGGATCATTCACTGTGAGCAAAATTCTGAGAGACCGGTCCATAAGACGGACAATGAGCGGGAGACGCTTTTGAGAGTGAGAGCGTTGGCCGGGAAGCTGCGCACGCAGCCCTGGCGACTCTCTGGGTCGCGCGAGTGGAGAGAAAACACGAATAGTTGCCGCTTCTCAAAACAACATGATGATGACGAACTTGTGCACGGTTTTCGTTTTCGTTTGCACTCCAGGTTCACATTGCGGCTGCCGTAATTGACCCGCAACTGTGGTTCGCAGCGGTTTTTTCCTGCTACTGTTCGGGGAGGAGTCACAGTGTGAAAAGTCCCAGTCAATACATCGCCCGGGTGGACGAATACGAAATTGCTGATCGACATGAAGCAGGTTGCCGCGATGATACCCAAAAGAGCGGGCTTCCGCTTCTCCTACGACCGGAGGAGCAGCATCGTGCGCCTCAGTACACCTCCCTCCGCCTCAGGGCGCCGCCCCACGTCGTCAAGAAATGTGCAGGATTTGCTCTAATTGATAAAACAAGAACGCAAAAGCTGAGTTTTTCTGGACCGAGGTAAACCTCATTGCACTTCTTCTCCATGAGAGGCCGACCGGACGCACATGTGCATCCAGGACGATAGTATCGTCGCATTCGCTGGTTGGCCGAAGATTTGTTGTCGTGCTTCTTCCACCGACCCGGACCCTGAGAAGCGGGATAGCTGGAACTACCGTTGCTCAAGGTAGTGCTGGCGACGAGGATGGCGGGAGGTGCTGTTAGGAAGAGTTCGTGAGGACGACAACTACGCAAACATGCAGGCATTATTTTGATTCAACTCAGCGATAAAATAAATCACAGAAGTGACACGACTTGCAAAAGCAGATTGTTGTGAGGACACACAAGTTCCCGAATTGGATTAGGATTGCTTCGGGTCAAAACAAGACAGGAGATACTCTGGACTACCATCAGCATGATTGTAAATTTTTGGAGCGTCGTTGCAGAAGAAGAAGTCGCCCAGAGTCGCGAGTAGCTCAGCTGGTCTGAACCAGGACTTGCTCTGCAGCAGTTCACTGTCCTTTCATTTTTTTTTTTAAAAAATTTTTCTGGAATGTTTTTTGAGCCCACGCAGTTATGGAACAGGACGGCAGCTGAGAGTGAATGAGCGACCCAATGACTGCGTTTCTTCATCCGCAGCACGGAGTTTGAGTACGTTGCTAGCGTAGATCTATGACTTCGCTCCATCTTGTTGGGTATTTCGATCAGCGGGCGAGGCCGAGAGTCCTATTTTCATGTGTTGGGCAAATCAGTGAAATGATTGATTGCTTCATATGGGCTCGAGGGGATTTTTTTTTTTCATCAATACAGAGAGTGATGAACATGACCGCTGTGTACGGCTACCGGCGCAAGCTGCGTCGTGTGCTCTCGGAGTGACAGTCCGCAAGCCAGAGAGAAGAGAGAAGGTTCTGTTTTTTTTTTCAGGTTTTACCATGCGCCGTGGCACCAGCAACGGTGAGTTGTAGTAGAAATCTTCTGAATGGATCGAATGTTTACATTTCTTTACTTTACTTCATTTCGTCTGCTATTTACTTATTTTCATTTTTTTATTCAATCCAATCACACAAACCCTTCACACATAGTGTCGTAATGCGGTTTGCAACTTGACGCAGAATGAAGCGCGACACTTCAAGTTTTCTTGTCGCAAAATGCGCGGCCGTCGCGTCGGACATAATCGCCATCGCTTCGCGCATTTCCCAGCGACCGGCAAAGAGGAAGGCGCTTGGAGGAAGGTCCACGGGAAGTGGGTCCAAGGTAGCCGCCTAGGCGTCCGCTGACTTCTGGACCGGTCGGCTCCACCGCGGTGCAACATTGGCAACCCTGGAGGACCTCTTCGCCAGTCGCTTAATTTCGGGGCCGCCCCGCGTCGTCTGCGGGGCTTGCCCTTTGTCTATATAAATTATGGGCCCCCCGCTTGTCTGCGGTGTGGGCCCGTCAGCTTCGGCGCCTGCCCTTTTTGGGCGCGCCCCTACGACCAGGGCCGCCCCGCACCAATTGCGGGGCCTGCCCATTGTGCATGTGCACCCTCCTGCCGCCCGGAGGCTTACTAGTAGGGCGGCGCCCTCGTTCACACGCGCCTCCGAATGCGATGCGCGCTTCCTGTGAGTAATTACACACACAAACCAGGCCTAAGGGGCGGGCCCGAGTTTTCTGGCCCGTTGCACCTGCCTGCTGCGCGGGCCCGATGTTACTAGTCTGGGCCCGCTTATTGTCTCTCTTTGGCGCGGGCCCGACGTTCATCTGGGCCTGTTGCCAGTAACCCGCTTACCCCCGGGCGTCTGCACGCCGGCTTCGCCGCTATTCATTCGCGGCTGGCCGGGTGCTGGTAATTCGTTATCTTTGCCCGGGGGCGAGCTCTCCTCTGACCATGCGGTCCGTGGCCTGCCTTTGTGCAGGCCGTTGCCGTATTTGTCGTTGTCGTTTGGTTGTCTCTATTAGTTCCAGCAACACGGCCGTGACCTAACAGACGCGGCGTCTTGTGTATCTGTGTGTCTGTGTTTGTGTGCGCTCTCTGGGTAAAAGCATCACACTCATCGAGCTTCTTGAGAGCAAAAGTGAGCGAAAGTAGAAGCTTTAAGCGAACAACTTGCACAGCTGCGTTGCAGCCAGCAGGGGAGCGGCGTTTTCCGTTTTCCACAGGTCTTGCATGTGGATCATTCACTGTGAGCAAAATTCTGAGAGACCGGTCCATAAGACGGACAATGAGTGGGAGACGCTTTTGAGAGTGAGAGCGTTGGCCGGGAAGCTGCGCACGCAGCCCTGGCGACTCTCTGGGTCGCGCGAGTGGAGAGAAAACACGAATAGTTGCCGCTTCTCAAAACAACATGATGATGACGAACTTGTGCACGGTTTTCGTTTTCGTTTGCACTCCAGGTTCACATTGCGGCTGCCGTAATTGACCCGCAACTGTGGTTCGCAGCGGTTTTTTCCTGCTACTGTTCGGGGAGGAGTCACAGTGTGAAAAGTCCCAGTCAATACATCGCCCGGGTGGACGAATACGAAATTGCTGATCGACATGAAGCAGGTTGCCGCGATGATACCCAAAAGAGCGGGCTTCCGCTTCTCCTACGACCGGAGGAGCAGCATCGTGCGCCTCAGTACACCTCCCTCCGCCTCAGGGCGCCGCCCCACGTCGTCAAGAAATGTGCAGGATTTGCTCTAATTGATAAAACAAGAACGCAAAAGCTGAGTTTTTCTGGACCGAGGTAAACCTCATTGCACTTCTTCTCCATGAGAGGCCGACCGGACGCACATGTGCATCCAGGACGATAGTATCGTCGCATTCGCTGGTTGGCCGAAGATTTGTTGTCGTGCTTCTTCCACCGACCCGGACCCTGAGAAGCGGGATAGCTGGAACTACCGTTGCTCAAGGTAGTGCTGGCGACGAGGATGGCGGGAGGTGCTGTTAGGAAGAGTTCGTGAGGACGACAACTACGCAAACATGCAGGCATTATTTTGATTCAACTCAGCGATAAAATAAATCACAGAAGTGACACGACTTGCAAAAGCAGATTGTTGTGAGGACACACAAGTTCCCGAATTGGATTAGGATTGCTTCGGGTCAAAACAAGACAGGAGATACTCTGGACTACCATCAGCATGATTGTAAATTTTTGGAGCGTCGTTGCAGAAGAAGAAGTCGCCCAGAGTCGCGAGTAGCTCAGCTGGTCTGAACCAGGACTTGCTCTGCAGCAGTTCACTGTCCTTTCATTTTTTTTTTTAAAAAATTTTTCTGGAATGTTTTTTGAGCCCACGCAGTTATGGAACAGGACGGCAGCTGAGAGTGAATGAGCGACCCAATGACTGCGTTTCTTCATCCGCAGCACGGAGTTTGAGTACGTTGCTAGCGTAGATCTATGACTTCGCTCCATCTTGTTGGGTATTTCGATCAGCGGGCGAGGCCGAGAGTCCTATTTTCATGTGTTGGGCAAATCAGTGAAATGATTGATTGCTTCATATGGGCTCGAGGGGATTTTTTTTTTTCATCAATACAGAGAGTGATGAACATGACCGCTGTGTACGGCTACCGGCGCAAGCTGCGTCGTGTGCTCTCGGAGTGACAGTCCGCAAGCCAGAGAGAAGAGAGAAGGTTCTGTTTTTTTTTTCAGGTTTTACCATGCGCCGTGGCACCAGCAACGGTGAGTTGTAGTAGAAATCTTCTGAATGGATCGAATGTTACATTTCTTTACTTTACTTCATTTCGTCTGCTATTTACTTATTTTCATTTTTTTATTCAATCCAATCACACAAACCCTTCACACATAGTGTCGTAATGCGGTTTGCAACTTGACGCAGAATGAAGCGCGACACTTCAAGTTTTCTTGTCGCAAAATGCGCGGCCGTCGCGTCGGACATAATCGCCATCGCTTCGCGCATTTCCCAGCGACCGGCAAAGAGGAAGGCGCTCGGAGGAAGGTCCACGGGAAGTGGGTCCAAGGTAGCCGCCTAGGCGTCCGCTGACTTCTGGACCGGTCGGCCCCACCGCGGTGCAACATTGGCAACCCTGGAGGACCTCTTCGCCAGTCGCTTAATTTCGGGGCCGCCCCGCGTCGTCTGCGGGGCTTGCCCTTTGTCTATATAAATTATGGGCCCCCCGCTTGTCTGCGGTGTGGGCCCGTCAGCTTCGGCGCCTGCCCTTTTTGGGCGCGCCCCTACGACCAGGGCCGCCCCGCACCAATTGCGGGGCCTGCCCATTGTGCATGTGCACCCTCCTGCCGCCCGGAGGCTTACTAGTAGGGCGGCGCCCTCGTTCACACGCGCCTCCGAATGCGATGCGCGCTTCCTGTGAGTAATTACACACACAAACCAGGCCTAAGGGGCGGGCCCGAGTTTTCTGGCCCGTTGCACCTGCCTGCTGCGCGGGCCCGATGTTACTAGTCTGGGCCCGCTTTTTGTCTCTCTTTGGCGCGGGCCCGACGTTCATCTGGGCCTGTTGCCAGTAACCCGCTTACCCCCGGGCGTCTGCACGCCGGCTTCGCCGCTATTCATTCGCGGCTGGCCGGGTGCTGGTAATTCGTTATCTTTGCCCGGGGGCGAGCTCTCCTCTGACCATGCGGTCCGTGGCCTGCCTTTGTGCAGGCCGTTGCCGTATTTGTCGTTGTCGTTTTCTCTGCTTGAGTACCAACACCATGGTCGTGACCTAACGAACGCGGCGTCTTTTGTTTCTGTGCTGTGTTTGTGTGCGCTCGTTGCGAAAAAGCATCACGCGCAGCGAGCTGGAGAGCAAAAGTGAGCGAAAGCAGGAGCTTCAGCAGGCGAGCAACTTGAACAGCTGCGCTTGCAGCCAGCAGTGGAGCGGCGTCTTCCGCAGCTGCGCGAACTGAGAGACCGGCTCGTAAGATGAAAAGGCTCGAGCGCGGGCATTTTGGCAGCGAGACGGCTTTGAGAGTGAGAGGGCCGGCTGGTAAGATGTGCAACCAGCCATGGCGGCTCGCCGGGTCGCGCGTGTGGAGCGAAAGAGGAGCAGGGAAGACACGAACAAAAATAGCTTCTCAAAATAAAGACAGGATGACGCGCAGGTCCACGGTTTTCGTGTTCGTTTGCACTCCAGGTTCACATTGTGGTTGCCACAGTTTTCTCGCAGCGGTTTGCTTGTCGTCACCGTTCGGGGAGGAGCCTCTCGGGAACAAATGAACGAAAATCCCGATAAAGCAGCTAGAAGTAGAAGTGACCACACAGCAGACACGAATAAGAACAGAACTTGCTACCTGCACGAGCTGACGCTAGTCACGGTGAACAAAAACAATCTGATTGGCGGTGACTCACCGCCAATCAGATTGTTTTTGTTCAGTTTGTCAGACATAAATGCGACTTGTGTGGTGGGTATGGAGCCAAGAGGTAGAGGAAATAGCGAGAAAATAAGTTTAGTTGAATTTCTTGAATTTCTAAAATTAAATCGAAGTCGAAGTGTAAAGCTGAAGTGTAAAAGCTGCAGTGATGATTCGAAGGAAGCGCAGGATAATGTCCTACTGTAGGGAGTTTTTTTTTTCAAGCGGCCGTTTGTTTCTGCTTCTGTCGAGAAAAGATCTGAAGCCAAGGAAAGATCTTGATCTTGAGTGCCCAGCTCCGCCACCCACTTCAACGTGATGGCCTGAGACGGGGATGAAAATGATCTTGCAAGCGCTGCTGGAGGCAAAACCGAGATATGTATTTCTTGCGTTCCCCTCGCGCTTTCCCGGATGCCAAAACTGTAGAAAGCAAGCCTGCAGCAGATTCATTTTCTGTGTACTAAGTGTTGTCCTGGACTTCATCTCCAGTCGCAAGAGAGTCACGGAGCAGCGTGTACGGTATGAAACGCTAGATCATTCGTGAGGACGGATCAAGAGACGCAATCACCTCCACAAGAAGTGCACTTTATCGATCTATACCTCTACCTGTAGAGAAAAGCGAAAAATAAATTTAGCTGATAAATATGCTTTTGTAATTTGATTTGTCTGCTGGTCGCATAATGCAGAATAAAGTGAGCACAAGACCGCACTTAGGGCTTTGATGATGGTTCTCCCAGTAGACTATTGCGAATTTGGTGGCATACACACAATATGACGGCTCATGTAGCAGTTCCTGCTAAGCGTAGTACGATCACCATTCGAGGATAGGCGGTCGTGCCTGCATTTCCAAAAAGAAAGTCTGTTTTCACGCATGCCCCTGTTTTCGTTTTGGCGCAAATCCAAACTAAATTCCAGATGGCTTCAGCACGGGGCTGACGGATAAATCGAATATCACAATGAATACGATCAATACAGAGATTATGTTGTTGAGCCCTTAAGCTTAAACGTACACATCACAGCGAAATGATCTGCCATGTGGGTGCGGCGCCGAATATTTATATTTTCATCTTACTTTTCAATGTGGTTTTGCTCTAACTCGCAGCACGAGCCGTCGCATAATACGAAAAGGAACGCAACTTTCCCTCCAGCTTGAGTAGAGCACAGTAGTGAACAGAACCTGATTTAATTTCTGAGTTTATGTGTTATACCGCTCTATGTGTTATACCGCTTGTCTTTTCCTGACGTAATTTCGAAAGTTTTCAGAACGAGATCCGAAATAAGATTCTCCGTGCTGTGAGTGACAAGAGGAGGCTCGTGGACTTGCACAAAGATGCTGTGCTCCTCGTGTGAAACAGAGAAACCGGTCCGCGATTTTCCTGACTTGGACGTGCTGCTTGGACCCGAAGATTTGCAGGAGTGCCTACAGTGCCGGCTGGACGCATCAACAATGGTAATGAAGACGGAAGAAAGGAGAATGGATACATTCCTCTTTTCTGCAACCCCGAGCTGTGACCGCGCAAAGGAGCTCCAGGCAGCACTGGTCCAGCGAAAGTGCCGGGCTCTTCTTGAAGTGATCTCGGAACAGAAGAAGGAGATGGACCTGCAGAGGCGCGCGGGCCGCGGAAGCGCAGATCCGGCAGCTAATTGCATGGCGCTGTTTGAAGAACCCGGTGAGGTACTCATCACGGACATTTTGGGAAAATATCGAGGTCGAACTCTGTCTAGAACCATTGGCAAAATTTTTGGTAAAGGTGAAAGCATTCGTCACAAGGGTGAGCTAGTACTACCGTAATTTCATTTCTACATTTACTAGTTCTGGTTGCAGTTGTCTCTGCTTCTCTTTCTTCAGCTAGGGTGATACTGCATGACGATGACCTGTATCTGCTGCATAAGATGGTTGTCCGGAAGGGAATCTGAATCATTTAATTATGCTGGGACATTTCATTTTCATTTACATTTTCATTTTCATTCGAAAGGTGGTCGAAAATAAATGTTGCCGGCTTTTTGACCCTCTGGAATTTTCCTAATATGAGTCGGAGCCGTTTATTTCTGTTGACACCTTCTAAAGCCTGCGTAAGCGTATATAAACTGCCCCCGCCGAGAGACAAATCACTGCGCACCGCATGTCTACATCACACCAAAATTTACCTTGCGTTCGCGACTAATGTTTTCTCTCTCACATGAAATCGTACCAACTTCCGGTCAGCGGCTCGCACTCTCTCCGCGATGTTCGAAAGAAGATCGAGACGAAGTTCCAAGTTCCCGAGCGGAACCAGAAATTGCTTCTCAACGGAGAGGATGTACTGCAGCGGAAAGTTGGGAACTCACAAGATTCTTCTTCCAATGTCTCGCCCGCGGCGGCTGCGAAATTTTGGCGGGACGTCCGAGTGCCGCCAGGATCACACCTCCGCCTGGTGTGGCGAATGTTCGAGGGCGGTGTGGGCGAAGGCGGCGTATCGGACACTACGAGGCTGCGGTTTGACCTGAAGTGGAAACACCCATCCGATGCGATGCCCTACGCGAGGCACTTGAACGGTATCTGTGTCGCGATAGGACGAACCCGAAAGGGAAAAAAACTGCATCACGTCGATTTCCGAGGGTAAGAAGTTTGTGGAGGTTTCTCTACATTTATATTAAACAACTATGTGGTTCTGGATGAATTCGGAACCAGATGAATTTTCTCTTGCTGCCGACTTTCCACACAGGATTTCCTGGAGTAGACCGCGTAGTACGGCATTTATTGATTTGAGCTTTTTTATTGAGAATGTGAAATTGGATGACATAAGCTTAAGCATAATTAGACCTCCGCACACGCACCGTATCTCTGCGACTGTAAAAGCAGGGCACATGTTTACGTATAGTAGATTAATCTCCTGGGGCGGTGTGAGTATCAATGTTTCAACGACTCTACCAAATCGGGAACCGAACCTAGAATCCTCGTCCGGGCCCTGCTCACCGCCTCTACTACTACTTCTCCAATATGCATATACTTTGCAAGTAGCACGACCATGATCATGGAAAGGAGGATGGATCACTACATTATATCGATCGATCTTAAAAAATGTAAGTGAAGCCTAAATATACCAATATGATGAATCCACACTCTCAGGAAGGACGAGGTCAGTGGCATTTATCACGCTGGATGTTCGCAGCCAACTGGAAAAAGGTGCGAGAAGAAGCAAACTATTGAGATTTACCTGGATGAAGTGCCCGATGCTATCCACGGAATGTACTTTTTCCTCGCAACTGGGGCTGATATCGACGGTTTCTCGCACCTGGAGGTGGAGCTGCGAGATGTGACAAGCAACGTTGTTCTGGATAGAGCACCCAGTCGGGCGCAGTCTAGCGGATGGGAGCGTGCGGTCCTACTCTGCTGTGCGCGCAGAAACGAAAGTGCGGTCGGCTGGGATGTCGATGCAATTGGGCAGGACGTCAGTGGATCAGTCTCCCATACTCGGCAGCGCTTTCAAGAAATTGATGCCTTGGTACAAAAGCTTGAACGGATATGAGACGTCAGCCGGGCCACTGTCGAAACCTCAGTTCGCTCCTCTTGCCGTCGACTTCAGAAAGTTGCGACGCATCCACATGCATGTTTCGAAACAAGTCCGTAAGCCTGCGTGCGCGCTCGAGGAATAGGTCTGCTTCATGCTTTCCTTCGAATCTGTGACATTTCCGTCTCTGCAGATGTAGCAACAATGTTCATTACAAACACAGCGGTACAGAAGAATTTGAATTAGTTTTGTGTTGCATGGCCGTTGGTCCGGTGTCGAAGATACTTACTTCAGCTTTTGGTGAAGCGGATCTTTGAATTACGTATGCGTCATCCACATCTTCTTGACCACTTGCATGACTGGTTAGCGGAAACATTTCTGTATTTATTTTACCCCTCCGTGCATGGCATAGACATGATTGCCGTCTCAATCGATGTGAAAACTATATAATTTGCCGGGATGCCGATGCGATCAAGAAAGTGGAGGCAATTGAAGCTTGCTGGGGCTGCGACGCTTTTTTTGTCCGTCGATAACGCGCCTTCCACCTGTAGAAGGTAAAGCAAACTAGGCGAACGAAGATAAAGTAGAGCAGATTGACATTGAGTGACTTGTTTGTGACTAGAGAAGTACATATAATCTGGGTTTCCATTGGTCCACTAGCTTGATTTGGTTTCAAGCAGGAACATGAGAGATCCGCGCACCACCACCAGTTCCTGTCCGCACAAGAAGTTCGCGTAAGATGCTTCTTTGATAAGAACCGATGGTGCCGATGGGAACGAGAAAGCTCTATTTCTATACCAGCCAAATCGTAAAAATACGAACGAAAATCGCCCTCGGGCCTCATTCCGAAGTACAGTATAATCGTTTGGTCGCGCATTGGTTCATTTTGCAGCCTTTGGCGTAACCGGTTTTTCTTTTGATCCGGGCATGATGTTGGACGGATGCCAATAGTGCGCAGCAGTCAGTGCTAAACCCAGAGTTCGATCATCAGATAGTCAAGTACTTGGATTCGAACTCGAACATACAATGTCCAAACTAGACACGTATGTATGCTTTGATGACACGTGGGTCGCGCTCTGCCCACCACGCTTTTTTCATGCATGACAAGGTTTTGGAAACCAGTAACAATGCCGTCGCACTGATCGAAATTTTTTTGAATACTTATTTATGTTTATCATAATTATATCCTCCAGCTGCCATGGTGCCGGCACTTCAACAGATCACGATCAGCTTACCGCTTCAGGATGAGTAGCTTTCTCCGTCAGCGTGACGCTTCGGCGGGCTCAGAACAAGTTCTTTCGCCTGCATTTCGCTCCAGTGCAGAACCAGACCCCGTTAGGTTCTCCTCTTGTCGGCGTTGTACACAGATGCATTCGAGATCGGGTTGATCGCTTGCATAACAAACCATCGAACACTCCCAGCGACCAGTCAGGGTTTATCGTGTTCAGGTTTTGACATGTATCCTTTGAACCAGCTTTACCGTTCTCAAACTTACAACTAGGCCAGTTTGTTTAATGATCGCCGCGATCGCTATACTCGTACAAGAAGATCCAGATTATCGGGCCTCGATAGTGCTCTAATAGTTGGCTTTCAACGAGCCCCAGCAAGCACAGCCACACAAAAATAGTTTATGGGATTGTAGTTGGCACGCGTAGAAAAGGTAGACAATATAAATCAAAATCATGATATTTTCATTTGCATTGCCTTCGTTGATTTGACGAGCAGGATGGGTGGAAAAAAGAAAGCGGGAGGCACAAAGCCGACCAAGGGCGGCCGCGGGGGTGGAAGGCAGAAGCAGAAGAAGCACAAGATCAAGAACAGCCCGAGGTCCGCGGGTTCGAAGGCCCCCCAGCAGGGCTATGAAAAGCAAAAGCACCTTATCGCCGACATGCATTCCATGATTTCCATTGATTTTTATATTTCGTTGAACGTTTCGTTTCCTGGTTTGCGAATATACAATGTCTGCATTTAGAAAAGAGGACCGAGCCACTTGCGTCTTTCCGCCACGGCAAATAACGCGGGTACATATAGGAAGTAGACCTTCCGTATAAGATGCACGAAAAAACCTCGACATGTCTGTCACCGGTGTCAAGGTGTCTTTTTTACACGGATAAAAGATGCAGTGGAGAAACTTCGTCGAAGCCTGCTTCTCGGAAAAAGGCGGCTCATGATGACGAGGGCGAATCGGAATCCGAATCGTCCGTCTCCTGGAATGAAAATCATGCAGACCCGTCTGATTCGGAAATTTCGGATATGCAACCCAGCAGCGCTCCCACGGATCAGAGCCGATTTGGGAAGACAAAGCGTCCAAACGATGGCTGTCAACAATCGAAAATGGACGAGCAAAAAGACGCTGGTCCCAGCTCCCCAGGCGTTCCTGCCTGCGTTGCTTCGCTTTCAGTCCCGCAACCGCCCCTCTCAGAACAGCCGGAAGGGGTGGAGTCTGACGACGAGGATGTTGACGACGACTGCGAAAATACCGGGGTCCCGTCTCAGTATCACACTTGAAAACTTCGAATACCCCCCTCCACCTACTGAAGTTCATGATGATGATGATGATCTATGAATTATGTCTGCTCCTGATGCTGATGCATAGCATCAGAGTCCATCATCTTTTCGCTGCTACTCCCACTTTCAATTTTATTTTTAAATGATACTTACCTTGCACGGATTTTTGCAGAGTGCGCGTACGCAAGACACAAAAACAAATCTGAAAGCCCTTGAGTCTGCTGTCGACCATATTTTTCCGCTCGAATCTGGTACAGGGGGGACAAATTTCACCACGACATACAAAGTTCGGAGATCGGCCTTGATGCTGTTACTGAGGACTTTGCTGATATTCCTTGTCCGATTAGCAGCAAAGCTGCGGCGCTCGCGGCTTTGCTTGAGCACGAAACCTGGAGCCGTGACGCACTGGCCTCACTCCGGAAACAACTCCCGTGGACGTACGCAGTGGAGTTGTTGCAAGACATGGAATTACCAGGAACTACAACGCTGGAGGAGTCTACAGCGATCATGCTTGCGTCTAGCGACAAGGACCGCGTGAAAGACCGTTTAAGCTCGTATCTAATGTACCGGCTCGGCTGCCACAAAGGTACAGTTCTTGTTTGCTTTTTACATTTTTATTTTTCGCGTCAAGGCGAAGCAAAGGGAGACGTTTCTGTTGTACTTTTACGTCATTTGAAGAGTAAGCACTCACTACTGTAGAGAACTTTACAACAAAGTCATACTATTCCCTCTGTTTTCCGTTTGGGAATACAAATGCCGAAGGCGGCCACGAGAGGCGTAAGCTTTTCTTAAGTCTGTTTTACTTGGAATTAGTATTTTCCCTCCTGCACGCGCACGCTCACGCGCTGTGATTATTTACGACAGGACGGAGCGATGGGCAACGACGAGGAGACCACAAGATAGAAGCTGTGGACATTCTAGGCATGTCAGTAGACCTGAAAGCTATCCGGCGCAACTTTTCGAGGCATAAGTAACAAGTTAGCATTTTCTAGGTCATCCGAGCGTCTGCTGCTGATGGAAATACGAGAACAATCTCGGTGTCGGACCAAGTACAACTTGCGATTTTGCTTCGCATACAGAATCTGCGGTATGAAAGGCGTAAGTACGTCAATTCTAGTTAGTGGGAATGCTATTGGGTGAGACTAAAATTACTAGCTGCATCAGTAGAGATTTCTTTTGTGGGCTAATTCATAATCTGAAAATTTGATCTTCGCCACTTTGCCCCAAGTTGTCGGCCATAGATTTTTGGACGCAGAAGAAGGACAAGAAGGCGAAGAAGATGACGTTCCCATCCGGTCCGGCTACGGTTCTCCAGGTCGTGAGCGGAGAGATTCAAGAGAACCAGAATCCTTTTTGCATAGTGGAAATGGAGAAAACCAAGCTACGGTGCAAGCGTCCGATCAATATGAAAGGTATCTGTACTTAGTTGTTATTGACATATTGACCACGACTCATGTAGACTTCTGATGTGCTGCTGATGTTGGCGCGGAATCATCAATACGAGTTGAAGCATCATGCCGTCGGTCTATGTATTGCCCATAGGGCCTTGCTCTTTTCGTTTATACAATTTTGGGAAATGCTGTGCTGTGGGAAGACTAGTTAACTAACTTTTGTAGCCCCTTGGCTCTAGTAGTGGTAGGGCACGAGCAGATGCTTAAGCGACCCAGCATTCATTCATTCATCTAGTGGCTTTTTACTTTAAGTATAAACTTTTACTTTCCAGACCTAGCTGGGAGCGTGCCTTCTTTCGGAGCCTTTCTCGAAGCATTGAAAAATCGGAACGCTTGGGAGGGACCCATGTTGGACAGTATCACATCGGAAAAGCCGACTGGGTTGGAGATGCTACAGGAAGAAATCGTCGAGCTGGCGGCAAGCCGAACCGACAATGCAACGTCCAGGAAAAAAATCGTACCACAGTGAAAAGCAGACAAATGCACATTTTCCACTACGAAGATTTCCGACTTCCGTGAGTTCATACTTGTTTATTATGTAGGCTGTGCTCCTTTGATGTGATGCATCTGTCGTTGTCCGTGCAACGGAAGAAAAAGAATAGAGAATTGCGCAACTACGTTTATAGCCCTGCTTTCATATGCATTTGAAAGCGGAAGTGGAACCGCTGCGCTATGCATGAAGAACTGCAAGACGGAAAAAAGGGCGTAAGCGTAACACACCACGGTAGGCATCATGTTTGCGAGTTCTCGGTTGATACACCACTCCGCTTTCCAACGGTCTGCGCGTTGCCTTTCGGCGGCTGGCAGGCCACTACGATTGGTTGCGGGTGTTGCAAGCCGTCGTCTGTTTCGTTCGCGGAAAGGACCAGACAAGGTGGAGGGAATCGGCGTTACTAGCCTGGGTGCTAGAGCACCTGCTCGGCGAAGAGGAACCCGTTGCTGGTTGTACGAAAAACTGCCCGCCAAGAACTGACGTGAAAGCAAATCTTTGCTCGGAAACGGGGAGCGCGACGTCAGGTGCGGATTCCGAAGCTCTTGCACTAACGGAAGTACTCGTTCGCGTGAAGAAGGTGCTAATGTATGCACAAGAAGATCTTCAAAACGATCCTGCGCTCACCTCTACCGTCACTCGTGATTTAGATTGCCACAAGACAAGCGTGCAAGGGCTGGCACTGCCCGCTTCCCTGGGGGCCGATGATCTCGCTTTCCGTGACAAGGTGGTGGAAAAACTTTTGCTTTGCGCCCTTCAGCAAGACCAGGAAGCAAGTGAAAAAGACACGGATACTGCAACCCGGAATGTTTCTCTCTCGAGCCTGTTTCGTTTTCTACAACGCGTTGAGGAGGCTGGCCTGTGGCAGGAAGTCACTGAATCCAGTGTGTTCAACACGCATGGGTTGCACAGCGGGCGGTCGACCACCAGAAACATCTTGTTGCACCTTTTGCACGGGAACCGCATGCAGAGAGGCGCTGTGTGGCCGCAAGGCGGAGACGATCTGCTAGGTGGATTTCGAGACCTTCCGCTTTTTCTGGAACAGTGTCTGGAAGCTGCGATGTCAGATCCAATCCGCAGAAAAGTTTTTGCTCTCCCCTTCATTCGGAAATTCGTCAGTCAAGCGTTTGAAGCTTTGCGCGATGCGGTGTCCCCGGCGCCGGCGCGCAAAAAGAACGATGGCTTGCTAAGCCGCGTCGAAAAAGTTTTTCGGGCGGTGCTGGATGTGTTTGCTAGGCAATCGAAGGTTCGTCATAACCAGCGCGTGTGCATTCTGCAGCCCGAATGTGAGCCCGGGGGAGGCGAAAAAAGCGGGCAGGAGCAGCTACGGTGCCGCGACGCCATCATGGCGGCAAGCTACACTTTGCCTTCAACATCTGCTCATGACGTCAGCAATAGCAATGACCAAAGACCGTTTTATTCCGCGGAGAAAATCGAAGCGCTACCGGAAGTTGCTGCACAGTCTACTGAAGAGAGACGACCAAGCGGACAAGCAACCCAACTGGAGGAGAGCTACAGACTGGATTGCAATCTCATCCACCCTGCCTGTTTCTGTCTCCGTTTCGTGGCGGATGTCTGCAAGCACGACAACAACATGGATCTTGTAGCGAAGGTTCTGGGAGTCCTCGTCACACACGACGCAGCAGGCTGTGTCGAGCGGAAGATCTGGGAGGAATCCTTTCCTGCAACCGTTGCTGAGTTTCTTCTCCAGCAAGCTCGCTCTAGCGTGAGCGTGTTTCTGCAGGACCTGTTGTGCTTGCTCAAGGCCATAGATCATGACAGCAGATTTCCGACTTCGACTTTTCAGCACGGGGAGACGCCAGCGGGTCACCAGAGCGAGAGCACTACCGCCACTGCAGCGGGACCGCAAAGTGATCTGAGCTCCCTAAAAGTGTTCCAGGAGCACAGCACGACACCAGATTCAAAGAACGAGCTCAACAATGACAACATCGATACGCCACGTACTGGATCC